TTCTATTTTATCTACCTTGAAACAATTTTGAAACATTAACCTTTTCTATGCATTGGTTCCTAAATTGAATTATATGATTTTTTTAGTAATCGATATAGAAATTTTACTTTACATCGGTTTCTAAAATTATTTATAATTGAAATAAGCTACAAATTTCTAGTAAAAGTTTGAAAAACAGAGTTACTAGGAGAGGAGATCGAGACTGGCAGTGTACCCCGTTTTTTGACCACGCTCGTCTTAAACCCATTAAAATGAGGAAAGTTTTATAGTAAGATTTTCATGGCCAGAGGAAGGTTGACAGCTTTTGTGGACACTGATGTTAATTTGGATAGCATGTTGGCGGTTTCCAATAACATGAAAAGTCTCCCATTGGGAAAAAAATTGCCAGGAGTTAAAAAAGGTATAAAAGTCAAGGCAGGACCTCATCCTACTGACCAGGCATTAATTTAAGGAATTTTCATCACTGCACAAAACAGCGTAAAACGCAGATTTTTGGGGCCAATAGGGTGTGGCTAAGTGTGTGGCTAAGTTTTGACTGGACCTCTTTTGGACGGACCAACAATGTTTACATTGTTTTCAGCGACGTTTTCAGTGTTATTTGGCCTAACTACAGCTGCTACTGATTATGTATAAATCTTACCAGAACATATCAAACCTGGCCAAAAGAGTAGCAAACCTGATAACAGGAAATTTTTTCTACATTTCCACCCTATGGAGTCAATAAAGTATTTCTTTGTGAATGGGGGAAATGGAGTGGAATGTAATTACTGTGTTTGTAAGTTATTGATTGATCCTTAAAGGCAAATCAACTGTTTCTAGCTATTTCTTTTCATAAAATGCTGTTTTTAGAGACTTGATCTCTAATCATGTTACATATTTCAATGTTCTAAGAACTGTCCAAAACAGAGCCTTACTGTATATTACATACTTTTTATGTAATATGAAGTTTGTTTATATAATACAAATCTGTAACTGCTATTAATCTTTCAAAACTATACCTGGTTAGCTTTATGGATACCCAAGCCAAAAAAATTCTTATCCAAATTTAAAACAAAGATAGATATGCTATTCACTCCAATTATTGTGGCGTATTGTATTTCATACAAAAGAAGAGAAACAGGCCGTCATTTGATGGTGGTAGTGGCATTGGGTCTTTTTGGCCATGCAATGCAAGAAATCCCAGGTTGTCGGAGGCCTTAGGATAATCAGAAAGAAGAAGCGTACCTGCGAGTAGAGCGAGCAGAAAATTTTGTGACCACGCCCCTTTAATTATCTTAAAATATATTTCAGAATATTTCTAGCAGTTTTTTCTTGCAATCATTTTAAACATTTTGTTTTTTTTCAGAGCATGCTTTTATTACATTTGATTAATTCCAGTCTTAAGATAATTCACATAATTACTTTACAAGACCCCACAGACCTTGGCTTAGTCCTTGGAATCTTAGCAATAACAGGATTTATTGCACTATTCTTTTTATCTATTTCTTTTTCAGTATTATTTCTATTTTCTTAAAAACACTTTTTGCATTATGAAGTGCGTTTGTGATTAACTGTATATTATTTTTTTGTTAAAGCTGGTTTTAGTTGGGTTTCACACGTAGGTTGATTCTATTATCTCATTTGACACTTGATTATAGTTTGTATTAATTTATCTTTATTCTAAAAATTTCCAAATCAGTAAAATTTGGAGTATTTCTGAAGTGAAGTAATTCATCACTGCACATTTTTCAATTCATCACTGCACATTTTTCAATTCATCACTGCACATTTTTCAATTCATCACTGCACATTTTCGATTCATCACTGCACAAATTGGTCATCACTGCACCTTAAATTAATCCTTGCTACTGACTGATGCAAAGGGAAAATATTGAAAACATTAGAGTAGTCAAAAAGTAGAATGCTTTCGACAGCTCCAGGCGGTTATAACGCGCAAAATGCTTTATGATTGAAGAGCTACAGCCTACCCCTTTTCACTATTATTACTAATTCTTTGATTTAAAGTTGGCAGTTAAAAATATAAAGCTTAAAAGCAAACTAAGGTGGGACCTAAACTGGTCCGTGGATCTGCAGTATTCTCTCCAATTAGCGGACACTATCGGACCAAAAGCAAGTTGTCCGCTAATTAAGTGTCTGCTTTTTAGAAAGTTTTTTATGAGACTTTGACCAGAAAACGATCGGGGGAAGAAATATTTGTTCGCTAATCAGAGGTGTCCGCCTTTCAGAGTGTCCGTTAATTGGAGAGAATACTGTAGTTGTGAAATACTGTCGGATCTATCAGGTGTAATACCTTTTGCACACAAAATAACAGGTACGGTTATTATGTGTACAAACTTACTGTCTATCAAAGGCATATAGAGATTGCACACTAATCATGGATATCCATGTTTACTTTTAAAACAAAGAATGCCTTAAAATCTCATATAAAATACGGTGTTATTTAAAACAGTTTTATTTTTAATCTTTGGGCACATATGAAGCAAAGATACCTTTTGTCCAATGGAAGCCTTTGAAATATTGCGATGGAGGGTTTAATCCGGTGTTAAAATTGAAGCAAATTTAATTTTAACACGAGGCAAAGGAACAGGTTGAGGCGATTTTAATGCATATTCAAGTAAAGGCTCGTGGAATTGTTTACCTCATAATTCAAATAAACTCTTTTAGCCACTTGCTTCATTTTCATGGAAAATATCAAAACCCGTTTCAAACGTCGAGCTTCTCAAGTTCCGAATTTTAATCAAAAAACTAAATACATGAGGAATGCGACGTTTGAGTCAATTAGGTACGGCAGATTTGAATAAGAGTGGCAGAAAAATTTGGATCGGCAGATCTTGGCGAGCTCCATAAGCAAAGCGCGGCTGGGTTTCAAACGTCGAACTTTTCATGTAACGATTAACGAACTAAATGAATAATTTACTTTGTATCCCACAATTCCCTTCTTTGGCGAAGAGCGCATGCCTATAATTGAATTTCGGCGCGAATCAACATAGAAACAACAACGCCTACAAGGAATCTGCATATGCGAAAGTTTGTTTTGTTTGCTCTCTTGCCTCTAAGTATCGTTTTCGAGACGATATTTCACCAACCCTGGTTGCGTGGAAGTCTTTTGCAAGCCCTCTTCGCCTTCATTCCTTGTTGGGCTGCTGTCATTTTCCTCAAAGTTGTCAACAAGAAGACAGCAAGTAGCTTCATATTGTATAATCTTAATATCTTAATATAGATTGTATAATCTATATTCTTGCCACTGCCAATCTCCTCTTCCTTCTGGATTCTATCAGAAATCTTTCCAAAAATGCGAAACGCATCTTTTCGGACCATCTTGAATGTCCGTAATCAAACCTGAAATCTTTCATGCAAAAAATATTCATAGACTTAAAGAGGCATCAACGCAAAAAAATTGGCATCGCCAAAAAACATTTTTCGTCGTTCTAGTTCGTTGTATCAACGGCAAAGACTATCACAAAAAGGCTCATTGTTGTCTGGAACAGAGTCAGGAAAACATTACGGTTAACGGCCACTGACCGGAGGAAGGTCCACAAAAAACAATAGAAGCTCCTATGACACACCCAAGCCACGCCCACTTTCTATTGCTTTGTGAGGAAGGTTTGTCTTTTGGAATGTTTTTTTCTGGAGGAAGGCTAACAACTTTTCTGGACTCTGGTCTGGAATACAGAAAGGGGGTCCAATTAAGGGGAAGAAAGTTGAAGTGAGCAAGGGTACGAGCGCCTGCGAACGCGGGTCGTCTGGAGGCCGATATCGGAAGATTTAATAGAGCGCATGATTGTCATCGCGCTCCCTGAGATTGAAAACAAACCAATTTTGAACGAACATGGCACAGAAAGGATGAAAGAGGAAAAAACGTTTTCTATTCTGGACAAGCTCTCGCCAATGAGGGTTAGCAAGTAGTATAATTCTATCATACATAGGTTTGAATACCATTCATTCATTTTATAACGGGAAAGTTTAGCATAATACCTAGTAGGCCTAGAAGAGGTCGGTTGGGAGCGGTTCGAAACTTTATCTTTCTCTGATTTTATTCTTTCTTGGTTATAACAACCTTTTTAATTTCATCGACGTGAGCAGCCATTACGGCTAGGCAGAACCTTGCTCTGTGTCGATAAATCCCCAATCGACCGAGAGCTTTCACAATTATTTTCGGACTTCACACGATCAATAGATTATTTATTGATCACCATCGGACCGTAAAAATACTAGGTTACCAAAAATTGAATCGTACTGGTTTCTCTCGCTTGTTTCTTGCAACATGTATGTGATATAAAGCATGTAAAACCATTTTTCGGTAGAAATTTTGTCCCCATTTCATATGACCAAAATTTTTTGCAATTGTCGGGGGTCGAAGTTTATCGTTGGTGTCTCTTTAGGCCCAACGAGCAGCACGATTAAGTCCAGGTGCTGCATCACATTGAATTTGGTTCGGCACATGAAAAGTTCGACGTTTGAAACAAGCAGAAGATACGTATTCAGAAATACGATGAACAAAAAGCTTTTACTAGCAGCCGAGCACAATTTTGATTAATCTAAAATTAATTCGGAAATTTTGACGATTTGAATAACATATGTTTTTAACTGTATTTTAGAAATACATCTGTATTTTGGAAATACATCTGTATTTTGGAAATACATCAGTATTTTAGAAATAAATTTACTTGACATTAATTTGCAGTTTCATTGGCAAGATATTATTGGCAGGAATATTGCTACAGAATATGGTAGGATTGAAGGTAGCGACAAGAAAACGTTCATTGCAAAATAACAGGCACCTTCAATCTTTAAAGGGAGGAGGGTTAGATATTCGGAGTCTGTCGCAAATGAAGAGGCATAGCGAATGCTGTATTGTTTGGCGAGTCCAGGGCCTAAGTTTATTCTACTGAGTTCCTCGTGGCTTCATAACTTCTTTCTTTTTCACTCCTAGATAGGTACCTCATGTAAATAGAATACTCATTCACGAAATATAGGAAGGAACAAAAAAGAAAACCTGCTACTATCGCCAATTTTTTAAATATCAATAAAGCTTAAGAGAAGAACAGTTGAGACTGGATTCATAAATGTCTATCTACCAACCCCCTTTCTTCTTCTTCTTTGGCTTTGCTTTTGCAGCTTGTGGCTTCTGTTGACGCGGGGGTACTACATGACTGGAAGATGATGCACCTGGCTGTGGCGATGACACAGGAGAAGGAGATGCTGCTGCAGCAGAGGACTGCGCCCTCGCTGATGGAGAGGTAGGTCTGCAATGAAATTATACCCAATTGTATAATGACGCAATGTAAGATTTAACCGACTTAGAACATCCATAAACACTAAGATGACCTGGTGATTATGATAATTATGTTGACTATGATAAAAAAATTTTATGATGACGTTGTTCATGTGGGTCATTGTTCTATCATTCTTAGAATGGACGATGGTGAAGTACCAACAATATCTATATACTCAGCTGGTACCCGTAAACAATATCGCTCACGTAAAGCATAAACTCTTCCATTTTTAAAAAGACAATATAATTAACATCATAGTATTGTCCTGTAATAGTCAGATTCTTTAAACCACCAGCTGAATTGTGTTATATAGATGGTGCTACTGCCGATAACAATCAGCTACCGATAACAATTATGACGTATATTTAGCAGTCTTCATGAAAAGTATTAGCAAAGTACTAGCAAAAAGTCACGCCATGGATTTCTGATGGAACACATTCTAAATCTTCAATTCATTGTTCCAGCTATATCTATTGAAACAGGAAATACTAAGCCCGTGAGATCGAAAAAATCCGTTGAATTAAAAATGAGCCAACTTGCTACCTTGCCAAAATACCGCCTTGATCAGAAAGCAGAATAAAGCGACTTTGCAGTATAGAGTACTAGAAAGGGGCATTTCTTGGACATTCAGCACAACATATGTTTCTTATGAGGAGGACTGGAAGATAACAAGCATGTTTGAAGACTCTTATTTTACGCCTTCTGAGCATACGGTGATTGCCATTGCTTTATTTGTTATCTCCTTTGGCGGCGTCATTTTCAACATCTTGGTATGGATTATCGTGATAAGGAATAAAAACTGGCGAAGCCCAATGAATATTCTTCTACTGAATCAAACATTAGGAAATGGCATCGCCGCTCTTTCTAGTAATGCCTATATCTACATTCTTCGCCCTGACAAACTCACCAGTTCAAAGAAGATGCAACATTTCATTTGTGCGTTAACAGAAGGTCTTGGGCCTTTTTTTATCTGTTATATATCGTCATATATAACCCTCTGTGCTATCAGCTACAATAGATTTGTCAGCATTCGATATCCATTGAGAGCGAATTTGAGGTTTACAAGCAAAATGTCTGTGATATTCTGCATTTTGTCATGGCTTACTGCCTTCGTCTCCATGATGCCTAGTATTATTCCTTTGAAATACGACGTAAACCTGAGAATATGCAACCGGGATTGGAAATCTTTCAATGGCTTAGCTTACCGAATAGCTGCACTATTTCTAGGGATCATTCTTCCGACATTGTTTCTTTGCTTAAGCTATTTAGCAATCTTCTTAAGCTCTAAAAAAGTGCAAAATCAGGCGAATTCTATACATGATATCAGGAGGAAAAGGCGATTGAGAAAAGCAGAAAGGACCCTTGGTTTGTTGATATTGGTGTATTTGGTGTGCTGGAGCCCTTTTTTTGCGTACTGGGCCATATCAACTTTCACAAAAACCCTTAGTCAATACACGGTCAATGGAGCAATCATGACCAATCGCTGGCTGAGATGCTGTGTGTTGATTATCTTATGCGGTAGTGTCCTGAATCCATTGATTAACATTTCTGGTTGTAATGAGCATAAATCTGGGGCTAGGGCGCTTATGAAATCGATCTGCCAAAAGTTGCTTCCGAGAACAGGCAGTCAGGTTAATGCAATGAACGCTTAGTGTAGACCAAGGTGTAGGCCAAGGGAATTCACAAGGAAGAAGTATGGCATTTCTTGGCATTTCTTGATGCAGAAATGTCTACAAAAACTATAAATTTGCTGAACTTTCATTCATGTCTCTGGCTTTTCCTTCCGATTTGATATTACAATAATGCAATATTGTGTTTTAATGATGTAGTTTATATGTATAATTATAGCTGATTTCATCAAAAAAAGAACTTTCAACTTAGTTCAAGCTAGTTTTCCTTGGTTAGTTCTAATAATACGCTTGAATGCAGATGGCAAAATATTTCTCGAAACTTCAATTCCATTCACACACAGGGCAATGTGATGACTAAATGGCCCTTTTGCCTTGACGTTTTCGATTCTTCATGAAAATATAGCAGACCGAGAAAGTTGCATTTGATTGGTTATTATTCTAACCAATCAGTGCCTTTTAACTTACTAATGTCATTGGACTAACACACTTGTGTAAGTCTCTTATACACTTGCGTGTAAGTGTGCAAGTCTCTTATACAGTTGAACAAAATCAGACCGATTCTTATTGTACTGCTACGCAGGAGGATGGGACATTTGCTGTATTTATAGTCAAGCAAAGGGTAGTGAAGAGTCACTTACATATCTTGTGCGACAGCTCCTTGTGGCCCTCTTGCTATAAGAGAGAAGGGAGCAATGGTATTAAGCGAAGTTTGCAAATTTAGCTTGCAAAAAATTTTCAAGTTCATTAATTAAAATCTGTATGTCTATATGCTTTGAAAAGCCTACACTGAAAAGTTCAAGAAGAAGATAAAAATTTCCATTACTCCTTGGATGATGAAACATTTGTGACAGACATTAAAAATGTAAAATATTGATACTAACATTTACTGGGTTAACGATCAGTAGAAATAATTCGTAGTTTAAATCTAAAACCTTACCGAGTTGCCCTCTTTTCTGTTTCTTATGTTTGAATGTCGACCGTTCCCAACGAGGTAGCCATCTTTCTGGATCTGGATCAACATCTGGATTGTAGCTTTTGGGCATTCGAGCTAAAATAAGACGCAAAATTAAAGATACTAGAAAAATGGTCACATGGTATTAGAGCCAGAAAAATTTTGTTGATGAACGTTACAGAGTTTGAAAAAAGAGCGAATTCTAAGAGTTATAAGGCAAGAAATAATTGATAAGAAAAATCACTTACGTTTTCTCTTCTTCTTGCGTTTCTTCTTTAATATCAATTCAGACCTGGAAGGTAGGAAAAAATGATAATTTTAAGCAAAAGGTTTGCGCACTGAGTGGGTTTAAAATGAAAAGGCTGTTGGGGTACAATTTTAATTGTTATTTTAACGAGGTAGTAAATCGTAAGGTGATCTTTTGGTTAAGACTTCGTCAAGCATTTAACACTGCTGTAATGCTAATAAGCATCTTTTGAGAACAGAATACTCTGTAATCAAACTTTCAGATGTCTCTTGAGGTCACATACTATTATGTAAAATCTCAGAGTAGGTTTTCAGATAATCTACGAAGTCTCCCGAGAGGATACTAGCGTTACCTTTGGGCCTGATTGTCTTGATCGGCTTCATTTTGAGCTTTCTTTGAGAATTTAATACTTCCCATTAGATGTTTGCTCTCCAATACATCCACCTCGATTTCGTCATCGTGGACAAATGGAGGTAAATGTTCGCTGTATCTTTGCTTGGTTAAAAAATAAAACTTATGTACGACCGTGTTGGCGACTTAGGCCATAAAAAGATTTTTCTTAGGGCCCATTTTTTTGGGGGTTTCTTATTGTCAAAAATTCCAATGAAAGTGGTCAGTGCCACACTTCAAATGGGTAACCATAAGTTCTCTTATTAAACTTTCGGCAATGTATCGATGTACTTGCCTGTTCTTTAGTATCAATTATCTATTTTCAAAAAGAACAAATCCTTATCGATTGATTTTCTTAAATTATACTTTATAAGAATTGCTATGCTTCTGTAAAATAATTTTTGCTAAGAAAATAATGATGATGGAAAGATGCGAAAATAAAATAGTGATAAAATTTTACGAAATATTCTATGACGGCTACAAAGATTATTTTATTTAATTTTTTTAGTTGAAACTTGGTAAATAAAACTGGAAAATTCAGCTTTTGAACTGTTAGGTGACTGCTATGTTAAAAATGCCAAATACAAAACATGAACTGTACTAGGCCTAAGTGCAAGAAAATTTCGTGGCAAAAGAAATACAATAATTGGTAAGGGGGAAATAAAAGGAGGTGAACGGACAAAAAGGATACTCTTCAGCCTTTTTCGGGTTAATTTGAGAATATGCTGTTATGATTTTGGCCAATGCTTTCAGATCTCCTGGGTCCTTCCTGAAAATGGAACAAGAAGGTATTGGAGAAATCGAATAATTTATCTGTTCAAAGTACGTAGGGCTCAAGGAATGGAGAAATGATAAATGACCACGAAGAATCATTCTTAAAAAACTGCTTACTTTCGAAGCTGCTCAAGAGCAGTCAAAGCTTCTTTGGCTAGGCCATGTCTCATTTTGTAACTAGCATTCTTTCGCATGATTCTTATGAGTAACTCTTTGTCAACCTGTGGAAAATCGGACATTTTAACTTTCATTTTACCTAGCTCGTGTCACTGCAAAAAATGTGCAAAGTTAATTTCAGGGCTTTTTAATTTATAAGAATCACGAACCCCTTGCTTGTCAAAATAAACGACAGCATCATTGAGAATTTGAACAGCTTCATCAACGTCATCCAGATGTGTGTATAGGCTGACAAGGAATGATACCTAAAATTGCAAGGAAAATCAAATAATTAATCACAGAAACAGAAAAGTTGAAAATGGTCTTTTGTATAATGATCTTGTTACTTGTTAGTAACTTACGACTCTAGATAAATCTTGGGAAACTGTTTGAAAACTTCTTAATGACAGCATAAATAGGAAAACATCGGAAATTCTAAGGCTAAAAATGGCTTTAGATCATTTCTCCAGCTTACGCAGTTCATGGTAATATGTGATATTAAAAGTAAACGGTAACGAATTCCCACATTTTACAATATTTCAATGAACATTGAGCAAAATATAACGGTCGTACCATTGCTGGAGTATTCCTTAGTTCTTCTATTGACTTAAGAACATTACCAGCATCCCTGAACTTCCCTAAAATTCGAAGCAAAAATTGTTAATAGTTTTCTCTGACTTTTAAAAAATCAAAATGTCTATATTCCAAATCACAAAAATATCTATATCTTCATAACGAGTTGACCAACCATCGTTAATAATAAAATATTGCCTAGCCTTGTGGTCAATAAACTTTAATTGTACCTTTGAATCAATATAAAAAATCAAGAAGCTTCGACGTTTTTCAGAGAAGAAATGGACGGAAAACTATATCAGAGGTCAACTGTCCTAGATGTATACTAATACTTGGAAGATATTAACTGATTTAAAACAGATCTAAACCGTTGTAGACGTATTTTGTGACGTCATGTCACCTGACTGTAGTAACAAGTGATTGTATTACGTGACTTTGTCAACTGGCATTGTTAAGAGGTGTAAAGAAATTGAGTTGCTTACGATGAAGTTGAGTGAACAAGAGATTAAGTGATTTGATGCATTTCAAAACGTAACGTATTTCACATTTGAATCTGTCCTCAGGACATCAGTTATGCAAAAAATCTTGGAAATGAAACGAAATTAAGAAATAAGGGCAAAAAGTGTTTCGAAGAAAGTTCCCAAAATATATCAAAAGACCTATCGCTGAGAATATTTTGTAATCAAGTTAGCGGTAAGTGGAAAAGAAATGAACCTTTAGTTAAGTAGAGTTGCGCCAATGCTAACTGGATCTCGCTAGAAGCATCCGAAGACTCGACCATATCCTGAAGAGAAATTAACAAATAAAGACATATAAATACGATCAATTCTTCCAGGGTGACAAGCTCTGACTTTCAATGATTGCTTTTTTTACAATAAATTCAGATAACACTTCCTTACTTTTTATACTTCATAAAGTCTAAAACTGTTATCATTGACTGCTAGCCTCATATCAGACAAATTAGAAACTAATTACCTACGGACTCAATATCTGCTTATAGAGTCTTTATCTTTGTCGAAAAAAGAAAATTCTGTCCATGCTAACAAATGCTAACAGAACAATAAACATTCAAGACGAACCTTCATAGACTGGATTGCTTGCTCTGGGTGCTTGTCACGAATCAACATGGCAGCTTCTAGCAAGGCTGCGTTCTCTGTCGATTCAAACGTCTCTCTCAGTTTTGTTATATTTTTCTTGCAAGCTTCAATCTAGAATTGAAAATTTACTTGACTGCTTCAAGACTTTCATAACTGAAACAAGCATTGCACTGAAGACGCTTTATATGCTTAAAAGATTCAATATCCAACTAAATCATACCTGGTTAGAAAACAAATTGAAGAGGCCTTTGTTCATTTCAATGATTTCTTGCTGTTTTCGGGATAGTTTGTGCTCCAATCCATTTGCAGACATAATTCTTAGTTTCTTCTTTGAATCAAACACATCTTTGTCCTACATAATATACAAAATTCAATAATCGCCAATAGCAATATTCCACACATTAGGCTTGACAAAAACTATCAATATGGCAAAAACCAGCAATATGACAAAAACTATAAATATGACAAAAACCATCAATATGGCAAAAAACATCAATATGACAAAAACTATAAATATGGCAAAAACCATCAATATGACAAAAACTATAAATATGGCAAAAACCATCAATATGACAAAAACTATAAATATGGCAAAAACTATCAATCTGACAAAAACTACCAGGTGAATAAAAGATCAATACCCCAAGTGCTAAGCACATAAAGGATGAAGCTGTAAAGATATGCTGTTATAGTTGAATACCATTGTGTCAAAGCTATTAAGCAGGATTATTATAGTTTAATATCAGAGAATTAAAAATTATAAAACTAGAATGTTATATTTGAATATCAGTGAATGAAAATAGGTTATTATAGTTGAATAAAAGTGAATCAAAGCTATTAAACTAACTTATTATAGTTGAACATCAGTGAGTAAAAGGTATTAAGAGAGATTGTTATTGTTGAATATCAGTGAATCAATTAGGCAAGGTCGTTAGTTGGATATCAGTTCTAACATTTTATTAATACATCATACTTATATGAATTCTATATATTTCACCTTGTTTATTGTCACAATGTTATTGGAAATCACTGCAGCTAATGCATCAGCATCTGATGGCCTAGAAAGAAAAACTTTTGTTTATAATTTAATAAAATAATCAAAGCGAGAAAGATGGCATACATAATGCTGCGAGGGATGACAACAACAGTGATAGGTATGATGGTGTATTCTCTTACATACATACGACGAATTTGAAACCAAGTTGTTCAAAAATACCTCCATTGTCGAAACATTTTGAGACAACTGCTCAAATGAGATCATCACTTGCCAAACAATTATACTCTAGTTGCTTTTTCTCCTTAAAACTAAATCCGAATAGAGTTTATTAAGCCATGAAAACATCTCACATCCAATCGTTAGCTTTTGTCTAGTGAATCAATGCTTAGCGATGCTGGACTCCAGAGAATAACTCAAATAGCAGGAAAGCAATCACATGCAATTTACTGGGCATGATATTGCATTTCTTGTCCATTGTGTGCCTTTAACTAGCCTGTTAAGTTTGCTTTCAATAAAAATCAGGGATGTCTAAATTACCCCTAAGTAAAAATACTGACTAAGTAAATTTACCGTTTACCAGCCAATATCAAAGCAAGAAGTAAAAAGAAGTTCAACACATAATTGCAATGATTAATACACCACATGTTCTGAGCAACCAAACGAAACAGTTCTGTTTCATATAAAAGAGCTTTGATTGTTATAGACATCAAATTACGATTAAAAAACTGCAGGACATTATCCAATAAACATACTTAGTTTTCATGCTTTTCAGCACTTGTTGGTATATCTTTAGACTTTCACTGGTCTTGCCTTTAAGCTGCTTGATGTATGCCATTTGAGCCCTTGAATTAAGAAACAAGACAATCAAAATGAAGATCAATGGATGATACAAACTAATAACAAATACGGTAAACTTGTTCTTCCCTCTATAAGTCGATACTCAATTCAACTTAGATTTATGATAACTTAGATATCATTTAAAGCAACAAAATTAGCTGAATGTTAATCAAAATTCGACAGCTTTTGGTGTTACCTGATCACCCCAAGTTCTTTATCAATTTCTTCCTGAAGTTCCTCTTCCGTAAGGTCCTAGGTACGACAGCAATAGCAGGAAACTGCTTTAATGAAAGTCACAACCAATTCACAAGAAGAAAACAATGGCTCTTTGAATAATATAGATGAACTGACAAACGTCAGGTTGGCACTGAACAGAAGAAGCACTCCTCTCAATGGCCCTCGTTAGAGAGGGGAAGGCTTGGTGATTACGATGATGACTGGTGATAACTGATGATAATAAAAATGATTGATGATGATTATTGATTAACAATTGGCGGTGATCGTTGATGTAAATTGCTTATTTTGTGATTTGTGATTTATAATCATGATTGTGAGGGTGATGAAAAGGTAACTAAGATTGATATATACAATCCTTAAAAAAGGGTTGACACTCTTCATCCCCTTCTTCCAGCTTTATTCAATATATCTGCTATTGAAATTCATATACTTGAGCTTCGAAATGAGGTAATGATTGAAAAAGGTTCTATACAGGAATCCAACTTGGCATATGCTTAACCTTTTGTCTGCACATTTATATCCTAAAATTTAGATGCAGGTCTTTTGACCAATCATTGAACAAGTATTAGAATTGCGTTAGAAGGGAGGGAATAGTGTCTGGTCCAGTGGATTTTCATTTTCAGTGCATCAATTTGGCTATATACCAGCTTTGTTTCAGATAAGGACAACATTATACAAGCAAACTTGTTTCTGTTTCAGTATGTCATTCGAATTGGGGATAAAGATGAATATTTTTCTATAAAATATGGTTGTAGGAGCTTGCTGTCCTATTGAATATTAGAATATCATAAATCCTTGCTGGAGCATGTAGGCCCATATCAAGAATTTATAGAAATGCAGTTTTCTTAAAATGTTAACATATGATATAAATTACAGAATAACAAAACTTACTGGGTCATCTTGAAGGCTCTTTCTGCACAAATCTGTGTAAAGATATAAAGGACTGGATATGAGGCTATCTTTCTAGGAACAAACTTAGCAGCCATAAGGCTTTCATAATGTTAATCGAACCTGAATTACTGTAACAACTTTATACATATTCTAAATAGTAACCTTAAAAATGCTGAAAAATTTACAACCTGCTTTCAGAAGAAGTTAATACAGATGAAACTCTCTTCTATGAAAATCAATTATGATAAGATGATTTTCAATGGGCCAGAGGCGTCATGGCAAATGAATTCTAGAGGGGGCCAGAAAGAAACATTTTCCAAAAAAATTTCTTTGATTTATTTTATTCAAATAGAAGCATTTCATGTTAGTGCAGAGGAGGGGGAGAAAAAACACTATTTTAGTGCAAGTAATTTATGTTGCTAAAAGGCTCAATTCACTTCTCCTTTTTACCCACAAGTTTGAGAATTTTCCGACAGAACAATAATTTTTCAGAAAATCTGTCAAGTTTTGGAAGCAGGGGGGCCACAGCCCCCTCTTGCCCCTCAGCCATGATCCCCTGCAATGGGCTAGGACTTATACTGTCCAATATAGTGCTGCTATTTTTACTCTGAGGTGTATCGGATTTACCAATGGCTCTTGGATCTCTTATCAAAGCAGCTCATTGATAGTGGGTGGCTGTTTCTAGTCCAAAGTAGCCAGAAAACATAGACAATTTAGGTGAATCACCCTTAAATACTGGGAAAAAAAGTCAGCATTTTGCAGCAAGACCAAGCTAAGCTAAAGAAATTGGTATGAGTCCAGAGGTTGGATATCTTCAGAAGAAAAAGTTGAAAGGGTCTGTCATTTCGGTACAAACAACACTTTGAGTATTCAGAACAAGGCAATATTCACATTTTAAGTTAACTTATGTCCTAAAGCATTTGGCAAAAATTTATTAAAAACAAAAGATTTTTACCTTCAGCCTTTTCGAGCTTCTTCTGAGCCTTGTCCAAGTCTCCTTTAGCAATGAAAAGTGAAGAATAATTATAGCACAGTTCAAATGTATCGTCGCGGTCTGGAGCTTCTCCCTGAAAATTAGATGGTATAAATGTCATTCATAATATATCCATAGCATTAGGAACAATATTGCTTTTAATCAAATGCTGTAACTAAATGTAACTTGGATGTACGATGATAGCCAAATATTTTACAACGTCTTTCAAAATTTGAAAGAAATTAAAAAGAGGAACAAAAACTTACAATATTTTGTCCTTTCCAAAATTTTGCAGCAGCAACAACAGCTAAGAAATTAGCTTCTCTTTCATCTCCTAGGTCATCCTGTATAGAATAGAAGCAAATTAGTATAAAACCTCACTAACAAAAACTTAAAATAAAACTTCCTTTTAATGCTTCATGCTCATAGCTTATATATAGGAATACCAACTTTTGGGAAAAGAACTTTGAATTTTCATGAACAAAAATTGATATAATAAAATATTGACTTTATATTTTTGAATTTTCATGCCTAATTGATGCTTTGATTATAAAAATAATTGATTAGATACTACTGGATAAAAACTTTTAAAGCTTTGAGTTGCTATGAGTCAAAGATTTTTACCCTACATGTTACTTTTAATGATTTAGTGATTGAATCATACAAGTTATATTTTCCTGTAATGTCAGTTAGAACAATCTGTTACTTTAAGAAAAAGTTTGAATAAAACAGGGGCCACTCAATAACAAATAATATGACCTAAATCTGAAGTGTTCTTTGCAAATAGAATCATTCACCTGGGAATTCTTTATCAAATCTCTGTAAAGCTCAAAGCAGGCCGAATAATCCTCCAATCGGTACAACTAAAATGAAAATACATTCAAATTGATAAAAAGATTGCCCTCAGTTACAATACAAGACTATTTCATGCGACAAAAAAGAGCAAAAGCACATTGGTAGTGAAAATCAAAACAAATACAGACCACTTGAGCAAGAAGTTCTCTTTCTCTGAGGCCTGGATTTTCTATATCTTTTAGTGTCTTTAAAGCCGCTGTTAGATCATTCAGCCTGTATTGACAATAAGCTTTCTCGAATGGCAGCTCTATAATTCTGTAAGGGGAAATTGTATTACATTAAATATCAACAGCAACAGATCTATTCATAGTTCATATTTCAAAAGTAAAAGGTTAAACAAGAATATATCTCATCTAGATGAATTCTTAGTGTTAAAATGTAAACACCCTAAAAACTGAAATAGGACATTTTAACCTGTGGTCTGGTCTATACTACAAATTAGGTCCAACATGAAAACCTAAGGGTTTTTAAATGTCTTTTTGAAACATTATGCTTTCAACTATAAATTAAATTTTTGCTAAAATAAATTAAACAGAATAATTATCTAAATAGAAAACTCCTCCTACCCTTTTCTTTCTATGGACAGAATAACATCAAGACCTTCTGAAAAGTATGACTGATGAAGGAGACAGACAACTTTGCATTTCAAGGCATCAATATCATTAGGAAGTTCTTTCAAAACTAAATTCAGAAAGAAAGAAATACAATTTTAAAAAAATGTATCAATGAGATAAGTGGAACAGAATGTTGGTTTGCAAGAGAAAACCATCTTACATCTATAATTTCATGAGGTGATACAATTTGAAATTTATCAATTGTTTTTAGTTAGTTAGAAAAGTCATGCATACAGTGGAATTCTTTAATACCCATCAACTGGGCTTAACTGAACTGGGCATTAAAATTCAAATTATATAATTCTTTAAAACAGGCTAATAATGAAATTGAATAATAATATACATTTAGGGTACAAAAGTATCGGAATGATAGTCAATAATGGTGGCTCACAGTGACCAAGGGCCTAAGGCGATAAATTTCTGGAAAAAAAATTACTAGGTGAAGGGGCCTTTGTTGCTAGTGACTTTGGCAGGAAAATAATGCGTCATTTCAATGGCTTTGGAATAATAATAAATTAGGAGGATTGAGGAAAAAAATATGGGGAAACTTTGACCCAATATTCAGAAAAATTCTGAAAAAAATTATCGAAGTATTGATAAACAATTAAGAAAAAATGTTGGCAATTTTGAAGAAGCACAACATATTTCATTCATACTTAAATCTGGATACGTTTACATTTGTACTGAAAATTAAATTATTACTTGGAGGATTCTTGGTAAGAAATTAGCTTGCAGATTATTGATAATGAAACAAGACAAACACTGTTTAAAGTTGATGTTTAGCAATCAAAACAGTTTATTGTCTAAAAACATAAACAGCTTGGATTTAAATTATTCTATTCGCGATATACAAAAGCATGATTTACACGAGCATATTAAAAGATTCATTTGGCCATCAGAGCAAAGCTTAAAGTTTCTTTACCTATATTTTTACTTTTAAGTGTTGCATCCTTTTTCAAAAAAGCTTCATTTTATTGTCACTATTGACAAATGCTTTAGAAATTTTGTACAGAAACATTTTGAAGCTGTGCTTTAATGTTTTACTGAATTTCCTCCTTCAAACAGCAAACTAATTATTCAATTATATTTTCAACTGAAACTCTGTAAGATGACAAATGCATTTTCACGCCATTAACTATCATTCCCAAGCCCCTTCACCTAGTAATTTTGTTTTGGAAATTTATTGCCTTGTAAGCAGCTACTTTAACTACCGTTTCCACAATTTTGTACCCCAAGTCAAGTGTACATGCAACTAAGCATAAGAGTTTGATATGGCAAGGGTCGACAGTTGAAGAAGGCCAGGTGAAATCTGACGGCGGAATAAAGAGACAAAATTTAGCAGACATTGATAGAGGTTGCCAAAGAGCCTGTGGGATCCCAGAACACCGAGATAATGAAGATGAGACGAGAGAAAGAAAATGAAGCTTCGAGCAGAAAGTGACAATTAAAGCAAAAAAATTGGATTGATAACAAAATTATCGCTTCAAAAATTTATTGAGATTAAAGAACTTGAATCTTACTTTTATTTGCAATTTTCTGAGCTTTTCCATATTCCCCAATCTGTGCGAAACTGTTCAAATCTGTAAAAAGTTTCGGCACCACATTTTCCGCCATGTTTCTAACATTGATGACGGTATTCGTCAGAAAGAGGCTGTCCGTTAATCGAAGCCAAAAAGCCGTGATTGAATTGAATTACTAGTCCGTGAACGTGCTTTTCCTCGCGGCATTTCTTTCGCCACTAGTTGCTTGAGAATTCGAATAAGCCCTGGCCAAACGAATAAAACATCGGCATAAAACATCATCCAGCATTGTTGGATAAAACATGTTTATATTTGGCCACCATGTTTTACGATGTTTTGTGAAATTTGATTTACATCAAATATTTCGTAAACATCTCTTTTGTTCTCATGTTTGATCAGCAATTTAAGCCTGGTTTCCATATAGCCGTAAGGCTGCCTGCGACTGCTTTCTGCCATCTTCCATCCCTACGGTATCGCCGGCAGATAATTCTTTATGGAAACGCTTTCTAACGGTACCGCAGGCAGCTGTTTGAAGTGCCGTAAGACTGCCGGGAGAGCCGGGAGAAAGTTGAACGAGTTCAACTTTTCCCGGCTCTTACGGCAGCTTCCCGGGACCGCCGGCAGACAAATCACAAATGGAAACGCCTTGCCTGCGGCTGCCGGCGGCGTTCTTTTGTTTAAACGAATCATGTGATGTGCAAGAACCAATTGAAAAAGGGCCTTTGGAAATTGTTATCGTTTTTCATTGTCACATCTTTCCAAAAAAACATGGCGTCGTCCTCGTCTTTCGTAGTCGAAACTTCGGAACAGATCTCAGAAATTAGTAATGAAAAAGTAATGGACTGCAAAAGAAATTATCGTTCCATGTACGACAAGAAATGCAAGGACCATAAAGCTCCTCCCAAAACCTGTGCTTTCTCTCAACTTTATTGCGTCTTCTTCTGTGTCTCATGTAAGCAAGTAGCAATATGTATTCATATTGAAGCAATAATCGTTCGTTTATTGCAGCAGCCATGTTTGTTGTTGAATTTTGCCCGCCAGTTTTTCCCGCTCAAACTTTACCTAGTTACCGGCATAGTTACCGATACCGCAGGCAATTGCAAACAAAACGTTTCCATTTGCCGGCGATAATGTAAGGGTGGAAGATGGAAGATGGCAGAAAGCAGTTGCAGGTAGTCGCAGGCAGTCGCAGGCAGCCTTACGGCTATATGGAAACCAGGCTTTACGCCAATTCGACTAACAGCCAAATTTTGAAAATTCTTCTAATTCTTTTGTATAAACAAAGTTTTTGACCGCAGATTCGGATTGAGAGCAATGATTTTAGTCCACTTTGAAGTTTTCATTGTTGTATTGCTTACGATAATGATTTTATTATGACAATAAGATAAAAATGTTATAATTTGACCGTGATTGGCGACCAGGAGGGCAAAGTTTCGCCAGAAATGATTTTTGCGATAAAATCCCTTACAAGTTTTCAAACTTAATTTCTCCATAAATCTAAAATATAAGCACAAACAATATGAAAAAATGTATTTGGCCTAAAATTATTGCGATAAAACCAAATCTGAGCTTAAAAATATCGTATATAATTAAGCCGTAAGTTGAAATGGTGTACTGCGTTCGTTTGGCCATCCCTTGCAATACTTGTTTACTCATGCCTACGCAGTAGATCAACATTCTGTAAATAAAACGAAGTAACCATAGACAGCAGTGCTTGATCTCGCAGATGTTTTGACATTTGTTTGACTCGTTTGGCCATGAAACATTGTCCAACAATGTGGGTAAAATACTGTGGGTGATTTTTACGAATACAATATATCGTCTGTCTGTCGAGAATAATTTTCAGGTGCCAATAGTCAGTCTGTGATTTTCTATACAAAGAAATAAACAATTTCGCAACTATCCATTGAATGGTTTTCCCAGATACACACGCAAAAGCCTGGCCCAGCAAAAGCTTTCTTAGAGCCAAAAAGAGCCAACAGCAGTTGATAATATGGACCTGCACTGTTATCCTCATCATTGGGTGCATTGGTAGAAGCTGAACTATCACGCTGAAGACCCAGAAAACGAAACATGTCAAAATTTCATTTGAACCTTGTTATTTGCCCTTTAGCCCCTTTTTTCGGAGGGCTTTTGTTGCACAGTATAACTGAGGAACCTAGTTTCGTTTCCCTCGAAGTCAGTAGGAGAGAAAAAGGACAGCGAGAAAATCTCAATGAATTATATTAAGAAGATCAGATAAAAAACTACAGTCAACATCGTTAGTAATTAGTTGCTTATGCTATTTAGTAGAAGGCTTTAAAAGTGCAATTATCAACAAATCAGTGGCGTAACGCAATTTAGGGCACTTACGGTCGATATTAAGGGGCCCTAATCAAAACGGGCCCTCAGCAACTTTCAAAGCTCTTTAACTGACGCTTGTAGCTCAGGTCCCACCTAGTGAACGAGAAAGTCATCATTTTTGCGTCTTGCTACTTTGTTTAATATGATATACACCATTAGATAGGACCTATTGCAGCCCGTAGATACAGTACAGGCCCTGTTTTAGCTTTACTTCTAAGGGCCCCAAAGGCCTCCGTTACGCCACTGCAACAAATACAGTATAAATCATGTGTACCATTCTGTACACAAAGAAATGCATCTCAATAGCTCGCGCATCAAGACCTGCAAAGAGACGATACTACAAATTAAGGTTAAATAATTCTGTAACAACTTTACTGCCGACAGAGCAAACAAGCAAGCAGTGTCTATTATGTGTGGGCTTCAGTTCTAGGGCCTTCAATTCCGATCTTGAAATCTTCCATAGTGTCTGAGCTGAAAAGCTCCAATCCCTGTAAAAGGAAATGAAAGGGAAATGTAATGAAAAAGTACAAGGAAACGGAAAAGGGAATGGCAATGTAAAAATGTGAAATGTAAAAGGTAATGAAAGGCACCATTAATGAAGAAATCAAAAATTAAATTGAACAAGCTGGATGGAATAAACGTAACTCCCTTCCCCAGTATATACAGAAACAAGTAAGAGACAATTTTCTGGCTTTGGAGATTTCTTGCTTTTATTCATTAAATTACAATGGGTGTCATTATAGCATTATAGCTTTCAATCAAGGAAGCTCCTCTAAACATCCTTCTAATGGAGGGCACTTTACAAAATCTTTTAGTTCAATTCATCTTAATTCTGTCCACATATGTTAATGAAAGGACAGGACATTTATTATAAAAAACGATCGTGGGTTCTACTGAGTGGATCTGAAAAACTGCGTTTCATGGCAAAACTGTGCCCTAGCGTGCAACACTTAGTAAGCAATACAATTAATTTTGTCTTTTTGCAATGTCTATCAACGTATAAAGAAAAACAAAAACAATACCCGAAGCAATCTTGCCTAGCTCTTGCTAGATTTCTTTACAAACCCCTTCTATAAAGTGAAGTTCGTTTTGCTAGAGCAAATCTACGTTTAAAACTGTTTGGTATAAACTGGAAGCTTTACTGGATGAATCCTTTTCGTAGAAGTTTTATACTTACCTTTTCGTTGGCTAAATATAGCAAGCAGACAAATGCAATCGGAACACTCAGATTCTTCGACGCATTCTGAGATAATTTTTCTGGTAACACTGAGTAAACTTCTTTGAAGCTTTTTAATTCTTGCTTTTCGGGTGTATCTGGTTTCGATTTTCGAGGAGATTTGTCAACAACATTTTCCTAAAGTCAACAAAAAGAACATTTAATAATCTATAGATCGTTAGACTAAAAGAAGAATGAACTCAATTGGTATTAATCGCTAAAGTGTTTCCTATAAACTTAAAACTAGTAGTAAGATAATATAAGGAAAAATAAAATACACATTCATGAAAAAGATCAAGGTTTTGCATGCTCTTTTTGAGAATGGTCTCATTTTGCATGCTCAAACTGATCATTTTGTATAATCATGGCAATTACTTTAAAACTCAAAAAATAAACAAAATTTGGTACATCGCCTAGTTTAAACAATATCTTTCACCAAAAGCATAAATATCAATACCAATAATTGATATTAATACCAATAATAACAGGACAATAATATCAACATTTGTATCTCAGGTAAGTTCAAATGAGTACAAACGGAATAAAAACGGCTAGGCACAGCAAAATTTTCTCTCAAAACATCTAGGAACATACAAGCATATTGAATGATGCAATGATAAAATATAAATACCAAACATAATTCCTAAAATGATTCCTGAAATGACATATTTAGCAACATCACCTTGACAGTTTCACCTTCAGTGAAGTCGAGCGTCTCCCAAATCGATCTTTTCAGTTTTTTGATGTCTATTCTTTTCGCCGTTTTTGCATATGCTATGTTAATTTTCTCAACCTGCAAGTAAGGAATTCACATTGGTTGGAGATCGGAAAATAATGATCAGCGGATGATTGAGTGATTAGCCCACATGATTGTTCTTTTTATTAATAAAAAAACTGCTAATAATGATTTGGTAAATTATGACTGCTAAACAGATACTTTGATCCATAACTTTGATGCTTGAATTGCCAAATCACGAGTAATTCTAATGATATAACAAATGATATTGCAAACATAAGCAGTATATTATGATTACCTTGTTCGGCTGGCTGACCAGGTTATCTCCGCCAAAAAACGTTTGGTCTCCCACCGTATCGTCAAAACCACGATGGGTTGCATTTGCTATTGAATCTCCTGTGACCCCTGTATTGTTATTCATGACGTCATCGCTCGGGCCGTAATCGTCATCATCATCCTCATTCTAAGCATCGGAAGAGAAATAAAAAATCAGAACTTTTTGACCTAGTCCCGATCTTATGTCGCTTACTACAATAATGTTGTGGTTTTTTGTTCGTGTGATCCGACAAACAGAACAAGATACAATAACGCAAGAATTAGAAGGAATCCTACACTTCTACATTTTTCAAGCTTGTAAATTAGCGAAGTTACCACGCAATATACACTTTTCCTAACCTGACAGGTGAATGTTTAATTCTAACTACAATAATAACAGTACTGTGAATTTCTTTAAATTTCCTAGTATTCATATTTAGCATCCTACTGGAGTTTGGAAGGTTTACTAAAAGACGCACAAACGCATTTATAGTTTATCCTAGATTTCTATCGTACTCCAGTCAGAAAGAAGAAAAAATGACACAGTAGAAAGCAAGCTGGAAACAAGCAAGTAGAGAAGCACGCAAGCGAGCAAGCCATGCAAACATGCGTAGCAGTTAGCAACGTAGCAAGCACAGCAAACACAGCAAGCGAGCACAGCAAGCAAGCACAGCAAGCAAGCAAGTTATTCAAGCAAGCAAGCGAGCAAGCAAGCGCAGCAAGCAAGCAAGCGAGAAGCAAGTCATTCAAGCAAGCAAGCGAGAAGCAAGTCATTCAAGCAAGCAAGCGAGCAAGCAAGTCATCCAAGCAAGGAAGCGAGCAAGCAAGTACGAATGCAGACATACATATTTAGTCAGAGTTTCTTTAACATATCTACGAAAATACCTTCAAAGATTTTTCATAGCCAGATGAAAATACGTATTTGTGCTAAATTTCATACAATCAAACATTGAGCCTGACCTGAAATGCTGGACAGAAATTGTCTTGATCAAATCTGTTCTCATAATTGTATACGTATACATCATTTTCACCTATAAATGACAAAATATAAGTAAGTTAAATTTTTACACATACACCAAAAAAGGCTAATTATTATTTTGAATTTTCAAAACTTCTAGAAACGTAATCTACAGCTTTGATTGGCCTACTTTTTATCAAATAGAACGTTATAGAGACACTACTGAATTCAACTTGATATTAGGGAACAGTTCTCGTCGCCTACTTACCGTCGACAGTTGACTTGAACTTTCTCCTTATCTGAAATGCAAACCAAAGAAAAAGTAATTAATATAAATTAAATGCACATTGATGATATTCACAAATAACCAAAAAACCATTTACTCTTTTGAAAACCAAGTTAAACAAGACAAATGAGCCTGATTGGGGGTGTTCTTTGTTCTGCTTTAAGAAATCCCTGCCCTATTAAACTACTAGACTACCATTATATTTAAATTCCCTTCCGTCTTCCCCCCCTCCCCCCTCAATATGTACAAAACAGGAATCGGAAATGGCTTTAATAAATGGGCAGGATATTAATACCAGAATAGGAAAGTTTTGTTAACAAAATAATTAACTAACTTTTTACTATTTCGAAATAAAATCACATTGCTCTTTTGAAATTATTTTGAGAAGGGCTGCTGTATTATTCTGCCACATTAGCCGTAGGTTAACAACACTTTCATCCGGTTAATCTGTGCAACACCTTAGAAAAATAAATAATAGTTGATGATGCTTAAAAACCTACCTTAACTGCAGGCTTAATGAAGAGTTTTAAAAAGTTTTCCGCCTCGTAGTGGATGTCATCGGGCAGGGTTGTGTTGGTTATAGACATCTTCTTCAGGGTGATTTTCGCAAGTGTTTTTGACGCCTTTAGAATAAAATATATTGAGAAAATGGAAAGAAGAAGGTTTTAAGGCCTTTGATAAACAGAGCTTGAAAAATGACAATATTATTCGTGAAATTCGGAGTTGCAATTTTTAACCTTCCTGTTCTTTACAGGAAAATGTGAGCTTGAAACTCGGGAGTATTAATGACCCATTTTCAATTAAGATTTCTAATATATTTAATTGTTAGATTGATTGTGTAAAACATTTATTGTACATTTAGGCTTTCTATAAATAATTACTTTTCATATTCATTGTATATAGTCGGCATAACATCAGCTTAATGCTAGATCTCGTTGCCAACTGTAAATAAATTATTTGTGTATATCATATTTATATTATAGTTACATGTTCTGTACCCCTGTGTGGATCAAACACTGTTTTATCAGAATGTACAAAGCACGCTTAGGTAACCGTTCAGTCATTTACAATATCTGTTACAATACTATCTACCATAAGCAGAGAACAAGCCTCATGGAAATTTGTTTCTTCACCTGGCCTCATCCACCATGAAAATGTTGAACGTGCAATGAATGGACACAACAGAAACCAATCCAGAATACCATTTTCGCAACCAACTCGTTTCAATTAATGGGTAAACAGATGGATTATTATCCAGATTTGTAAACTGTCTTCGTAAAAGGTTAAAGCAATCTTTTAGACGGGCTTTGAATTGTTTCGCATACTGATTTCAATTAATTTCGTAAAACATAAACAAAGCAAACACTAACCTTGCCTAATTTTTCGATTCCACTTATCAAGAAGTCGTCATCATAATTGAAAGTAAAGACTTTTTTCTGTCGCTTTTTCTTCGATGTTTCCCCATCTGCTAAGCCTGCTTTCGTTGGTTTCCCACGTACTTTCCAATGATGGGGACCTGCCCAGGTATCAAGAATATCTTGACGAAAATAAGAGTATTCGCTTGGTTGAAGAGAAAACTCCAGTCCTAATTGGCCAGTTCCAGCAAATGGACCTTCAGTTAAACCATCGGGCCTGTTGGTGTATACTCACTGGTTAATGATATGAAACAAAATACAAGAAAAGAATCGGAAGAAAGCCAAAGTAGAAGGTCATAAACACACCTGTCAGCTAGGTATTTGGCAACATCATGTCACACAAACGAACTATGTCTTCATACCAGCTACGTATGAAGCAACATATAGATTGAAAGACAATAAAGACTCGTGCGACTGCCTCAGAGACCTTTTTTTGCTCAGCCGATTAATTGAGTCCCTTGAAAAAAACAACATACCATTTTCTATTCTTATAATCGTTTGTAAACATCGCTTGCAAACATCGAATTAAAATATATTTTTACTCATAAATCGAGTTGAATTTATAAATCTAGAAAAGTTATTTCTTCAAATCAAATCGCTATTTACTGTAAACTATCGTCCATCACACCAGCCTGTGATAGCGAAGTGCCAATAATGATCGCTTAGGATATCAAAAGGCTAATTAGCGGATAACTTGCCGGACGAACATCCATGGCATATTAGATAGAGACACACACAAATAAAAAACATTCTGGAATATGATTACTAAGTAAAAGCTCGAAAAGCAAATTCATTCTAGAGTAGAAAACAATAAAAAAAGTTGAATTACTTGTTGTTTCCTGAAATGATATCTGTAATTGCACCTTGGTCAGCACAACTGCCATTAGACATCTCGTCGTCATCCTTAGTTCAAAAGGAAAGAAACGAATTGAAGTTTACATGGTGAAAAACTGACAGGGAAAAACATACATTTCAATAAAGATTCTATGTGAAAATTCTCTCAGAAACAATACAATTTTTATTGTCGTCAATTTTCGAAATTAAAACAGTGAAATTTAAACACAAGCTTTAACAAAAAATTTGGTAACGAGACAACACTTAAAAATTAAATTAAAATAACATTATTAAAAATAACAGTATTTGAAATGAGTTTTTCATAAAAAAATCTTCAAATTATTTGATAAAATAGCATAAAAAACAATTGATACATTATGGCTTAGTGGTTAGGATCGTAGACTGCAGATCAAAGGGTCTGGGGTTCGTGCCCCTGATGTGACCAAACTTTCACTGAGGGTAAGTGATCAGCTCGCTATCATTTTTGGCTTAAAAATCACGAGGTGCGGTCACATCGCGAGGAAAGATCAGAACACTGCTCGATAAACACATTTTTGTAGTGTCCTAAAAACTACTTTTGGAAGTTAGGAAGATTCAGATACAAGAGAAGATGTTTGAAGAAGGGCGGGATGAAGAAAAATTTAAACAGTGCTGTATATTAGAATAAATGTGTACAAATGTATTGGGATTTCTGCAGAATCTAGGAAAAGTGGCGATCCCTTGGCTGACAATCATGAAGATACCAGGCCTTGTTTTCGTTGATTTTTAAAGGGAGGTTTTGTCAGTTAGGGCCCACTAGCTGGAGAAAGGATGGACAGTTTTCTTCACTCTGGCTTGCAGTGCAATCTTATATATATGAAAAACTGTTAGTTTGGGATGCAATGCAGTATTTATATAGAAAGCAGGTGATTTGTTTTGCAAGCCAATGCGATCAAAATAAGGAAAGACCACCAAAGGATAGAAAAATGGATAGAAAAAACACCGAAGTTGTAGTAATGTTCAAACAGCACATACGGCTCCTCCACTGTAACCACCATCAGAAGCATAATCGATGCCTGGGTCTTCAGCATCGGGCTCCAAAACTGAAATAATACAGAAAACAAAACTGAACCTCTATATACTTTATCGACAAAAAATATTACAATTTTTGCTAATCTATATTCATGGAAATATCTAAGTAAGCAAAAAAATTTACCAACACTGATCAAAAATAAAGAATATTAGACACATGAGGTCTTGCTGCACCATTTCGGAGACACTAAGTAGAAGTATTGCTAACAATCTCTTAGTAAAAGCACAGGACTTGGTCAAAACAATAGGTGCCTCTGGTGCCAGCATCCATTGTCTATATATCGTATCTGTCACTTTTTGAATAAGAAAGGTTCGTATAGATACTAGAGATTTCTTACTTGAGGCGTCTTGATCGAAGCGATGGTTGTCGTTTGATGTCTTGTCATTGTGCTCAGGAATAAGACTCTAAAAAAGAGAAGACCCATAACCAGGAAAAGTAAAAAAGACCAGCTTAACATGCGATCAACACACATTTACAAACAACGCCGAAACATGGATTACTAGCAGCAGTAGCGTGTAGGACTTCATATTTATTTTGCTTTCTCTAAAAAAGACATAAGTCATTCGTTTAAATGAGAAGATGCCAAACAGGCTGATTTGTTAAGATGTCTTATGAAACAGATAGCCAGTTGACGTCACCTAATGTAAGTCGTTGTGAAAGCGGAGAGCTTCACTCAATACATTCAGTTAACAAACAGACCAACTCTTTTCTCAAGTCATTCTATATGAACTTACAAATTATCTAAAATGAAATTGCAGATAGGGTGATGTACAATTTTCTTTCAAGATAGCTGAATCCCTATTCAAATGAGCATTTTCTATAACTATTTCTCATTTTCAAATTCTACATGAAACATCTACTTAATTCATTTTCAACTACTCAAGATTGTTCATGAAAATGGGTCAGTTATTGCATCTACCTTTCTCATTGGATATAATGAACACAATATATTTTTAACTTCAGATAGGTAACTAAAGCTGTCACAAAGAAGAAATATATATGCAGAAAAACATTTTCCTGTACCTGTGAATCTCTGTCCCATTCGGTAAATATGAAATCTCGAAACTGCGGGCATATCTCAATGTTGTTTTCAAATAATCTTGAAGTAATATCTGCAAATAGGAATGAAAACAATATAGGGTGCTCATAGCTCGTAGATCAGTGGAGAGTAAAATTTAGAAATAAATATTTCGCTATGAAGATACTAAGTAATTTGATCGAAGAAACAACATTTTGGTTTTGCTGTTTCATTATCAAGGAATAGAATTGAACATGAGAAAATGACTAGCGTAGCAAAGAAAATTTCATATCTCTTGCTTTACATAGAGCAATAGACACCAAATTAAGACATCAAATTATTAAAACATAGTCAATGCGGTTGTTTCTAATTACTTAATCTTCAGCGCGCGGTATCAAAGTTTTAGGCCACACAAATCAGTTTTGTTGGGAACAACAGCGAGAAGGGAAAGCCTTGCCTTTGTTACTGTGTTCTATAAGTAAAGAGATGCATAAATTACCTTTAAAGGGAGCTAGGTTAACTGGGCTGCATTTGGTGCTTTTTGCAGGCTCTTCGGTCATTGTCATTTTGGTTTGAGAATCAAGAGCAAGTTCATATGATTCGTCTATGACAAGAAGATTATTGATTAACAGTCCACTGGTGCCTCCTTCATCAAATGTTGCTGATGTTTTGTGGAAGAACGGATCAACCTAAAAACACAAACGCAAAAGAAAACAAGATAACATCAAGTTATTAAGAGTTTAGAGCAATAACAAGCAGTTTGTATTACTTTGAAGGCAAATTTTACATTATAGAGGTCTGTTAGTTATAAATACAAAGACAGTACGCTTTTCTGATGATGACGAAGTATGCCTAAAAATTGCGAACGCCCATCAGGAGGCGCGAACCATTTATTTCAACTTTAACAAATCAACAATTATTTTCTACCTGTTTACTTTATTAACTTGTAACAATATTTTTAAATCATTTCCTTTTGTGGACATTTATGGTTTTTTCATAATAATCAATGCTGGTTTAACATGTGAAAAGAAGTTTTTGTGGCAATATAAAACTAGCTTTTCAAGAGATATGATACAATTGCCTTTGCAGACACAACAAATAGCGAAAATGTACTTGAGAAACAATTAATTCTGTATTGTATAATTATTTATGCTTTGTTTAAATCATTACCTCAAACGTCAAATCAAAACTTTCGCAGTTTAATGACTTCAAGTTTTTCTCAATTGTCTTCCCAGGACCACGTGTAGTCTAGAAGAGGCAACAGAGTAATATAATTTTAAAATTCTCTCAAATAAGGCTCTCATATAATTGTAAAATTGGTAAGAATAGTTACCTGATGGTCATATTAATCATAATACAGGGAGTAGCAACTTACAACTGCCCTGTTCTATACACCAAAAGGCCTAATTGTTATTTCAAATGAATTAAACTCCATACAAAAAAGAAGCTTTATACACTTACAGTCCCATTAAAGGACGAAATCTCAAAGAGCCCTACATTTGCATTTCAAGAGCATAGAGATCACAAGATAATAAGCACCTTTTTCTTCTTCTCCGGCTTTTCTGGCCCATCAGTTTGTTGCTCACTTTCATCTAAAAATTGAGATACATCCAGTTTTACTTGATGATTACTAACCATTTTCAACAGATTTCACCATATTTAAGAAATTTTAAGATATGGAAAAAGAAATTCTTGAAGTTAACAGAACATTCTAGAATAATTCTTTGCACAGTTTAATGTTTGGGCCACAGCATAAGTCAAAATTACATCCTTTTTTACTTACAACAGTAAAAACCAGTATATAACAAGGTACTGTTGTGGAGGTTGGAGCAGTTTAAAATGCTCTTTTTGCCCATATTAATTAGCACCTTGTTCAACCTAATTCTAAAAGCAGGTTCTTGATCAAATGATGAAGACTAATTTTAATTTCTGTGTTAATCAATAAAAACTAACATCAACTTTAAAGAACAACTAGAAAGTACCAATTGAAAAACACAGAATTGTGTAAACATTTAAACCCTAAATTATTAAAAGATACTCCATTCCTTGAAGAAAAATCTACCTAGGCTTAACTGGAGAAAGCAGATGTTGTAGGAATGAAACAGTTCAGAAAGGACAGGTTAGCACTAAATATACCAAACCTTCTTCAACAGTTGCCCTTCCTAAGCTTCCCAACATCTTATATGCATCAGCATGTACAGAATCAACTCGTCCAGCATAAATCTTCACACCAGCATCTAAGGTGCAACTTGCACTCTAAACATGAAAAAACATGGCATTTAAAGAAGCTCCTTCTGCTTGGAACAACAAGTAAATAAAACAACAGCATGCAATTTGTCATTAAGGTTAAGTCACCCAGAGCTACTGCTGGGTCAAAAAATTTAAAGGCAATGAGTAGTAGCTTTGCTTTGGTAGTGCATGGAGCTAGTAGAAAACAACTAAGGCTATTGAAAAAATATAAACAGATGTCTCCGCAATTATTAGGTGTTTGCTTTACTAAGGAATGTTGGAAAAGAGTATTTTCATTGGAACATCACTTTTGGTATTGTTCATGATATTTTTAAAAAGTTTATTAGGAATATACCTGAAAATTAGTTGTGTCATCCTTCTGTGACTGAGTCACCAAGACTTTCATGTAGTCTATCAGATGCAGGGCAAAAGCATTTTTGGCATTAATTTTCTGCAATAAAAAAAGAAAAATTCTTCAGCTGCACAATTAGATAGGATAAAAACATATTCTATTATCAATTTTATGTGAGAAACCTTCAATAAAAATATTGGAAAAAAATACAGCTCAGTTGACTTACATTTTCAGATGACAGCTTTATACAGTTGGCATTGTGTTCTCTTAACTGTGCATAGGTCATACCAGCATGAGCTCTGAAGCAAATTGATAAATGATTTAAAAAACTGGTGCAGAATGGAAAATTGTAACATGTTAAGGAAATACATTACATACATTTTAAAGTTAAGCTTCATCTAGATAAAAGCTTCTTTGGTTTTTCAGTAGTTTTTTTATCAAATAATTTTAATCATGAATATGAATCATCAGTAGGGGTTTGAATCTCAGTATTGATCTTGCCAGGATAAAAATAAATTGCAGAAAACATTTTTGATTTAGTTTTTAGGATTTTACCTTGATAAGAACTAAAATTCTTAAATTGAAGACATTACAATAAATACATTACCTGCTTGCATCTCCATCAGTAGCAGAAGCAGTCCTTGACTTCGGGGTTGTATGTCCAGCAACTGGGCTTAAAAGATTATTTGACAACAACAATGATCGCTTTCGTTGTCTTCTCTCTTCCTCATCATTATTAGCTTCTAAGCAAGCGATATTGTCAGTGGGTGTCTGCATTGTCATGGCAAGGCCACGCCTTCTCCTGGCAGACATTGGGGAAGCGCTGGCTGGTGTTTGGACAACCATTTTTGCAGCTTATCAGTACCTTATGCTCTAACCTGTAATGAAATTGAAACATTTTGTTAAGTTCAGCTAATGAGCAGGGAGGTAGATTTTGCAGTAGCAGCAAAACTATAGCATAAAACCAGTTTTGTCAAAATCTTATGTAAGCTTTTGGCAGTTATGAGTCATTATACCTTGCCTAGCTTACTCTGTCCTTGAGAATCGATTGGGCAAAGTCACTAAATATCATTGTGTCATCACAAAATGCCAAAGCTTCTTTTTTTCTGTCAATTTTCTGTTTTTATATACTATCTTTCAAGAAAACTCACTGCTAACTGCCAGGGTCAAACGTTTTTGGGTGGACTTGTCTCTACAAAAAGCCCCTTCCCAATCTGGCATGTCATGGACAATTGCAACATTAGAAGGGAAATCAACTACAGAGGAGCAAATTTTTGAGAGCAAGCACTAAACTGCAAAAGAAAAACCATGCCAAGAGCTGTATTTTTACATTTTAGCATCAATACCATTTATGGTTTACACCTAGAAAGAGAAGAGGGGATGGCAGAATTTTTTTACCTTGAACTGATCTCAGATTGAAAATTGTCATGTTATAATTAGTATATAAAAATTCTTGTTGTTGGGAGAATCAGGTATTTCAGAAATAGTTAGATATATTTAAGATTTGACCAGAATTTGCTGATGAAGGAAATTTTTTTCACTGCATGCATTTGCAGTCTGACAACACCACGGACTTTTCAACACAGACTAATTTCAACACAGATTTCAATTCTATGATGTTTTAGGCAAATACGAGGAAAAAATTGACAACGCTAACTTAAATCCAGCAATAAATGTATTCTTTTAAATCTGTGCATGGGCAGAAGCTGATAGCAAACCCCAACAGACTTAACAAGTGAAAAGGAAGGCTGTACGACGTAGGTAAACATTATATGGTAAGTATCATATGGTAAACATCATATTAATATGGTTGCTAGGAATAATTAAATGAAAAAAATTAAATACACATAACATAGGCCATTTTTAGACCCTTAATTGATTATGTGCTGGCGTATATAACAGATTATGTGCTGCTGAAAAAATACGAGCTAGAGTCTGCGTGCAGAACAATTTATCTTCATTGTGGTTTGTTCGATTCTTGAAAGTTTTGTGCTTAAGATTTTCAGGATTCTTTAGATCATTAGACGACAAAAAAAGACTGTAGTCAAAAAGTTAGCTGAAGGGTATGGAAAATATGGAATCGAAAGCGATATGAAAATAATTACGCACCCTCACTTAGGCCCGTTTTTTCTGGGGGGAAAATGCACATTATATGGCCTTCAAAATGAGGCAATGATGATATTAAAAAGTAAAGAAGAAAAATTAATATCGCAAATACCTTATTTAGATTCTTTAATTGACAAGAATGCCAATAACAAATTAAAATATCTTTCTCATCTTCCAAACATATTTTGGCGCCAATTAAGAAATGAAGATTTACTTTTCCGGAGTGTGCACCACCGCAGCGACACATCAATCGTTCATTAACTGAATAAGGTTTATTCTTTTCTTTTAGCACTAACTTTTTCATATGACTTTATAAATGTGTTTTGTAATCACTGGGTGCAATGTTATCGCAGGATGCAATGTGCTTGTTTAACTGATAATATATGGTTGCTAAAGAAAAATGTAGAATGTTCAAGCATCTGAAAATTTGCAAAAAATATCATGAATTTAGTAAATGTATATCAGTAACTTCAAACGGGTTATATAGCCAAACTGAATTCAAAATCACATTTACAGTTTGAAATACCATTTTAATACTTTTTCTTATTTATTTTTTTTATTTCACTGTACAGAGCTCTTATTGGCGATTAGAATACTATGTACCAGATGGTTACAGAATGATTGATGTTTCAGTCACAGCTATACAGCTAGTTCTTATTTCTTTACTGTATTGCCTAACTACCTTATTGTATTTTACCAAAAAATCATTTTAACTTTAACTTCTTGATTTTTGCAATTCCCTCGTCTCGCCTTTGAGCATTATTGTAACATTAATCAAATGTTTTTAATCCTCAACTAGAAAGTTTTTATACAAAATATTTCTGTAGGAAAGGCGTGTAACGTGGACGGCAGGACACTCAGATACCTATTCTAGCTCCTTCGTGGCTGTATGTAAGCACTGAATGATAATTATCACAGAATGAAAGTTTTATCAAGAAAAGGCAAGATACTCTAAACATATACTTATTGCTAGATACTGTTGTAGACATGGGGCAAAAAAGAAAGGTGCGACCCATTATGACGTCATCACAACTGCGACTGTTATATTTGCTGTTATTGTTAGGAGCTTCTTTATATCTTTTTGGGGAATTTCTCAGCTCAGAGTCTGGAGCAGTCTGCTTCCCTCTTGGTTGGCCTGACAAAATACAGCTTAAAGATACAGACTGGCGTAGATTTGGGCTTTATGAGGCTCAGATCCCTTGTTAATGTTCCTGGGAAATTCGCCAGTGCTGAGGTATCCTTCAAAGGAACGTAAAATTGATCAAGAGAATTCCTTTCTTAGCAAATATGTGGATAAAAAGCGACATTACATGCAAGTTTTTGTACCACATACAAAATTTTCAGTTGATACATTAAACATGAAATTATTATATGAATAAATATATTATTTTGATACCGTATGCCAGATTCAAAAAGCATCGTTAAGGAACATCTTGTTATGCGAAACAGCACATTCGATTCTTTAAGAAAAGTGCTTATTCCTTCCAAGAATTATTGATTGTGAGAGCGTTGAGCTAAAAAAGAGGGTTGTGCTGCAAACATTCGTAAGGTATCGACGAAAATCTTAAAATAAAGATCCCAGCACAATGTGATGTTTAAAACTTCGAAGAATTAGCAGATCCCATAATTTTTGCTATTGGAAAATTTTTACAAACAATTTTGAGACAGCCTGCTATTAGAGTTGATGGACAAACTTTCTCGCAGGAAGCATATGATATGAGGGGACTGGCTAAATCATTCTAGCGTCGCTTACTAATCAGACACCCTTCTAGTTTGAAATATTTTAAATCTAGTGCTTCGCAGGAAAATTGCAGCTTTTTGCTAATGACTTTTGAAACCGTCAGTTGTACCCTTAAAAACCAACTTCGGCCGCAGAATGCTTTTTGAACAAAAAAACCGCCGCTTCTAAGAAGCAAATGGTAAACTTGGCACTTTTCACGGGCTTGGGGGCCGAGGAGCTGAGGGGCTGAAGGGGGGCTTAAGCGTCCACCAATAAATGCTAACGGCACTTTAAACCATACAAAAATATTCTTGCAATTGTTTTTCAGCATGCTTAGCCCCTAAAACCTTTGAGACCCAGCCCTCTCCCACTCCTATTGGTAAGCATATTGATTATCAGATTGTAAAAGAACACATATATAAAGGATATGCTTAAAAGCGATATGAATGCCGATTAACTGCATAAAAACAGGTGGATGGAACCGAATTGATGACAATGTACATGACAAATCATAGATGTAATCTTCATGTTGGTGTAATCATAACATATGCTTAATCTTTAAGTATGAAACGTAAAAATTAGGGAACAAATTTATACGTCGAGATTTTACTTAGTTAAAGACTTTTCCGTATAATTATTTCATGTCAAGATAATATGTTATAATCACTAACTATGGTTATAATGAATTTAAATGTACATGTCTTGAATAAATTGACAATTAGATTCATAAACCTTGAAAACATAGTGAACGTACAACAATTGAATTTCAATGACCTACATTTCTGTTAACATCCAGCATACACATATGCGTATATGATCATCCGCAATGTATTGTGTCTGAACAAACTTTACAAGTAATAAAGGGTATACACTACATATAAACTCGCCGCTATACACTGAATTAAACAAAAGTAAAGGCAGCATCCAAAAAGATGGTTTATGTACAGCTATATATGTAAGTCTTTGAATCATACGTCCATTTTTCAGCAGGGCACTTGAGTCGTCTCGGTAGCAGAGCCAGCTCCTTTGCCCAACGATATCAAATAACTGATTATTCGTTGTTTTACGAAAACTTTTTCAACCGAGCAGCGGAGCTGGCTCGGTTTAGCCAACCGGTCTCTTTTGGGTAATAGTTGAAAGTATGTTGTACCGATCCACCCGTCGTAACCAGGCAAACAGGATATACATTTTTTGCTATCGCTGGGCTGAAAATGCCTGTATAAAACAGGGGATCCCCGTTTTATTGAAATCATTTTAATACCTATTGCACGCCTGCATGGACATCAAGGAAGAGGGCAGGGTGGGTTTGTGTCCCTGGCATGATAAGGTAATAGAGATTTTTTGTTCCTCGTGCCCTTTGTGAGTTGGTTAAGGTGCACTGGTGTCTTTGCATTGAAAATTACCTATTTTAAAACCTCAATTACACCACACAAACTAGACATGCTTTTTCAGTATGACAGATATCAAATCTACCCTCTACCAGTGGCGTAACGCAGTTTAGGCGACCTTAGTTCGAGAACTAAGGGCCCCCGACCAAAAAGGGCCCAAAAGGGGCCCCCATCAAATTTTTCGTATTTTGTGCTTTTTTACCATGTACAAGCTATTAACACTTTTCGTCACTTTGCCAGTAACTGTTGCATCGGCAGAAGGATCATTTTCAAAGTTGAAACTGATAAAGACATATCTAAGATCTACAATGTCACAGGAGAGACTGGACGACCTAGCAACTTTGTCAATTGAGAACAAGGAAGCAAAGAAAATTGACAAAACAAAGCTTATGAAGGATTTTGCCAACGTTAATGCACGTAGAAAAGCTCACGTTGTGAGCAAGAACACCTAATTTACTGTTGGTTTTTTCATATGTAAACATTTTCTTTACCACATCACGTGCATTTTTCGAGGTTCTAAAGGGCACGGTTTTAAACATTTTCCCATTACCCCGAACCCCTTTGCCCCGTAGAGCTCACTTCACTTCACAGTCCCTAAATAAGGGCCCCATCTTAGTAAATTCCTAAGGGCCCCGAGTGTCTCTGTTACGCCACTGCCCTCTACCTCAAAGAAATCTAAAGCCTTATTGTCCCTGCATGATGGTATACGCAGCTATTTCATGAGATACCGGAAGCAAAAAACAATGGAAAAATACAATAACTACACAAGTCATAACAACTATTGAAGACTCAAGAGGTTAGGCCAATGCCAAAAACTTTGTGTTTGGCAACATCACCACCAAGCACATCCAATATGTATAGTCTTCGTGCAGAAGAAAAATAAAATCGGCATGATAAAATGGCATTATAACTTGCTTCACTAATCATTGTCTGATAAAATTTCTATATCATTTTCAAGTTTTAGCCTCGATAATGCATGTCTCGCAGATGAATCATCTTGCTGATCGCGGCCATTTTGAAGGGATTCTTCATTTTTCACCTCTGAAAGGTAGTATTAGAGTCTTAGTATATAGAGTCGGAGACCAAATACATTGTAATGTTAATAACACAATGAAGCTGACTACAATTACAGTCGGTTTTATATGTCTGGCCTGCATGCATCCATTCAATCATTACATTAATGTATTTATTTGGCTTTTGAGAATATTCATTAAAATGGATACCCACGTTGCTTGCTAAAAGTTGTCGGAATGCCACAACATTTCAGTTTTGTAGGGAAGGATGCAAAGTTTACTACCCCGAAGCCACCAGTGGCCATAACCATTATCAAAATTTCATTTAATGACACAAAGGTCGCTACTACGCAAGCCAACAACATCATTAATTGTGATGCTCCTTAATGCCCCTTCCACTGTACATTTGGCCTCCTTTTTGTCTAAAAACAAGTCACTTGACAAAACCAATTGCTCCATAGGTTTAGCATGTATGGTTTAGTTCCTCACCTGAAGACTCGTCTACTTTTGAGCTGCTAATCACTTGGCGTAATCTGCATATTTCTTTTTCATAATCCGCGATTTCATTTTCTTTGTCAGTCAAATCTTCTTGAAATTTCTTGAAGGTACAAAATGGTTTAGTTATCTCATGCAGAAAGAGTCATCCTCTTGTTGTTGAACGTACCTGCCAACTTCTCTAGTAATCGTGTCAATTTTTAAATTTAATTTTTTTTACCATATAACTCTTCTTGCAATTTTCGAATGTACAAAACAGTAACTCCGATGTAGCTAACAAATATCTTGATACAAAGCAAAATTACACTTAGAATAACCTCATAGCTCAAGCTCATCTTGTTAAACAAGCCGCTAAAAGTGATTTATTAAAATACGCATAAACACGCATACATTATAACATACAAGGACATCACAAGGACATCGTGGCTTAAGAATCATATCAAAATTTAAACAAATATGGAAGGCAAAACAATAAAGTAATGTTGAAGTAAAATAATTATCATAAAAGTACAGATTCCAAGATTACTTTGATGGGCAATTACATTTTAGAGAAAATTCAACTAAGCCCATCTACAACAAAGCAGCAACTTACCTTCAAAAGTTCCATTGTTTTTTCATACATTTTTCGAGTATGATGGACTTCATAGACTGTTCCATCCTCCTGAACGAATGCATTTCTTGAAACAAAATTGGGACATGCATTACAAAACAGGTATACTTTCTTGAACTTCAGACAGAGAAATACTCTTTAAAAAATGTACCATTTTGGTAACATGTGAAATTTATATAAAAACTGAACTAATGAAAATTACTGTTTAATGATCTGTCAATGTCATAAAGTGCTTGATACCGTATATGCAGAGCTGTATGAACTTCAACTTAACAATTTTATCAATTAAAACTTGAAAGCTATTTAGTAACATGTGATGTTAAAAATAGAACTAGCACCATTAAGAGTGCAAAGGTTGTATTTACAAATGAAACGATATGTCCTTTGTTTCTTAAACTTCAAAAAACTCGCAAAAGGCTTCTGCAATCAATTCACGATTTCGAGATTTTGAAAGAAGATTTGAAAGGAAGCTTACTCATATGATTCACAAATAAGCGGCAATGTTGAGGCTATCATCATGTCATCGTTTGCCTCCTTTCCAATTAACCGAGGTGGTTCTACCAGGCAAGAGCGATGTCGATACTCTGGGTGTGTTCCAGTGTGTCCGAGGTTAACAATGTTTACTTTCAAACCTAATGATGCTTTCCTAAAACAATAAAACAGGTTTTTTACAAACAATAAAAACAAGCAAAAAGAGAAAACTGATGACATGGCCCTCTAATGCCACTTTACTAGGTACCTAGGCCTTCTTGGCCCCTGACCTGATTTCCGTTCACTTTTTTTTAACGTTGCCGGTTCCTAGCAGTGGGCTCGAGCCAGTGGGTGTCTGCCTAATGTAGTAAGAGGCAACAGTTTTACCCACTACGCTACAGGAGCGAAAAAGGATGGAATAGAAATCGAGCAAAAGTATCATTTAAATTACACAATATGACTTTATAAATGTATCTTGCTGTCAAATATTGGAGCCTCGTGAGACTTTATTTCAAGTTGTTGTTTCTCGCGATGTGGCAGAAGTAAAAAGATCACGTTCCATTTTCAAGAAAGTTCAGCGGTTCCACAATAACTTAATAATTGTCAGTGGCGAGTTATTAAGGGAGGGAGGGGCTCTGCTCCTTACACAATTCTGCATTGACCTTGCCTTCGAAAAATTCCCCTTGTCCTTAAAAGTTCTCGATATGCTTTATTTGCAAAGATCTCGACGTAGGGTGCACACAAACTAACTCTATTATCCAAGGAATCTTTTTCAATAATGTCTATTCCTTTGAAGCAATTTTCTTGCTATATTGATAAACCGTGTTTTTCATGCAAAGCTGCATTGCCTTAAAAGAAACTGTTGCAAAAGCATTGACTTGCATAAGCATCGGATTTTTAATTTGAACCTATGAAAAGATTAGCGTGGTCATGCGAAACCGCACTCTTTCTTATGAAACCGCCCCAGGAATCCTTCTTGAAATTTTTTTTAGAAATCACCCCAATAAATTGTTGTTGCCAATAAGTACTTTTCTTACAGATTTTATTGTTAAAAAAACTACCCCTGAATACATAAATTAAACTACTTATGAAACAGTTTAGGCAGGCAATTACGTGTGAAAATAAATGGTGGGGTGTCACATTAATGACAATATTTAGCTAAACTTTCATCTGACAATGTTTTCAAAATATCTACTTACGTATCTTTCTGACAATAAAAACATTTGTATGTGAAGCTAGTTGTTGATCGATTGGCTTGAGATTGAGGGGTAAACAGAATAAAAATCAAACCTGCAAAAAATAGAAGTAGTAGCAGGGATCTTTGAACATAAATTAAAACATAAAATGTTTAGGATATCTTTATATCTTTATAATATTATTATCACCAAAAAATATCAATAGAATCATAGATATCATGTAACTACCATCTATACTCTTGGTTTATATATTAAATTTTTTCAAAATTTGTCCCTCATTTTTTAAATATGCCCCAATATAAGTGCAATATAATTGAACCATGGCAGAGATGTAAATGCAACAATACCATCAATCATATCTAGCTCCTCGATGAGGCCTTTGATAACTGCTTTTTCTCTCATTGATATCCTACTGCTACTATTTCTTCGTACTTTGTACCAGCCTAACAGTGCCTAGAAAATAAAAGATATTGTGTACTTCATAAACAATGTCTATCTCTTTAGAAAAGCCAGGGTGGCAGCTTCCACCCAGGTACATGCCTTAATTTCCAAAGGCAGAAGAAGTTTTTTTCTAAATCTTTTTAATAGTATCTTGTTTAGGGATAACTAAAGTAATCTTGAATGTCTCTAAACCATTCATCTCAGGTGTCAGAAATCCAAACATGACTTCTACATATAAAAAACTTTGCCCAAGCTTTCATTTTAAGATGTGAAAATATTTTAAAGGTCTTTAACAGATCGTATAAATAAATAATTTGAATATTGTTACCAAACCCTCTTTTAAGAGCAACAATTATTACCAATCTGAGGAACAGATAAGGTGCACAGGTCTTAAGAATCTTGTCTAGGCCCATAAAACACTTTTTGATAGGTCTGTGCCTACCAGAATGCAAGATCAAAGCCAACCAAAGAAGCTAAGGATGCATCTAAAGGATCTTAAAAAATTTAAAACATTTCTATTAAGGCTGTATCTTGTCAGCGTGGAAAGCTCAATGACATGTATTTCACACCAAAGTGTGCATATAATGATATGAATACAGATGCTTCTGTCAATTTACAAAATATACCTTTTTAACCAGATGTGAGTCAAATGCTAAATAAGTAATTTTTGTTATTTCATTTGAATTTGATTGCAAGATCACTTACAAGAAGCACAATACAATTTGAATAGATGATATGAGGTTTTATTATTGATCAACAATACCTTTGAGTTTGGCATATTTTTGCGATCCAATGAGATTTTTCCAACTTGATCATAAAAACTAAAAAAATTATTTGTTTAAGAAACTGTATTTAAGAAGCAAATGGTTCACTGGCAAAATGATTGAGTATTGAGAGCCAGCTGAATTTTAAGTTTCAGCTTGATATAAAAATTATATCTACACTCCATTAGGAGAATAATTGCAGAATTAGGAGAACAATTAATTAAGCATTACAAATCAAAAATAGAGAAAGAATCAGCACTTTATTTACAAAACACAAATTTGAAACTCCATTATTTCTTCTAGGCGGGGCTCTCTCAGTAGCTAGAATAATTGAAGAGAGAGCATCCCCTATTAGAGAATGAAGAATAATTAGATATGGAGGATACATTCAAAGTATACTTTGCAAACAGGAAGGGTACCTTAGTAGCAGATAGTAAATGTTTCAGATGATATGAGCTGTTATTTCAGTAATCTCCTTCAAAGCAACACATTGACCCAAGGCCATATTGAAGGGTGCATTAGTTAGTTATGAAAAATTGATCTCTGGTCATTGGCTGAACGCAATCATTGCAAAGAAATAATGAAATAAGGAGGATAGATATTATTTAAATAATCATACACAAAACAAAACAATTTCAACAAAAAGATGTTATATAGTTAACATTAGCAGGTGTTTGTCTGAAGGTTCAGCAATTCTTAGGTGTGACATAAATTGTGAAAGAACTCCCACTGCCGCTGCTATATCTGGTCGAGTGGCATACGTTATCTGCTGCATACGTTAAACAGCCAATTGCGATCGACCTGTGGTCTTATTGATTACTTTTTACTTCTGTTACTATGATTGATTTTGTATGCCTCACTACTTTGCAATTCAAAACAAGTTAATGGTTCAGAAACTACTATGACTTAATGAATGCACAGTTGATTCTGTTTATCTTCATTCAACTTGAAGTCACACAACCATTTACAGTCAATTACATTTAGACCTAAATCTGTAAAATATTTCACTAATGCACAATCACAGGCACTCTTGGCTTACTGCCACAACTTTTCAAGCAAAATTTTGTGTGACTTAACCAGAGCCTATTTTTTCTTCATTATTTATTCTAACAGAAACATATTTAATTTTTGCATCATAATCAAAAGAAATGTTAGCTACAAAAACATCTTATACTACAAGAATATATGGAAGAAAATCTCAATTGTTTCTTATCTGTAATATGATTACAAGATCTGTTTCCATTTGCTGTGAAGATTATTCAAGTGTAATGGATCCAAATGTACATAAATCGCATACCTGAATGTCTTGCTTGAAGGGATGATATCAAACAAGGCTGGAAAGAAGAAAAGATGAAACATTTTAAGATATCAAGATATTTTCAAAGACTAAAAATGAAATATAACAAAGAAAAACATTTTTTACTCAATTTTAGGCTCTTGAAGCCAAATGAGCATGAACATCTGTTAAATTGTGTGCAGCAAGTTGCTTACCAAATTCTACTTCATGGTGATTTCCATCTGCATCATTGTCTGTGATCCTGTCACTAGTTGTTTGTGTGATGTTGCCATATAAAAGTCCTTCCTGAAAAAATGTTAAGAGAAATCTTCTTATACACAAATGTTTCATTGCTTATTTATATTTATCAAAAAATTGTTTCATTTTTGACGATAGTTAGATCAACATTTTGTAGACATTTCTTTTATTGTGATGTGGCAGGTGCAATGAATTTCCTGGGTTTGTTGTTGGAGCATTCTTTCCTTTATTTTCACTATAAAAAAAACATATTCGTTTGGCAGTACCATAGGGATACAAAAATTTTGAGAAAAAATGGACAAATGGATTGTTTATTGAAAATTAAGGCTTTTCATAGTATCTTTGGAGTTAAGGGCACAATATAAGCTACGGTCCTGTTTGAGATTTTAGAGCGACTCGTTTAGGCTACTGATCCGTCGGAATTTCTATATTCTCCACAGAGCTTTATCTAAACTTATGACTTAGCCTTTCAAAGCATGATATTAAATAATTTTTCGCCTATTTAACAGCTTATTTGACAGGACAAATAAAATAATAACGTAAATGACCGTTTGAACTCTTCATCAAACACAAAAAATACGAGTCACATTACAAAAATAACGCTACATTACACATTTACAGTGATTTTTTAAAACAAACCGTATCATTTTCAGATTTTGAGGCTTCGTGAATGATCTTTGCAAATACATATCCTGAGACGACAACCCTTTCGTGCTTGACAGTGGCAGCTGAAACATTGGTCATTTTCCTGCCCAACCAAGTCTGTTAGAATTTAAATTCCAGGAGGCACTTCCCTTGACTTCTTTCCCGGTCTTTTGATGGTATCCTCAGTTTCAATGCGAGGCCCGAATATTTTTGCAATGGCGGACAAGAGATGGAAGTTGCAGTACAATGTCCTCAATGAAGTATTTTTTGGCGACGACAAAATAATAAAAAGGTTTCTAGCAAGCCTCATTTTATCTTTGAATTTTTACTGTAATTTATTTTGAGTGATGTTTCTTTAATTTCAAGGGTTTAACAATAATTTGAGTATCCTTTGAATTCTTACCCAAATCAAATTGTTCACGGCTCTTTTTCAGATTTTTTGCAGCATTGATTTGCAAGTCTTTAGTTTGAAAATCGCAGAAAATTTGCTTGTCTTCAACATTTTGTTGTTGTGTAATTAACTCGAATTTATTTCAGAGCTTCAGAAGAGTTTAAAGAGTTTTGGTCATTTGTTGAAAAGTATGAAAATGCTAGAGCAAAAAGGTCTTTGGATATAGGTATGTTTAAACTATGTGAAGACACAATTAAAACCTTGTTTCATAAGAGTTCCTGCTGTAGTTGTTATTCTAGCCATTTGATGTTGTTGGATCTATTTGGTCCAAATGGTCTTTTGCATATTTGACCATCTAGCTCTCTAGTTAAATTTTTAAATAATAAATTGCCCTTTGGTTTGCCCCTATTTTTGGTGCTGTAGACAGGGATTATAGTTACACCAGATGATGTTTGAAAACTTATGACTCTAAACAGAGTGTGACTTTAAAAGGAGCTAAATCAAATAGTTTTGCATATATAGGACCAAATTTTATGTGACTGTAACAGCAGCGTGTCTTAGGGCAGAATTACAGTAAGTGGAGTCAACTGTATAAGTATTTTATGAGAAAAGATAGTGCAATGTTATCTTAATATAACCCATTTTTATAGCTTATCAAATCACTTACAAAAGGAAGAGAACAAATGATGATATACAAATGCATTCATAACAGATTCATAATAGGAAACTTTCAAACTTAACTTTACCTAATAAAGTAAGAGACAAGATTGGTTTGTTGTATTATTGCATACTTAGACCCTTTCTAAGAAATAAATTTCTATGTATATATGCTAAAAATATAAACTCTTGACAGGGAAAAAGAAAGGAAGCTCTAGTGAATTTGACAGGTTGAAAAGATTAAACATAGCACTGGACTACAAGGAGTTTGTTAAAAGATACAAGGAATTCAAGAAGATACGTCACATAGGTAGAGTTAAACTTGTTCAATTTAGCTTTCATGCTTACATACTTGCATGCTTATCACAAAATATTATCATATTCAATTTGCTGGTTTTTGTGACAAAATAAAGATTTATCTAGTAGAAATGATTAAGCAATGAAATTAAAAAATTGAAAAAGCAAAAAACATAACAATTTAGCATAAATGAAATGATTTTATTTTTGGATCATCTTGCATAAATTTGAAACCATACAAATGACACCTAGGAAAAGTTATCAATATTGGGACAAATGTGTCCTTTTAGGCAACATTGTGGAGAAATTCATTATCTTTCTGTTTACAGTTCAATTTTGAATAAACAAGCTTACATGTTTTAGACAATTTTCTCTCCAAGATGAAGAAAAAGACTCCTTGTCAAAAGAAGAAATTAAAGAATTTGGAAACATTATCTTATTTTTCAAAGACTTTCAGCAAAAAAGCAATGTAAGAAACTATATATTTCAAGGACATTTATTTTCATATGATTTTGCCAGATTGGAGATTTTTAATTGCACTATGCTATTACTTCTACTGAAAAATTAGCTTGCATAAGACTTTACAGCTCTATGGACTTTCTTCCCTAATACAGGTCATATCCTGACAATCCACTATAAACCCTGGTTCATAGATCTGAACTTATTAGCGTTATGTTGAATTCTATACAAATGTAAGCTTTTCAGCATACGCTTTTTCATTTTACATACGCCAAAAGCATAAGCACATATGCTCTCCCCATTTGATACGAAAAGCTTAAAGTGATATGTTATAAGCTCCTGACAAGAGAGGTTTTCCTTGTGCTTTTACTTGCTCAGAGAAGAAAAGAAAAGGAACAGCAATACTCCTATATTTGGCCTATAAATACTTTGCAAACCGTTTGCAGGGATTATGTCATCATTGTCAACAATTTGCTTTTGATATCAATGATTCCCAAATATAGAGCCATTTTGTTCTAGCACCTGTCCAAGATTTAGAGACTTCCTCTTATTCCTTAAATTCCCTTACCCTGGGTTCTAGACTGATGTTCCTGTGGCAAGGAATCATACTGAAGGGCCATTTCTGTTGGCCATTGCTAAGAAATTTTCCATACAGATTGTCAAAAAAGTTGATGATGTCTCAACTCAATAAGTCCAAGGCATACTGGTTTTTGTGTATGTGTACAGGGACAGGTCTAAGTTTTCTTAAAACTTGCAATGTACCCATGTAAAATTATTTTCAAAATCAATGATGGGTTTATGTTATATGAGTTTCACTGAATCTGTTGAAGACATGTCCTTGTCCTTGCCTTGTCCTTGCCTTGTCCTTGCAATCCCAAGAATATACTTTTTGTTGCTATTTATAGTTCAGCAAGATAGCTAAACTAAGAAGAGACCAGGAAAACCTGCCAATTAGACAATACAAAGACCAAATAATACATGCTGTGCAATATTTTCAAGCTGTGATAATAGCAGGGGATACAGGATGTGGAAAATCGACACAGGTAAACTGTTGGAAAGATACTTGACTATGTTACTGTTGGTATGCCTCAAAAACAGTCTCAGGGAAACTTTTGAATTGTAAAAGTTCAAGCACGAGCTAAAAATCTTTTCCTAGTGGTGGATATTTTCCTTGTTGTGAGAGTAACTCGTTTCCTCAAGATTAACTGCTAAGATGCATTTTTAAATTAAGCTGGTCATAAGATAACATTTGGATCTTGCAATATTAAGAACCATCACATGGTGCTTGCAATGTAAGTAAAGGATAAAATATGGAATTTCAATCCTTGAGGCTATAGCACTCAGTATTTCATATTTTTGTATAATAGTATCTTCTAATGTATTTCTTTAAACAATAAAGGATGAGTGAAAATAAACTTTCAAATTTGATTGATTTTAAAAAATTCAGGCAGTTAGAAAGGCCTTATAGGAATAATGACCCATTTGATGTTGCTTGGAAAAATGATCCATTTGATGTTGCATTATATAAATGTTTTAAAATCTTTAGGTACCCCAGTATTTGATGTCAGCTGGTTTTCAGAAAATTGCTTGCACACAGCCAAGAAGGATAGCATGCATTTCTCTTGCAAAAAGGGTTGGATATGAAACACTGAATGAATATGGATCACAAGTTGCATACCAGGTAATATAAATAATTACTTGAATCATCTTAAGTTATAAAGCTTAGGGTAATTTCATTAATAAACAACATTTCCATGTCAATTGGGTTTCTTGACTCTTTATCTACATCTACATCTATTTCATACTGCTGTCAATCATCTTGTAGAACACTGACTGCCAGCATGATATCCAGGGCCTTCACTGGAGGGCGATTGCCCCTTCAGGCCGAATGACTTTCTATTGTTTAAAACACTAAGCTATTGTCCTCCTCTTTATAAAGCTAATTTTCCTCTGAAAAGGATTTGAAAATACCATAATAAAACATTTGTCTAGTGCAAAGCACTTCTCTTCGGCAGTGCCATCAAGGATCAACAGAAAGGAACCCTCTGTTCTAAATGTTCGAAAACTTCATGTATGTTTTGAAGTAGTTCTAAGAAAATTTTAGGTAGTTGCAGATGCAGGAAAGTTAATTCCAGAAACCAAAACGATTTATATCTTTTTTCTTTCCAGAATGATATATCTATTACAATCTTATAATTTTCAGGTTCGATTTGATGCTAGCAAAACCCAATTAACAAGAATCTTGTTTCTTACTGAAGGTAACTTGGTTGTTCTTTTATCTGTTTTAGTTCACCTTTATGTTCTTTGTATTCAAAGGTAAATCTAATCTCTTAATCCGTTTCTGTGAAATGGTTATTCTAACATTCTTTAAAAGCAAATCTTTACCAAATTTTAAATTGTTATCATCATTTCAAGCTTGAATATTAGGATTGATTAAGCTCTTGATATATGTTATGAAGTTTGTTGGGAATTTACAGTAATATGAACAAACCTCTATCTTAAAGTGGACACAGAAGTCTTTTTCAAAGAAGTTTTTTGGGCAGTTGAATCCTGCAAGAGCTATACACTAACATGATCGTGTATGCTTGCAAGTAAAGAGAGAAATTAAGGTCGCTAAAGTCTCTGTTTGTTTCAAAGGACTTTTGCTACGTCAGTTGCAGACAGATCCACAGTTGAAGCAGTATAGCGTAATTGTTGTTGATGAGGTTCATGAACGACACATTAATGGAGACTTTTTGCTTGGCGTTTTACGATGTTTACTTGAACAGAGAAAGGACTTGAAATTGGTGCTTATGTCAGCAACAATCAACATAAGGTATATCTTGTTTTCTCGGTTTTTAAGTTTGAAAATGGCTTTGAAAAAAGCCAGCCAACATGACCTGTTTTGAGAGGAACACTGGTTATGTTCCAACGTGATATATTAAAGACCCATCGCTAACAATGGCCTTTGCGAGCGTGGCGACGGTCCAAACAATGGCAGTAGTTTTCTACGGATTAACCAAAATTGATTTTAGACAGTCTAAAATGCATTGTGGGATGCTTACGTAGCGCAATGGCTCATTGTTAGCAATGAGTCTTTAATGACATAGAATTGGTAATTGCAAATATGAGCAACCCCTTTCATGTCTGAAATTAATGCTTTGTTAGCCAAAATTGTTTCTTAAAGCGAAACATGTTCAAAAGATTCTAGTGCATGAAAAGGTTAAATTGTGTTAGTCAAGCTACAAATATGTAGTAACAACTTCAAAGATAGTAGTTTAACAGTAGCCTGTTCATGGAATTACACATGGAACCTAGAGTTCAAACTTAGAGCCATCCTAATCTATACACAAAAAAGTGTAACAGCTTGGTACAGAGCTGCCTAAACGGCATCACGCTTTTCATGACAGACAGGCGAAACAATAAGTTTCGTTGTATGTACATATATCAATATATATATATATATATAAATGCAAACTCTTTTATTTCTAGCTTATTTGCTTCCTACTTTGAAGGTGCTCCTGTAGTTCACGTAAGTATTTTTGCTTCATTTGTAAAGTTAACAAATTGGGGTGGGGGTATTGTAGGCAAAATGAAAATAACCCAAAGATAGAATTAGTGCATTGGGGTGTATGTGAACCAACTATTGGCTTACAGCTTGAAGTTCTGTTACTTCTAAGAAATAAATTAAAATATATATCATCTTGGCTATAATTTTGTCTATGCTTCTAAAGATTTGGATTGTTGGTATTGATGATGATTGATGATGTTTATTATATTTGTGGATATTTGTGCATTCACTGATAGCCCACTTTTAATCAGCTACTGGTGAGAATAGTTAGAGGGAGGTGTCGCTTTACTGACGTCTGTAAACTCTGTCTTTGATCCTAGATGTTCCTTACTAAGATGATTTATTGACGTGCCTCCTTGTATTTTTCCGAGTTGTATGTTTTAGGTATAATGCTGTTTATAAGTGGATAAGTCGACGAAGTTTGGTTTGTGTTAAGTTAGATGTAGGTAGAAAAAACCTACGGTTGTTGAGGTAAAAATATTATTTTGAACTTGCAGGTGCCTGGCAGGCTGTTTTCAATTGATATGCAATATTTACCACATTTTCTAGAGGTAGCTACTTATATTTATTTTCAGGTTCTTTTAAGTCTGAGACTGCTCCTGCTCCTGCTTCAGACTCAGTCATAAACACTGTAAAAAATAAGTCAGCATGTGTACGTCACCCTATGATTACCATTATGAATTATGATAAATTTTTGAAAATCTGAGCAAAAACAGAGCCCAAAAAATTTCCTATTCTCCCTCCAAACAACGTCCTCAAGCACTGGATACACTAAGTAAAGCGGGATTCAGGCATGGTACTGTAATTATTTTTTAACTGACATTAATTACGGCCCTTGATCGTATGACCAGGACGTTTGACTATCTAGAATGCCTCGTCACCAGTTCGCAAACAAATTAAATTGGTTTAATTACAAATTTAATAATAGTCCCCGATTACACCTTTGTCAAATAACTGAGAATTACATGAATTCGCTGTCTTTATGTACTGTGGGTAGAACTGTCAAATAACATAAATCCTGTTTTTAAAGAGAAACAGAATTTGTTATGGATACCCCATTATTTTGATACAACTTTTTTAAAGGCAAGAGAAAAGAATGACCGATCAGAGAGACTGGATCCTTCGCCATACCTACGAATCATGCAGCTTATTGACAATAAGGTGAGACAAATGTTATTGAGCATTATTTTATCTTCAAAGAAAGCCTGGATCTTTGACAATAGCCCTCCACCTATTCTTCAATGTATCTTTTCTGTTGTTGAACAAAGTTGCTTATCGTGGACATTCAGCACCTCATAGCAACAGATCTCTAGGCGCCTGGGAACTATAACTTCTCTTCTGCAAGCATGAACAGTAGAAGGCACCCAACAGGCCTAACTACCCGAGCCATTGTGGGAACCTTCCCTTCTTCGTATTATCACGTTGAAAGAGAAACAGTTACATGCTATAAGATACTTATCACAAGACAGATAAGCAGAAGGAATACTACGCACAGCTTTCAGAGTAGAGGGCTCTCAAATGAAAGCATCCCAAGAAAACGATAAACACGAATTAAAGAAGAGCACGAGAAGGTGTTTTTTCTTCTGTATATTATCACCTTGTGCTCTGTAAAGAGAAGAAAATTGCTCGTTGTTGAGCACCTTATCATATTTTCTGTATACAGTACCCATCATCAGAGCGAGGTGATTTGCTTATATTCATGAGTGGTATGGCGGAAATCGAGGCTGTCGTCGATGCTGCATCGGAGTATGCGCAGAAGACAAAAAGGTGGATTATCCTTCCACTCCATAGTTCCTTGTCAATTGAGGACCAGGATAAGGTATGTTACAACCATTTAATGACTTAGATAAAATCATCGAACGATTTTATATGAAACAGGGTGATTTTTCATACCGAATACTTTTATTGAACATCAAAGCAAATATATATTTACATATATTCTACACTTTAGACACAAAACCCCTAATTATGATGTTGCTGCAACAATGCAACTTAACGAAAATCTTCCAAGGAAAGGGTTCAAAGCCAACTTCAAGTCAACAACTTTCATCTTTTTGCTAATCTATCTAGTAAATGTACCGAATAAAACATTGCTTTCTGAACTTCCCGTTTAAAACTTTAAGTGATTTGATTGTTATCTTTTTCCACTAAGGTTTTTGATATTGCACCCGAGGGCGTTCGCAAATGTATCGTTTCAACAAACATCGCAGAAACATCAATAACAATCGATGGGATAAGATTCATTGCAGACTCTGGCAAGGTTGCTTTTTTAAATCCTAAAATATTGTTTTTTACAGCTTTCTTCCAATTTTTTGCATCCAACATAATGTTAACAATTTCTAAAATTCACCTTTTCATAAGGTTCTCTCTCTGCATTTGCTTGTTAATTTCGTAATAACATCTGTTTTTAGTATCTTTCAAAAATGTCTTCCTGGTTATGACACAACCAATGAATTTTGTCATATTAAAAAAACGATTTCTTTTCTCGATGACGTCATAACCGGTTCATAATCTGAGTTGAAATCAACAATGTACCACTGATTCGCTTCAATATAATTCCAGTTGACAGGTTTGAAATTGAAATACTTTTTTGTAAAGAGAATCCAAGTCGATGCCGGATATTGCCTCAAATATTGAAGGCAAAATCAAAAGAGACGATGACAGCCTCTGGATATATTTTGCAAGTTTTGCAGTTTAGCCTTGTTCTGGACCTAAAAATCCTTTGATGAATCTCTAAGCGCAAGCCAATTTCTTGCTTTGACAGGTAAAAGAGATGAGCTTTGACAACCAGCTGAAAATGCAAAGACTTCAAGAATTCTGGATCAGCCAAGCGAGTGCAGAGCAGCGAAAAGGGCGAGCTGGTGAGTCTAAAATATAGCAAAATTACGACGATTCGACTGCCTAATATTTTCTGATTAACTGATCAATACTGATCCTTTAGTAATCAAACTTTTTCTCTTCTAGGCCGCACCGGACCTGGTGTCTGTTTTCGTCTATACTCTCGAGAGGATTATTCAGCATTTGCTGAGTATTCCACACCAGAAATCCAACGGGTACCATTGGATAACCTCGTTTTACAAATGGCCAATCTCGGTCTGAGGGACCCAATGAAATTCCCGTTCATTGAGTCTCCACCAAAGTCAAGTCTAGAGGGTGCAACTTTTTTTTTAAAGCAGCAAAATGCGCTAAGTGAAGAGGGGTGTCTCACCCCAATTGGGAAGATGCTTGCTCAGCTCCCAGTTGACGTCGTTGTTGGGAAAATGCTTATAATGGGGACATTGTTTGACATGGTTGAACCTGTGTTGATTATTGCAGCAGCTTTGTCTGTTCAGTCGCCGTTTACCAGAAGAATTGGAGGTACCTTGTTTACACCAGATTGGTGTTCATTCTTTAATTTATCTTTCAGGAATAGTAAATTACAACCTCAGAACAGTATCATTCTTGTATCACTGATTGAACTCATAACACTAAGTTTTGGCTCTGCTTAATAAAGATTTAAAGAGATTTTGAAGAAGGGAGAAAAATATAATACTTAGCCAATGATGAAATATGTCTAGATGACGAGTAGAAAATACTTTGCTACAACCATTCACGTTGGTAAAACTATGATCCTTTAATATTGTAGCAATACTATTTCTTTACACAGTAATCTAAGTAAAGTATATCAAGAAAGTGGTTTTGCGACATTCAATAATCTTCTAACAAGTCTAGTGGCTTATGAGCTGAGCGGGATGATAAACTAACATCAAAGAAGCCACGCTAAATAAAGATGACCTCTTACCTCATTACAATAGGGGAAGTCAAGTGGGAAAATTAATCGAAGGATAACTGTTGTCGCGGCGGTACACAGCTATCAAACTAGTACTAGAAAACGAAACTGTGCTACGTTTTTTAATGCTACAATACTAGACCAGCACAATACCATATGCTGGTTAGCATGCCTTTGAAACCTAATATCTTCCCCTTCCCTCTATTGAAAGATGGTGCATGGGCAGAGACAATTCCATTGAAATGGGAGAGGGATTGCCAAATCTGTCTATCCAAGATTTTAATTTCTTGCATTTTGCAGTCATCAGGCGATGAGTGCATAACATAGCGCAGGTCTGTTCTGCATCCCTGTTATAAAATACGTCAAAGGATGCTAGTCATTAAACAATATTATGCATCTTTTTCAGATGAGTATCAAGTAGACGTGGACCATAGACGCTCTGAGTTGCAGTCTGAGCACGGAGATCCATTCACCTTGCTTAACGTTTACGACCAGTGGATTCGCTTGAAAGCAGACAGGCAATCCAGCACTCGAAAGTGGTGTAAGAGACGAGGCATCGAAGAAGAGCGACTTTACGAAATCTCGAAACTGAAGCGACAGTTCGAAAGATTGCTATCGGACTATAAACTAGTTGAAAGAAAATCATCGGACAAGAAAAGCGACGAAGAGCTTAAAAAGTTCGCAGGCGAAAAACGAAGGCTTGTTGATTTGAAACGAGAATATCACCAACAAACGCGAAAGCGGAAAGTGCTCAAATTGTATGAGAAAAAAGAGGAGGACAGTGATGAGGATGATGATAAAATAGATATTCAAGCAGTGCAATTTGAGCTTACACATAATCTAAGCAAACTGCAACGTTCTATAACCAATCGTGATTTCTCTTATTTGGAAGTGAACATTCTCAAGATAATAATTTGCAGTGGTCTTTATCCTCAGGTATTGTGTTTATGTTAAAGGCAGATATTTCTTCTACGTATCTCGATAAGGGAAGAAGCTTCTCCTGCAGAAGTCTCAAAGAACTACTTTGAAATTATTCTTGGCAAATACCAGTTACAGCACTTAAAAAAAGGAGCCTACAATCGTAATATGAAAAATTGCTCAAGAATGAAGCTTAAAAAGCGTTTACTCAAATTTTTGACAGAAAAAACTTTACCAGTGTTTTACGACTGTCAGGAAATTTTGAAACGAGCTGTTTGCTTTGCTGTCTAATAAATTGAACCGTTTTTTACAATCGCATACCTGAAAATAGTGTGTTTTCGAATATCGAACATCATCACACGTAATTGAAAGAAGTGAAATTCGAGGTTTTTTGATTGTTTGTCATATTCTTACCATTCTTTAGTTTAATAAGCTTTGGTTCATCAAAACTTGAAGGTAGCACTCACTAGCGGAAAAATCTTTTCATCAGTTCTTAGTACAATCTTGAAAAGTTCACTGCTGATGAATGATAATGTTAAATCATTGTCACCACTCTTTTGTCTGATGCCTAAATCAGTCGTTTTTCTTTCAAGGTTGCAGTTGCTGATGAGAGTAACCCATGGAAAAGGGTTTCAGATATGGCATTTCACAGCAAAGAGAAGCAGTTTCTGAGTCTGCACCCAAGCTCAGTATATGCTGCTAAGCCGGAGCTCCTTATTCAAGATCAAGCCGAAATAAAAGGAAAAACAGAAGGGCGTCTTGAAAACAACAAAGAGCTTCTAGCATTTGTGTCGTTATTGGAAACAAATAAGCCGTACATAGTTAATTCAATGCGCACACCAATGTTACAAACGCTGCTTTTGTTTTCAAGGAATCTGGACACGAATTCAGACTTCACTCGTGTTGTCTGTGACGGGTGGATTGACATAGGATTCAAAGACGGCAGCACGGCACAGAGATTGTTGTCAGACTTGGTTAAGCTGCGAAGTGCCTGGGAGAGGCTCCTTGAAATCCGTCTCTCCTTGGTTGAAAGACAGGAAAATCATTTTGAAAATGACCATGTTATGCGGCTACAGAGAAGTGTCTCTCGCAAACTAGCTGAATTTATCGATTCGAATATAAAGTATACCCAACGCAGAGTACTGTCATCAGAATCTGGGTATCTATATGTAGCTTCGTTTGGCAGAGACGAAGACAAGGGTGCTGGGGAAGACCAAATTGATGTGGGTGAAACGGAGAGTACGGAAGAGACTGCAAAAGTAAAACTTGATTTGTTTGGGTATTCTGACGGTGTGCCACATCCAACAAAGGGTGGTGTGCGTGTTACGGAATATTTGACTTACGCTTGTCTAAGAGATGACCTCAGCGTTGCGGTGGCGCAAGGGCAGGCTGAATTCTTACGCGAACATTACCACTGCGCGACATGCGGTGCCCATTTGATATGTAACGTGCTTGAAAGACTGAAACACGACAGCGAGTGTCAATCAAACCAAAACACAAATGAAGATACTCATAGCATAAAGAAAACATCAGATGAGGACAAAGCTTATACGACTTCTAAGGATGAAGAAGCGAAATCTCCTCAAACTGCTGCTATCGTACCAAAAGCGACTGTGATACCGAAAACAAAGTACTTGTGCACAGTTTGTGAGAAGGAGTTCGACTTTACTCCAGTTGAGGTATTAAAGCATAAACGATCCCACCGATAAGATATAGGTAACATGGTAAATGTTCTTTAGCAAATAACCATGTATCTGGTTCTTCAATCTAATGAAATTCAAAAACGCTTTACTATTTTTACGTTTTTTATTAACAACTGTAGAGAAACTCTTTCCACAACATAAAAAAGACCTGAAAATCATTTGCTGCTGATTTCACACTAAAATAGGCACTTCCTCTGATACGGCTTTAGCGAAAGAACATTCTGACACTGGTAATTATATAAAACATTAATTTGGCGTATCTCGTATGAGCCGAATCCCAAGTCAACAAAAATAGACATCATGCCTTCTAGCCATTGGACAAATTGGACTTTTTTGCTTCAACATAAACTTACAAATTAGAGATATCAATAGAAATATCATAACATTAACATAAAGTACATTGATTTACTTATTATTCGCAACAGCCAACGTAAATGTCACAATGAATACAAACAGATTGTCACAAGACTCTACACCCATACAACAGATAGAAATAAACCGATAAATAATTTTTAGATTGTCTGAGATTGTTAAACAAGCCGATGCCTCCCTGGATTATAACCATATCAACTGAACTATAAGCAAATCAAAACTTTGCATTCTATCAACAAATACGTACCTACGCCTATTCTCTTTATTTATAAATCCGTTACATACGATAAAGAAAAACGCAGAGCGCTTTAGAAAACTGTTGCCACAATTGCGGAAGTAGTATTTTTCGATACAGGCTCAATAATGCCGTTCTGATATGATACCATTAAAGATATAATTTGGAAAGATAGTTTAAGCACTGTACGAAGACAGCAAACACATGCTACCAATATTTACAATTTGTTATTGAACATACCAGCTTGGTCGTCCACTTTCAGCCAAGTCGACTATAAACAATAATCCAGAAGCGCTGTCATTCAGGTTTGATTCAAATTCTTCGGCTATGATATGGTAGAAAATTCCTTAAGGACGCTCATTTGCTGTAGGTCGTGAATTGCTATGCTGTCCCGTATTCGACAGGTGATGGACCTCGTCTAAAATAGATTTTTAACTTGAAAAAATTTGACTTTAGAATAAAAGGGAATAACTCGGAAATGGAAATTGAATGGTGATAGAAATAAGATTCAGTTGAATCCCGTTAGGTCGGACCTTCGAAGGGTGTAAGGAAATGGTCTGAAGCAGCGGGTGTTCGACTCACTTGGACAGCAAGTTTCGACTTGAATAAGGTAGGAAATCCAAATGAAATTGTAAATCAGTTTGTCCTTGGCAATTCCGGGTTATCCGGGGTACGACTTAAAGGGATTTGACTGTAGTAAAATTGGATAAGAGTAAGGAAGATATAGACACCGAGTTATTGCAAAATATTGACAGTGCTTTTGGAGGGCTGAGTCGCAGTTTCAAGAGAAAAAAAGAGAGATGAAAATGCGCCCTTCTTTCATAGTATTGTGATAATTTTTTGGGAGAAAGTACATGTGTGATATGTGCAGTGCACAATATGTGCACCATAACAAAAAGATGCCGCACAATTCTATTAATACCACAATATAATGGCTCAGTTGGCAATGATGATTTCCTAACCAACACTTGACACCGGATTTGATGATAACATTAACATCAGATCTCAAAACTGTTTTTGCAGTTCCATAAGATTCTATACAACAAAAGGCAAATTACTGGATGCAATATCTTCACCACTCCAATCATTCTAAATATCCAACTAATAAAACTAATAGTATATCAAAAAGCGAACAACTTACCAGTTGTGTGAAGAATGCAGTCTCTTTTGGCGTTTCAGTATATTTTTTGTATGACTCGAGATTTTCTATAAGTTTCAGCGTTAATGTATCATAATTGCTTCTGATAACACCTAAGACCTAGATCAAATAATATCAGCATCAGGTAATACCAAAAGTGGAGTAATATTTATATAAATATTACCGAGGGTTATTGATAGTAAAATATAACAATAAAGTAATAAATACATTTACCAGAAAGTACACTCTTATGACAATGGAAAACTGTACAATTGGCTGTTTCTAGTAGGAGACCATTTCAGAAAGATAATGCACGGTGAAACCCGGACAAAAAGTTCTCCAGGTAGAAACTTTACACTGTTTTCAAGATTTAGGATCTCTCTCTTCAATTCTTTTCAAAATTATTTGTGGAATAAAGAAAGCTGTTGATAAATACAAGTTAAATCTTAGCTGTTTATTTTTATTTTCATTGGTAGAAAGTCTTGAACGGCGATTGAAACACGTTAACTCACTTGATCTTCTGTTAATGACGAGGAATGGTGTGCATTTGCCCACGAGTCGATTTTCGGAGTAAAGTGGTGTATGATAGCTCTGGAAAAGCAATAAGATTACAAGTTAACGAAGTGTTCACAAGCAGTTTTCTTATAAATGCATAAATAAGGGCCAAAGAGAACAGCCACCTCGGTCTTGCAAATCCAAAATTACTAATAAGACCTGCGATTCTGCTATCGGGCAGCATTTGCTAGAAAACCCAGTTTGTGCAAAAAACTATAATGGCGACATGTTTCGGATTATTGGTAAAGCCCGATCGTCGTTCCACCTAGCAGTTTTAGAATCTATCTACATAAGCACGAAAAAACCGCTACTGTGTAGACAAAAGGAGTTCGTTTTCACCTTAGGACTCCATTGGTAACATTCTGATAGGCAAGCGGCACTGATTGGTCAACCTTTACAGTCATGTGCTCGTGTTTCTGATTGGCCTATTTCGATCCACAACTGGGTATATATATTTCTTAGCGTAGAGTTTTCGATCTATGTTCTGGCGTTTTAAACTCTGAAGAGTGTCAGACGAAAAGCTTTAGTTTACTAAATGTTTGCTTTTTTCAAGGCTTTCTTTGTCTGTGACAAAAGGGGAGGAAGTTCGACATTAGATAGGGTCTATTTTCAAAACGAAGTTGTTATGACAAACAAGCATTACGAAGACCTGCGTCGAAAAATTGCACTTGAATTGTGAAAATAAAGGCTGTTAATCCAGCTTCAAGACAATTGGTATCAGAAACCAAAGCAATTTGTTTGAAAGGCAATCTTGTCTCAGTTTTGTAATCATAAGTCTAAATTCAAGGGGACGAGTTTTATTCCAGGCTTTTTGACGTAGGTCATGCAATAGAATATAAAAAATTACAAACAAAAATATCTTTATATATCATAAGCAAAATAAAAAATGGTGCAAGTATAAATTAACGGACATTTGAAGAGATAGAATGACCTAACAAAAAGTCGAACATCTTACTTTAAATTGACCAGAGAACTGGCTAGTCTAGAAGCAGACGATTTCCATTCGCTGTCACCAGATGAATGCCTTAACGCTGAATGAAAATTGGAAAAAATGAATGTTATATTCATTTCACAAGGAATCTCACATGTAGGTGTTTACATTAAAAACATTTCCGGCTTTGAATGTCATGCTTTCATTGGAATACGTTTCCAAATAAAGGGTCCTTGGTTTGAATAAATTCTGAGAGATGAATGTCAAAGCCATACTGTTATTGTTTAAACACCAGGCAAGCATACGATAATACCAAAACTGCGATCTGGCCATTAGCGGACACTTCGTAAATTTGTTTGAGGGGGGCAGGGGGGCCAAGCCTATTGTTTTGATAAGATGTCGTCACATTTTCCAATTGCTTGAGAACAAAAGACAATGGTTTTCCAGAATACCTGCTGCCCCCCCCCCCAGGTGTCCGCCATTGGATCAGTACATTATGGTCAATAAACAAAATGTAAATTACAGAGCTTAGGATGCAAAATATTACCTTCAGGTTTCCTTCTACAGTATTCTATATCAGTTAGCAAATGAGCAAGCAAAAAATAAAGACGTAGAATATCGAACTAGAATGGATGCATGGTAGGTTGGGCAAAGGCAAAAGAGGCTTTTCTATCTGTTTATGCCATAATTTTGTGAACAACGATTGCCAGTGCCGTAGGAATGCTGCTAGTTAGCTTAGCTGATGAATCTGCCTTCGAATAACTGGAATCAGGTCTGTCAAATTTATAAACATAACAAAGTTTGAGTAAGAACTTGCTTTGCTTACCGAGAAGATAAAGATTGTCGAAAATTTGGTGCACTCTGATAATTTCATAGTACAAATCATCATAAGACGTAGGCGTGGCTAGGAAAGTGTCACCATAGGTGACGAAAACATTGAAAATGTTGACGATCTAGAAAGGAAACAAGCAACTACTTATTAATTAATTTATACATTTATCTATTTATTTATTTATTTATTTATTTATTGACATATTTATTTACTTTTTCAAACTTATGCAATTGCGCTGAAACCTAAAGTTGCATAGTAAAAAACCAAAAACGGTTTCAATTTAAACATAACAATTGCATTAAAACCTATTGAAATTTACCATAAGAAGGAAATAACCTAGGATCTGCTATCATTTCTAAAACATACGTATAACGTATTATTAAATATAAATATTACTGGATTTTACAGTACTGTCATGTAACATAAATGCGCAATCTATATGTATTAGCCAATGATAAGGTTTGAAAGTGAACGGAAAGCAGGATTTGGGAAATACACTGAGAGAAAATGTTAGCAAGTGACACGCCCTGCCCTGGCTGTGTCAGTAAGGCTTCGAAAACTAAAGCACAAGACAGAATAAAGATGATTCAGTGGAAAGTGAAGAGCTTAGGATTGTAAATTAGTAAAATCTAGTGTTCCGTTTAAAGTAAAAGTATTGTCAAGAGAAATGATACAAAAATTTTACAAAGTATGAAGTTTTACCCGTAGTGCCAAGTCAAATATGTTACATGTTGATGACAGAGTTGACTCGTTCGAAAGTATGAATTTCAGTAGATTCATCAGGGCTGACCACAGCTCTTTCCATTGAAACTCAAGTCTGATCCGGCATCGCTTTTGGTAGCAAAGTAGGCGATGAACGATACACACGCAGTATCTGGTAAAAGGATTATATGAATGTAACGAAGTGCTAAATAATCTTAAAAAATCTTAGCTATACATTGTTAGAAAATTGGAACATCAAAACTTACTAAAGAATGAATAAATAGCATAAAAATACATTAGTTTTACACTATAACACAAGATCATCTAAGTTTAGAGAAACGCTTTGGTGTGAAGAATTGGTCGGTTCAGAGCTGCAACTTAGAAACGGTCTTGTTCTATACACCAACGCGAGTACAGTTCTGCCTATACGGTATCGAACAGTTCTGCCTACACGGAATGACAAACCAGTAAAACGGTTTTTTTCATCAAGTTTAGAGAGAGGTGGTTCTGATCTTAATTTAGAGGCTGAAACTTCATAGTGAAGAAGGTCTGGTATTTGAATTCAGATTTAAAAATTTTTTTCTGTTGTTTTTGTCACATAAATGTAAGAAAAGTAAACTTTCATCATCTTTCTCCTTTAAAAGTAGTTCAGTTCAAACGCAAACAGTTTCAATTGCCTAAACATCTTAGCAGAAAGCCACTTGTTAGCAAAAGACAAAAAATGACAAAACAAAACGAATAAAGATTATCTTGATGTCAATATTGTTAGGACGTTATAGTGAGCAAATGAGCCACAAAAATGAAACATACTTGTAAAGATCGAAAGGGAAACTTCTCATCATGTGAGTGATGATAAATTCAACCATCAAGTCTGCAAAAAATAACATCTTCTTCAAAAACGGCCATTTTCTTTCAAATAATACAAATACAAAAAGCTACAACCTCATGACCAAATATGATATGACTCAATTTGAGAAATCAGAAGAAGTAAGATGTTAATCGAATTATCCAATAAAAAACTGATTTATAGAAAGAAAGGCTTTTAAAAAATTGCTCATAGCTTGTAGATGATGTGCGAATGGTGCGTAAAAGAGCGTAGAGGACGAGCGTAAAGGACGCGCGAAAAAAACGAGCGTAAAGGACGAGCGAAAAGGACGAGCGAAAAGGACGAGCGAAAAGGACTAGCGAAAAGAACGAGCGAAAAGGACGAGCGTAAAGGACGAGCGAAAAGGACGAGCGAAAAGGACGAGCGTAAAGGAGGGGCGTAAAGGACGGGCGTAAAGGACGAGCGTAAAGGACGAGCGAAAAGAACGAGCGAAAAGGACGAGCGTAAAGGACGAGCGAAAAGAACGAGCGAAAAGGACGAGCGTAAAGGATAAGCGTAAAGGACGAGTGTAAAGGACTCTCGGTTAGAACACATCCTTTGTATTAAAATACCCCAGTTAAAGAACAAAAATATCCGTGTACCTACCCAGTAGAACAATGGCTAATGGCTTTGATGATGCTGCGTCAGCAGAACTCTTACGATGGTACAGCATCTGTGAATGAAATTAGTAGCAAGCAGTTATTTGACAACTCAAGGCTTCAAGAAACGAATTTTAGACGATATAGAAAAATCAAAAACAAATGTTCACAATGCTTACCTTCTTAAAAAGCGGCACTTTGAATGGCATGTTTGTGTCGTGCACAAAAGCACTCGAACACTGATCCTAAGATAGAAGATTTACATCACAGTCAGTTACTTGATACGAACCTTTGATATTGTCAGTTCAAAAGTGACATGAATGATACTATTTATAAATGTGCTATAAAACATATTTAGGACACCATATCATGTAATGATGGCAAACCTCTTAAAACATTTTTTAAATAAAATTTAAGCTAACCAGAGAAATGACTAAATGTCCATGAATTGAACAGAGAGTTTAGCTTTTGAGATCTTTAGATGTTAGAACAATCTTGATAAAAGGCTTAAAATTGTAATCAATTTTTGTGACAACTAGAAAAGTATGATATAAAAAATATTTTCAGAGATTACTTATTCTGGCTAGGCTTTATTTCTTAAAAAGAGGAACTAATTGATGCCAAAGCTATGCAGTATTTCAGATGAAGTAAACACTCTTTATTTATATTCTGTTAAATTTGTTGAGTTTCAACAGGTGTTATGGAATAAGCTGAAAAGATGCATCTGCTGTCAAGCATTATTAAAAAAATAGTCATAATAAGCAAGTAAGAAGTATATTGGGAGAGCACCAAAAACCAAGCTATTATTATGCCCTGAAAAGCTTGGATATACGAAATTACATAATTAAGCTCGCATTTGACTGTCTAATAAATAACAGAGAACGTGCTTCATATCTAGACATACTTTTATTCTAATCATCTATACATCTAAATCTTGCACCCGGAGAGAAAAGTATTCAGTAGAGTTCTGACATTTGACTTACCTCAACTATGCAATTCAGTACAAGGAAACACAATTTCGCTGTTGTAGCCCCATGATCAGCTGAAAGAGAACCATTTTAAACTCTAATAAAACCACGTAACATCTAAGTTGTCATTTCAAGTACACGATAAGATAAACTTATGGACATTAAACGTAAAAATGGGCCTTACAAAAATAGAAATCGTACATAATTTTGACAATTACTTTGAAAAGAAACATCTTCTCAAAACTGATCTGAATGAGGGGCTTCAGTGAAAGCAGATGTGCTAGACGAAATAGTACATTAAATTGTCACATTTGGTACGACTTTATCTCAGGAGGAATCTCGATACGTGCTACTATGACGACAGATAACGAAAAAGAGGCTATCCCATGATGGAAACTCAAGAACAAAGTAGGTGCTTTCAAAAATCTTACTTCGAGTATCTCGAATTGCAATTGACGTGAAAGTGAGGAAGGCTGCAAGAAGATTGTTCGCTTCAGAGCGATCTGTTTGTCCAACATCTGCACCGATGTCACTGCCGACTAAAACAATATTAAACATCATTTATATAGTTTAACACAGTAGATGGGATAACTAAAGTCAAGGGATGTTCTGTTAATACATTGATAGGCAATAACCCACTTAAGTACAGCAAACAATGTACAATGGAAGGCACCGCTGCAAAAAGCAATGTCCTGCATTTTGGCGTGATTCTTACCAACTGCAACTCTTTCGACGACAGGATGAGTGGATCTGTCTCCGCATTCACCAGTAGCATTGTCAATGGCCTAAAAAGAAAGCCATTCATCACAAAACTAGAGCTGAATGAAACACGCTAAGAAAAGAGTCTCTAATGTTTTGCACACCATAAATCTTCGAATTAGCCCCTTGTAGGCTAATTAAATAGGAATGCCTTTAAAACGGGGCTTATTCGAGGGGGCTTAAACAACGGGGTGAGGCAAAAAGAGCATTTACGTTATGCAAAGTTGATCTGAGATACCTTGAAGATTGACGATTGTCAATAGGAAAGAAAGGTGTATTGATTTAGGAGCTTGAAGCAGTATGTGTGCTCTCTAGGAGGATATATAGAACGCTGCAGGCAATGCCAAGAACAAGATGAAAGCAGTTCATATTTCAAACATATTACTTATACGTTTTGTTACTAAGTAAGTTCAAGTTTAGACAATAATTCCTGCATTAAATATACAAATACAACACTGCAAAGTTAGGTTAAAAAATAATAAAAAAAGTGAATAATAACAAGGGTTTGTATACAACTGATAAGTTTCAAAAAGGAATACTATGACAGAATACCTTGAAAAAAGAAGCAAAGAGTTTTTTAAAAGTATATATAGAAACATAGAAGTGCTAGCGAATGATTTAAATACGGCTATCGATTCTCAGGTTAGTAAAAGCTGTTATGGATTAATACATACCATAACATGACTAAGCACATTGAAGAAGTTTCTGTTGAGATGATTTGCTTCATACATGGCCAAGACGATTGCATCATTACTTGAGCTGCAAAGATATTAATAAATGCAAAAGGGTATCCTGTGTCACGTACTGTCATGCAATGATGTCACGTACAGAGATAGAAGATAAATCAAGCCAGAGTATTCTGCTAATTTCGATTTTTAAAGCCTTTCTCGAGACGAAGGTTATCGAGTTACCTCCAATTGTGAAACAAAATTGATGCCTTTTCGTTCAATTTGATATCCCTAAGAACTCCATGAAGTTATTGTAAACCATAAACGTACTTCTCATGCCTTGGGGTTAGAGTTTATAGGCAAATGTGGATTCAAGCTAAAGGGCAAAACCAAAACCCAACATAGCAGTCCAACATATTCATTTTTGAAACTCCGAGAAAATAGGGAAAGATTTTTTGCATGCTAGAAGATATTTTTCTCAATTACACCTCGTCGTAATGAAATGAAGATGATGACGTGTTAAGGTGTTTCGACTTGTATCTAACCGGGCAAAAAACACTCCTGGCTGACATTGGCTTAACCAGTCAGTATCTTTCTCTTTGATATAACCGAAAAGTAATCATTACAAAAGGGACTATTTCTGCCCTCAAAATATTAGCTATCTGACCCACACATAGATAATCTTTATGGCACCTAACTTTAAACCCCACATTAACTTTGCTAAATGTTGTTAAAAAACAAAAAAGAGGACATATTTGTGGCTAGAAATATGGAAGGATACAAATATTCGATTATTCAGAAACCATCGAGATTGCATCTGTGAAATTCTATAACGATGTCAAATCTGCTATGAAATTATTATGTATGCAATTTCAATGCTGGAATACCTAGACGAAATATTGTGTCCATCTGGTCCAATAAACATGCTACCGACCTGAAAAAACAAGGGGGAAATAAAATATACCAAAATCGATTAAATCAAATGTACTCAAACGATACCATGAAATGAACAACAGGAATACTTTTTGATCTACGTAATGCTCTAGCCATAAAATAAACCACTGAAATTTGAAAGTTAAAAAAATATTTAACAATGCTTTATGTCAGGAAACTTTGGATGTAGAAGTTGTTTTTTAATGTTTTTTAGTGGTAGCCATAAAGTACGTACAAAATACTTTTCTAACATTTCACAGAGCTTAAAAACCGACATTAGTTTTATGCAAATAAACAGGTTCTTATAATCAAGGTTTAAGCTGCTTAACAATTTGGATTTATTTTGGCGAATTGCTTTCTAGGCAATTATACAACTCATGCAGCTAAACAGTTAAGTTCTTCGTTGCAGATCTCGCTTGCAACGATCTTTGCTTTCTTGTTCACTTAATTGGTTGGTGATCGACTCATCGAAGCAAGTGGAAACTTGCTAAGAGAACGTGGTTCCACTGCAATTGTTGTTAAGACAACTGGGTGATCTTTAAACAGTGGAAAAATGTGAACAAAAATTACAATCGAGCAAACATAAAATGCCGTTCCGTTTATAAAACGTCATTAGAAATGTAACACCAAGTATCATTTGTGAATACTAACATACCAAATTTGAAATCTTTTGAAAAAATCCGCTTGAAGGCGGTTCTTCGTTGGCCTTTTTGGCAGCGAATTTTCTGCAAAAATGACCAAAAATATGAATGCGATAGCAGAATGTAAAGATTTTTCATATAACATCAACATCGTATTACTAACTATACATTGTGACAATCAAAGTTACTGTACAGACCATCTTTACTTTTATCTAGAAAACACCTTTTCTCTGAAAACAACATAAATTGCTCTGGTAAATTTATCAAACCACTAAGCTGAGATTCAGATGGTAATTAGATACTCTGCAGAGCGGGAAAAATATTCATCAGATGTTGCAAAGGATATCTAAGAAATGAAAACAAGGGGGAGAAGTTGAAATGTATTTAAATCATTGACGAACCGGTTAAAGTTTGACACACTTTCTTTGATGACATGGCCAAGCCCCTACAATTGAAATAAAAATATGTGTTCCTGCTTAATCAAAAAAATGTAACCGTAAAAAAATCAAGAAAAGATGCACTGTTGACATTTAGAGAAAATTCCTTAATCTAGTTCCGGTGAAAGTCAATTTTCTAAAATGTCTTTACTTAAGGAAAATATTAAATAGCTTTTGATCTTTTTAAACATTCAATTATACTTATCGCTCACTGAAATTATTTAAAACTCGTACAGTAATAGCATAGGTTTTGCAGCACAAAAGCTTTAAATTTCAATATAAATATTGTCCTTTTCTTGACTCTATATCGCTCAGTTAATGTACCAAACAAGAAAAGGCATGTGGCACTTTCAGGTCCAACTTATGTCTTTACTCCTGTATATACACAAACCAGCCCTATCGATATGTCAACAATGTTATTGGGTGTAGAGATCCTAAAATGGTGATTATGGTTAAAACGTTTTAAAATTTGATTACAAATTTAGTCAGATTGAAACTTTTAGGCACTTACATTTAACGCCATTTCATCATCCAAAATCGACAATTTCACTACATACGGGTTGCTCCCCTGAAAATCATTGAAACAGATTTCACACACAAGTTTCTTAAATTTCTAGTTACAATAGTCCATGTTACAATTGCAAGAAAAAGAACTAAAAGTTTTATTTCTCCAACTCACCACTGAGCAAGGTGAAATATAGTTGATATGAGAAAAAGAACAACCAAAGTGAAACTGCAATATAAAACGCTACCAAAACAACATTGTTCTGCAGGCTAAACTTGCTTTATCAAGGATGAGAAAAGGGTTTTCTGTACATGGCACAACGAGACCTTGCTGATCAAGACGAAGTTAATGAGTTTAGAAAGGCGATGAATCGTATTACCTCATGCTTTCTGTACTGCACCAACAGTGTCAACAACAAAGCAGCCTCGTAACCATGGTCCGCTCTCAAACTAGGATTTGCTAGAATCTAAAATGAGGCATTGTGATTGATAAATTATACAGGCTTTGAAACGACACAAAGATATTACGGAGAATTCAAACAAGATATAGCTTGGAATGAACATACTGAGAATTAAAAAAACAATTTTACGCTAACCTATCCAAATTAATAAAAACTTATAATTGCTGTACCTTTACGTTTTCATGCTTATTTTGCTACAAGCATGTCATAACATACTAATAAAAGTTAAACCTATATTGATCAATTTAGATGAGACACTACTTCAAAAGGTTGATTCAAAGGATTCTTTGTCTGACCATAGATATATTTTACTGGGAGGGGGGCTATGTGTACTTACTATACTTGTTAAATCTAAGTCCACCTCATTCAAGTATAAGAAGAACGGTGTAAATATGTTATTTATGATGTTGCCTTTAAAATCAGACAAAGAACCGTTTGACCAAGAATCCTAGATGCACTGAATTACAATTTTTAAGATCGATTGCAATCATTTTTCAAAATTTGCAGTTGTGTGAATTTATTATAGATATGGCTGCAAAAAATTCAAATAAAGTTGACTTACCTGGGTTATGGTTTCAAAAACACTGTTCATCATAAGAAATTCCAGCAGTGTATTCTGGCTAACATTATCAACAGCCTGAAAGATTGAACATTTCATGGACACTTTTAAAACATTATATCTAAGGCAAAATGGTTTTGAATTTTGAAATTTCTTATTGGAAGGGAGCTCCTTGGAAAGCAGCAAAGGTTTAAGAATCCATGAATATTGTAATTACGGAGAGCAATGAGGAGATACTTTCATAAATAGAATATTTTGTTTGTCTCAACAATTCACCATGTTCTCAATCTGTATTTATATAGTGCCGACAACCACTTGTCACAAAAAAATTTGCTTAATGTCATAATGTCACTAAACTTTTCTCCCAGCATTTTCGCTTTCCAATCAATCGAAATTCTGTTTCTGAAACCCCCTGAGATGCACTAAGGTAAACGAAAAAAGGGAAGATAACAATATTTAAAGGTTTGGTTTACTCAAGCCCCGTAAAATGCTGAGCACATTAAAATATATTGTTTCAACGGGAAACAAGATTACCTTCCTTGATCGATATTTCAAAGACAATGAAAAATTAATGAAAAAGTGTCTTGCATAGAAAATATTAAAGAAAATTGTTTATCGTTTATTATTTGCTATTATTGTTTCCTATTATTACATATCAAGATAATATTTACATGAAAAGGCTTCTTACCGTTACCATAATCAGCAAGAGCTTCAGTGTCAGATTTCTTAGGCTTACTGTCAAATTAATAAGACTAGGATTAAGCAAGACTATCAAGATCACACAATCAAGACATTATCCTGGCAAAACAGATTCGGTGCCAAGTTAGAAACAATCCAAATTAAAAACAAGATGTTTCGAGCATCTACTAATTTCCTTGATAAATGCTCGAAACGTCGTGTTTTTAACAGTCGATTTTATTTTGGTACTTATTTTATTTATGCACTATATTGTCGTTATTTTTATAAAGTAACACAAGCATAAAATGCAACAAGCAAACAAGCAACCAGCATATTCTAGTTGTAATGAAGGCTATAAAATTTATGAGGGTTTAAATAATTGTTTCAAACTGGCAGTTGCTTGAATGATAAATACAGGCATATCTAAAACATTTCTGAGGCCACCCTACATCATTAAATTTCATGGCCAAACAAAAACGCATTTCCTTGAATACACACAAAGAAACTGTAACCAAAAGTTCCAAAAATACAATAAGAATGATGGTTACTGTTAATTCAGTAAGGTTTCCACTTCTCAAAGAAATGCAGCTTTCAAATATAGCTAAGTATGTTGCATGCATAGATTTGAGTAGTGGACAGCAGTAAATGCCCCCCACCCAACTTCTAGCATTGGAATCATGCACTTTTACACATACTAATAAATCTTTAGCAAAAATGTTAATTTACAACATCAAAATCTAAAGAATAATTTTACAGAATAACACAAGAAAGAAACCTGAAAAGGTTCTTTTCACATACCAGAATAATCACCCAAAAGAAATGAATTCAGCAATTCAATTAACCTCTAGGAAAGAGGAAACCTAGATCATGCTTTACCCAAAGAATGAAAAATAGTTAGGAAAACAAACAAAAATAACAGAAAAGGGCATAAGGTCATTGTTAACTGAGGGTATAACGAGGGATCGTTTTGAGTTATTGAATATCAGCTCTCTAATGAAGACTTATGAAAGAATTCACATAAGAGAAACTCTCTTAATTGAACAAATACAAACACAAATTGCTGTCTTTCTTTGCTAAAAAATATCTCTGCCTCAAAGTTAATTCTCTCATTGTCAATCAAAAACAAAGATGAAGGAAACAAAATGAATATTTTTCATATTTCACAGTGAGATTAAAAACTAGAAAAAACTTAAGAACAACAAGAAAATACTCTTTTTTGAGAGAGAACACTGAGCTGAGTAAGTATGTAGCTTAGAGAGAATAAGAAATATTCTTGAGAAGATAAAGTATCAAGTGAGAAAATTTAGATAATTTCTTCCCCTGAAAGAGAAAAATATGAATTCAAAAAGAATTACCTGAAGCTGAGCTTCAGCATCATCAAAGCCAATTAATATATTCAAAACTTCAAAACCAAAATCAGAGAAATTTTTCTTGTAGATGCTTCTTATTACAATGCACAGAGTCTGTAAAAAATGAGAGGCAATTTTGCTGGGATTCATAATTTTCAACTGATTTCTAAAAAAATAGGTAAATTAGAAGATTTTGCAATGGCTTTATTAGGTATTGTTAATTTTTTGTGGAAAATCCTATTTGTAACTTTATCTAGGTGGGAAAAATGTATCATAATTATGCATATCTACTAAATGAGAAAATGAATCGTCAAAAAGTTTTCAATTTATCAAAAAAATATAACTAAAATCATATAATTGAATCAAAAATAGAGATGATCAATATATATGATCAATAAATTAAATGTCTTAACTTGACAGACACACTGTTTGATTGTCTGAAATAGCAACCATTATTAAAATTTAAAACACACAAAAATGGATGCAGGCAGCTCAACATGGAGCCTAGTTAAATTGCTAAAGCTCGTAGTAGTAGGCCACTTATTCAGTTCTTCAACGATTGCATTCTTAGATTATGCTTAGACAAATATTTTAATATTACCTGGAGAGCATTAATAACTTTAATTTGGTGGTCCTGTCTCAAGGTTCTACAGCAATGGCAAAATAACAGGTTGATATTTTCCTGAAAAAAACATAGTGTATTTATAAAGTTAGAATAAATGGTGTTAAATACACTAAGTTAAAATAAAATGGCAGATCAAAAATAATATGCAAAAAAATTCATTCTATAGATTGCATTTAATGTCAATAAACAGATATGAAAGTTGCTTTAACAATCACTAGGTCATCTCTTGCTAACCTATAACCTTATGAATGGTGTTTGTCTCTAATTTAGCTAATGTACAAATGTAGCTAGATATTTAAGTCTATTTTTTGCCATTGAATGCATTGCATTTATGATAACAATAAATTCAAAAATTTATCAAAAACTCGAAACAAAAAAATAGTAAGTGGCATTGACTACACTGATAACACAAACAAATATAAAAAATTTGTTACCTTTACCAAACTTAACTCCTCCACACTGAGAGCCTCAATCAATTCCATTAAGCTTTCTGCATTAACCTGCATTACAAGTTAGAAATTCATAACAATTCTATTTGAAAAGAAATTTAAATATTTTCAAAAAAAAGTGATGGCAATGAGAGACAGAAAATCAACAAAACCATGCTGTAAAATTTACCTTCAAAAGAAATATTTCATGCCAGAAATCAGGATTATTCTTTGTGACATCATCACCCTGAAGTTGAAAAAAAGAAATTGATTTTTGCTTGACATTATAATATGACAATGCTCTAACTAACAGCTTGTTATGTGGCCAGGGATGTCTTGACATGGATGCATAAAAGGAAGATGCCCTAAACTGTTGTAAAAGACCCTTTTCTGAGAAGTGGCCTAATTCAATGTCTGATTGAATAGCAATACATGTCATCCTCATAGTAAACATTTATGCTATCAAACCTATCCTTGAAAACTTCCCCCAACCCCAAGTGGAAAACAAAAACTGCTAGATATCATATTATATTTTATATAAATGTTTGTTAATTCAATTCTAAACTGTCTTGCTGTGTACACGGGAGGGAGATGTACTCAATTTCATTTAATATGGGCATTTTAAATTGTTATTACTGGTTTTTCGGGTTGTGTCCTTGCTTCTGCTTTTTCCCTTATTGAGGAACCTTTTTGCTTTCTTTTGTTTATATTGTCTTGAATATTGTGAAACCTGCACTTTCCTTGTTGGAGCAGGGCACAATGCAATAAATTATTTGTGTCTGTTGCTAGTTTATCTTGTGTATAAATGGCATACAATATGCGTTATATAGACTGAACCATGTGACGTGCTTGGCAGTAGAGGCAGCACACATTTGGTAGCTGCTAGTACCTAGTTAGTTAGTTAAATTATTATCTAGTAGGAGTAGTCAGGAAAGAAAATGAAAAATATAAAAACACAACCCAAGTTGCTGAGTGTTCCAAGTACTTTTGGCAATCATTGCAGTTAAATAGTAATCTTTCACAAGGAGTCACACCATGATATTTAAATCTGCTAGTCTGTGTTTATTTCATCTAATTTACTTTTTGTTCATCTATTATTTCATCTAATTCCTAGGTGTACAATTTGTTGCCTGTAACCCTTTCCGTCTTTGAGGGTCATGTCAAAACTGCCATAAGTGTCAGCACAAATTTGGGTAAATCCCAAACATGCGCTGACAGTATTTCAATTTTTAAAATCAACTGTAACCTGCAACATCAAAACCTGCCTCTAATGCATCCAAATCTTTGTCGTGAAGGATATAGAGGGTAGGGGATAATAAAACTACTAAATTATAAGATCAAGGTTGGGTTGTTGTTGTGACTGTTTAAAAAAAGGTACGAGTTACTATTTTCACATATCAGGTTAACAGAAATTTTTCATAATAACAAACCTTGAAGATTGACTCATAAAACAAAACTATTTTCCCTTTCAGTGGCTTCTTGCCAGTTGGCGAAGATGGTTTACTTTCTCCAAGCCAGCTCGCCATTTTGCTTACTTTCTATTATATGTTGCTGTTGTTGTACACCTCGGCAACGCAAGCCTCTCTTCTGATTGAAGTAGCAAAATGTCGGCCGTAGAAGTTTCTTGGAGATTTGGACGATATGTTTGCCAGTTACACAGACTTCATATTTACTTTTGCAGATACTCTGGAAGCAGTAGAGGCATGAGGTTGTTTAGAATTAAGACCATTTTTAAATTCTTCTTTAGTAGGCTTGAGCTAGAAGTCTTTCTCAGTTTGGCCTTTTTTTTCATCATTTTTATCTCCATAATTCTCCTTTCGTCCTGTTAGTTATACACTTACATTGCTGATGATTAACCCCAATAACTCATTCTTCGATGCCTGAAACCTGTCAGTAACATGTTTTGAAAGTATCTTGGAACGCTGTGTAATGCACCAGAGAAATTTCGTTCTTGTATAGGCCTATGTCAAACGCTCGAACTGGCTGACCATTTTTGGGGCATTATATAACACCCATCTAAATGAGTTGAAAGTACAGACAATTATGTTATTTGTGATGAGACTGCTTATGTAACAATCAAAATAATTATTAGACCACAGTTATACCTTTGCATACTTCAATCAGGTCAAGATTGTCAAGCTATATTTTTCTTATCCTGTTTTTCAAGGGAATAGCTCTTTTTTTATGTTGTTGGAATTTAGTGCAATAGAGTTATTTAGTATCCACTTTATAAACTACTAAAACGCAATCTTTTGTGCAATTTAAAGTACAGAAACTTGAGCAGTTGATAATTTCCTTCTAATTTTTTTCCCTTAGAGATTTCTTAGAAAACAAAGTGACATATTTTGCTGAAAACAATCCATCAATATCTATTTATGTCAATGAAATGAAAAGAAAACATCCTAAGCTAGAGGCACATTACTGTAAGTATTAGGGATTTATTTTTACTGTAACAGCTTTCCTAGTTTGTTAGCTGGTAAAGTTTATGCAGATAGGTGATCTCAAATCTCATGAGCTGCCACAAAGGCTAGAGTTTTTGAAAGCAGAGTTAGCACGGCCTGCATGCTTCTCCAGAGGCTGCAGTTCCCTCTGCAACCTAATAAATTTATCCCAGGGAAACCATACTGCCTCTTTTTTGAGTGAATTTGATATAAGAATGGAATGCCTTTGAAATTTTTGCTAAAATTCAATCTGAATGCTTACAGAAAATGAGTTAAAAGATAAATTATACAATGATTCAGGGTATTGTGCTTGTGTCAATCAAAATGAGCACATGCTATTGACATTCACACTGAAAATTGTCATTCACAGAAACAGGACATATTGGTTGAAAGAAAATTATAAACTGTCTTTAGATCAATATATAAATGAAATTTAAAAACAATGCTGTTGTTTATCTTGTTTGTAAATAGTTTAAAGATTTCCTTTCTATGGTAGAGAACCGTTTTACCCCAGCACCGATGAAGATTTGTCAGTAGAATGTAGCAGGAACAAAGTAACATTTTGACAAGATTCCAATGGAACTTTGAAATAAATTAAATTTAGTGATTAAATTTGCTTGATTGCTTTAATTTGGCAGATTTCAGGCTATAGTCTCATTCTTGTTGCAGTGAATGGGAATACTAAAGAAGTTATTGTACAAAACATGGAGGAAACCGATATTTTTGATGCCCTTGAACAGCTAAGAAATCAGAGTGGAAAGGAATGGTTAACAGATAAAATAAGAAAGACTTGGCATACTGACAAACCGTCTATCCAAGGAACGTGGAACCCATTGCTTAACAAACCAGCTCCAGATTTCTCGAAATAATGATGTATATAATATCACTATCCCAGTTTCATAAGATTCTAGTATGTTTTAATTTAAGTTTTTAAATAGTTGGAGTCATTTCTGTGCTTTTCCACCTGTCAAGAATGTTGAAATATTTCACTGAGGTTGGGAATGAACGGGTAGGTTAGTAAACAGGCTGTAGCTCAACCTTTTCTGAAGAGAAACTATTGTTAACAGTGATTGGAAAGACAGTTTGAATTTTGAAATTTAATTGAATGCTATTATTGATAGAACAAGGCCTTCAAATATCACAGAAAAGATAAATAAAAGTCCAGTTTATTTCTAATCTCGGAGTAAATTTTTTTATCAAAAAGGCAATGTATGTATATTGTGTTGAGAAAATATCAATTCAAGTCATATACTAGCTTGAGTTGATGGGTTAGCAATGATATTTTAGCTGTTTATTTAAATAATAGAACACTAAGCTCTTGTTCACCTAATTGCCAAATGGAACATATATTTTATAATTATCACACTTAGAACCTTTACTTTTTCAAGATGCATCTGTTTACAAACCATATAAAGGATCACTTTTTATCTTTTGCTTGATCGTGATAATGTGATTTTTTCTGTTGCTGAAAAACTTTCATGCATGGTTTATAGTATAGGAAGATTAACATTACTTTCAAAATACCCTGTAGTTCCTTCATTTTGTCTATATTTAGAGCAACATAATTTGTGTTATTACTGCTACAATACTAAAAGAATTTTTATATTAAAACGGAATATAAAACAGATATATCTATCATGTTCTGATTTCAATTTTTATAATTATTTTCAAAATGTCTGTTTAATTCCACAACTAGGTGAAACTGTTGATTTCTTTGAAAAACTATAGAATTTGTCAGCAGAGTCTCATCTACCCTGTGATGGACAGTGAGTGACAAAACTTGTCATTACATTTTGTTTTGAAATTTGATCAACTGTATTCTGGTTCTATATGCTTCTCGCCAAATGGATGGTTAAGAGAAGAGATCTCTCTCGGCTTCTCATCTAGTGGTGTGTAGCTTTGCCTTCCGGCTTTCTCATTTGTCATTCGTCTTCTCATCTCAGCTTCCATTTTTATTCGTCGCCATTTTGCTCTTCTGTTTTGAAACCAAGTTTTAACCTGCAAAATCATTTCATACTTTATAGACCCAGGGGTGTAGCTACGAGGGGTTTAAGGGGTGTGAAACCCCTGATATTTCATGAATTGTTCGGTAAATCTTTAGCTGGTCCACAAAATCCTTACTTGGTCCGCGAAATCGTCCATTAGTAGATAAAATAACAACTAAATTTTTCTTCATCTCTGTCTTCGTCAGTAAATTTTACTCTTTATTATCCCTCATCCCCCAGTCTGGCTAAAACAACGATTTTGAACGGAAATTATTCATCTCATTTTAGGTTGCCCTGAATACGATCTTATATCGTTTTAGGGATGGTTCTCAAAACGAAATTGCTAGCTTTTGTAGTAAGCTTATTTTTTTAAAATTCTGCTGAGGCTACCTTAGAGTTAAACTTTTAAGCAGTTGCCCAAAAAGGGAAGATCAATCCTCTGTTTTACGGGTGGGCGTAAATTGCAAAGGTTGTTTTTGTTGTACCAGGATACATACCTGTCGCTCAGACAACTGCAAAAAATTCGAAAGCTGTTTTCTTTCCTGTGGAGATATGTACTTTTGAATGCTGAAAATTCTTTCTAGTTCGACGGATTGTAAATGTGAAAAACGAACTTGGCCGCCTTTCCGTTTAGCATCATTCCTGTCCTCACTGATAGCTAAACCTTTGCTCGAGTACCCGACTGACGTCATTGTATCTAGAAAAGTAAACCATTATTCACTATTGAACTATTGAAGTTTTACCCCCCCCCCCCCTCCCCCTCCCCTCACTCACTTTTGCTCATCAACTTGAAAAAACTAGCGGAAAAATTGTCAGGAACTGCAAGCAAATCAAAGAAGCTTTTTACACTCAACTTGGCTACGCTCACATTTCTTTTGAAAATGAAATAATTGAAGGGCACTATTCCTTTTTAGAGAAACTATTGGCGTTTTTTCTGTGACAACGTTGTAGCTCGTGAATTTTCCGAACACAGCATAAATCCATAGAAAATCATTAATTCATGGAAATCTTGCTCAAACGCCTTTGGAAAAATATTCTACAAGATATTGTACACGTTTCTTAATAAGAAGCCTGGATCACCACAAAAAATTAAAAGTTTCTAAATTTGGCATTCAAACTTTAGTGCTTTACTGCTTAAAGTTAGTTGGCTTCTTATTTTCGGGACCTAAAATTGCCTTATTGTTTTGAAGTTGAGCGTTTTTGAAAGAATATAAACGAAAAACGTCAAAAAACCATGCAGATCAAGATTCAAAGGATGCTAAAATTGAAGTTTTACGGTTTCTTGACTTTTCTTGAGCCCAATACTCACGTTTCTTAAGTTTTGGCCATGCTAGTACTAGTTTCTTATAAATCAGTTTCTTATAAACAAAAAAAAACGTGTACAGCAAGCTTTCATAAATAAAAAGCTTCCAATGAAAAATACGTCTAATAATCATAAGGCATGACATTGAAATTATACTAAAGAAAGATTTCTGTAAAATTAAAAGATGGTCTCGAAATTTTTCCGTGGACTATGCCCACCAATACCTGCCTCTTTGAAAAACAAGAGAAACTATACCAGGGGTAGGAAGAGGGGGGAGGGAGGCCTGGGCCTCCCAATATTCTAAAAGGTTCCCAAACCAAAACACTTGCAGCTCATACTGTGTTCGAAAATGTGCACATGTCGCCTCTAAACCCTCTCACTTATGACTGTGTTGGTTTGTACATGGGTCTGCATTATCACCGTACATTATTTTCAATATTATCATTTCTATATATTTTTAAAAGAAATTTTGGGCCCCACCCAATGTCAAAATCCTAACTACGCCCTTGAGCTGTACCTTTGTCCTAGGCACCCGATTACACAATGGTCCTAAATGAATGAGCTTCAATGTGTATTCACAATTAGCATTGGCTACCGGGAAAATGTCAAAGACAGCCTCGTATGGCATGGGAACGACGTAAACAAACTATTGGGTCCGACTCGTTGCTATTTTTGTTCTGGGACTATTGTTTATTTGCGACATTCCTTGGCCAGGAAGAAATATTTGTGTTTACATCAAATACAGACACGCTATCTTTGCACACCATTTCTTACTTCGGTATTTTCTGTCGCCAGATTGTTAGCGCATATTTCTCGACTATTTAATACAATAGAGAAAAATGAAGTGCAAACAGTCAAGTTTGCATTATCGCTTAATCTGTTGACGGACTAAATTCTTATTACGACCAAATGCTAGGATCTATGATTCCCAAAATGGCATAAAGATAATTTCCCTGATTGATTTTGTGCTAGTAGTAATTGCAATTATTAAATGCCTCTTATCCTTAAAAGACGAATGGGAAATAATGCTTGAAATTCATTCTCGGGTTACTTTTTGGTAATTTTTTGAAACTGGACTTTAACCGTGGAACTCTAGACGGAATTTATGGAAACAACGGGAAAAAGATGATAAAATATTAATTGTTTGATAAAAAACTGTTTACAATCTAGTTTGAATTGAATCTCTTATTAAATTTGATAAAGGCTTTACACCGATCTCTTCTTGACTACCTGAACCAAAAGTCTTGATTTGAGGTCGTCCAGAAAACTATCGCGCGTCCTGTAAATTAAAAACGCGCGAAACGAGCTGGTCCAGAAAATGAGAGAAAAGTTATTCATCTCAAAGCAGCGTTCTTTGTATAAAGTCTGCACTGCAGTTCACCGTCTCACCTAAATTGAACAATGTTTATAGATCTTTTACAAATTTTACTAATATCATGTAACAGAGAGATTCAAAAACTCGGAAACTACGGGAAGTTTTATGGTAAAATTACCTGAATCGTGAAAAAGTCGCATTGTACCATGATGACAGTCGAACAGGCGCGTACCGCGGGAGTATCCGACGTCGTATGTCCTGTGACTGCTCGACGTAAGGCCTAAATACCTTGAAAAAGCTCTTTGGTTGTAAATGTCATGATATGGATCTGTATGAAGAATTGGGGTAGCTGGAACGGGACAAATTGGATGGCGGTAGGCAGAAAACGCGCTTATTGCAGTGCAGGATTCACACGGGCTAGTCGACTTGGGTGACTTGATTTTGCAGATTTTTTCTGTTTCTTCAGCGAATGGGCTTCGACAGCATTGAATCACTGGGTATTTTGCCAAGTTTGCTTCATCATCTGATACTGTGTCGTCTTTCAAGATTTCATCGATGCTAAATGAGCAAGTTTTCTTTGATTTGCTTCTTGAAAGTTGTCCAGGCCTCTCTCGTCTTCTTTCTTCCATTATTCAGTAACCTATTGGTCGAATTCGAAGTATACTATACAGGCTGATGAAAGGGAAACCAGAGCAACCTTGAAAAGGCCCTACCATAACGCTACTCTTCTCTATTAGATCTAAGTACCATTAGAAACATCTTTTTATATATCAACTCTCTACCTGCAACTTGTCACACTTTAATGAATTTGCGGCCATTTTAATCTCCGTGTAAAATTTCTTACTTGAGACTGATAGGTCTACTAAATGTATTGCTTCAGATTTCAATGGTTTACATGAAAAAATATGAGGTTATTTTTGATGTCGATATTTCTTATCTTGTGTACAAGCGATTCAAACTGAAGAAGACGTCTATATTCCCGAATAACTCGCATACAAACTCTTTGAGACTTGAAATGTAACAACTAGTCCAGGCAGAACCCAGTTGGGTCAAAACGTCAGGCATTTTAACGCTTGGTATGTGAAAACTTTCATCAGTTTTATTATCAAATCTAAAAACTAGTTTGGGCCTTACAAAAGTAAATTACAAAATATTGAGCTATGATTCTCTAAAAAATTGATCAAATTTCAAGTGACTGTGGCCAAGAATGTGTTTGAAAGCGGAAATAGCAGGAATCGCCGTGAACTTAACTCATATCAAAAGTTTCTTTCCAACATCTTCCCATTTTCAGTAAAAAATCAATTGAAAGATAGATTCAGTTGAAATCTCTTTCTAGAGTTCAAATTTCAAATTATTTTGAAAGCGCCAATGAAATATCTTTCAATAAAGGAAATGCCAGTACAAGCAATCAGGATAGTTTTAAACATTTCAAAAATATGCAAAAATAAACAACCCAGATAAAGCCAAATGAATCTCCGTTTTGTTGAGGTGTTCTTGGATTTAGCTGATTATAACTTGGCTGAGGTAAAAAGGCTGCACTAACTACAATCATTAGTTGACGTAAATAAATCTGTTTTGTAATACATACAATTAAATCGAGAACAAATAATATCAAATTAAAAAGATGATTTGGAAATCAGAATGTTTGGATTGGGGTAATCTAGCCTAAGTACTCTATACCCTGTCCTGAACATAGGTCAAAATGCGTCACTCAGTATACACAATTATCAAAACTTGAATAAACAGCTGATACTAACAGTGTATACACTTTCTATTCAATTCTTAGTAAACAGGTTTGGAGGTTCCTGGTATTATTCAAATAAAGTTTGCATAAATCGATAACTCTCAAATGAAAATTGCATTACCTGAAAATATATTCTTTTTCCAAATACAGATAAAACCAGAGTCTTGTGAAAATACCAGCAGGCTTGTCGGGAAATGCCCAGCTGAACAACCAACTGCGATTGAACGACTTGGGTGCAAGTGCCCAGTTTACATATGAGTCACATCTCGGTCCAGGCTCCTTTGTGGTACACCTTGAGTATGGATTGACGTCGAAGCAGTTGGAACGCAATTAATTACCAATTATTGTTTTAAAACGTTCCTTATTGCCATAAAAGCAAGCATAGCAAGCCACTGTTCAAATAAGATAACACTAGCACTCATTCATGCCCTGCTTTACTTGAAAGATTTATTGGCAAACCGAATTGAGACTTATCATAAAGTGACTGCAATGAAAATCTCCCGTATCTGAATAAACATTTGCGTATTATTGACCAGCTGATAAAATAGCTCTTACTTAAACAGATAAGTAAATAAAATTTATACATTATTCAAAGAAAGGGTGATGGATATCATACAGACGACTCGCATTCTGAAGATTCTGAAGTAAGACCCTCTCGCACCAACACCTTCCAGGCGTTTTAGTCATTGGTCCTTGATAGCTCTATGGTTCCCATGTTTTAACGTTTGCTTTGATGAAAGTAAATGCAGCATACAAACATTAGGAAATAAGATGACATAAGATGAAATAAGATGACGTTGATCACGTGAATGTAGATAGATGCAGGAGAGCTTCGAAACACGTGCAGAATCACTGCCTGAACTATTAAAACTGCATTGCATCAGAGACAGTGAAGACAGCTGGACCACCAAAAGCGACGTAGACCATTTTAATTGAAATACTTTCGATTATTTGAAGTTTTTCACATCAGCCAGATGGCAATATTCGAGTCTAGGACTAATGAAAACCAGGCATTATTCACTTATAAAATGATAATACCTTTTAAATGTCAATATACATTATGGAGTCCTTTAAAAGTCCCGTCTTTTTCCCAGTGATGCCCCAGAGATGCGCAGGAGTGGTTGTTCCATGTAAAAATATTAGAAAGAAGGCTTTCGGTTAAGCAAGCTTCATATGAATCATATTTATAGCGTTAGACCTTGCAAATTTTAACAGAGAGCATTTAAACTTTGATCAAAGCACTAATTATTGAAATCAAGTTCGCTCTTCCGACATTGTAATCCAGCAAATTTCTCAACATCTCTCAAAACTCTTGATCGCTACTTCAGGCTTTAAAGATATAGTTCTTTCTCGATGAATAAAGGCGAAAAACAGAACCAAAGTCCAACAATTTAAATATACCCAGTCATTCTGGTTCCATTGAGTTCAAGCTCAGAATTCTTAGTTTAAATTCCTCAAGTTCGCTAACCTTCCCGTTATTTTCAGTAAAACAAGCGAGTGGCGCATGTTTGAAAACAGATGACGTCACATCGGAAGGCAAGGCAGCTATGGAAAAACATATTCATTGTGAGTTGGTTTGAAGACAAAATACCAACAGTACAGTATTTACGCTTTACTTTGGGTCTGTGTAAGCATTGTTTAAATATCCCGTAGAGTAGAGACGACGCGAGCTACTATACCAGCCAAAATTCTTGGTACACTGTAGGAGTTTTTGCATTTGTTCAATAATATCATCCCCCCCCCCCTTGAACAACTTTTAAGGCAGCCTGTTCCTTCCCTGATTTACTTTTTTCACATATCAGAAAACTCTCACGCTTTGATTGGCTCTCTATATAAAAAGATAGTCGTGCGTTTTTTGCGGCAACGAAAAACCATCTTAATCAACAAGACACCTTGTCAGTAAGGTTATTCATAGAACCTCCTTGTTGTCTAACTGATTTCTGCTGTACATTTATGAAAGCATGCTCCTCTTGTCAAGCAACATGGTTGGGGGAAGCGGGGGTGAGCTGATTGCTACAACAAACTGAAACCTTTAATTCCTTAAAGCAGTTTACTAGCTACATACACACATAATCCATAATGTTTCAAGGGCTTATCACAGGAAATATATCTAAATTAAGGGTGTCCTCTTTCAAGAAGGCGCTTGATCAATACGATGATTCTAGAAGGCGCTCGATCAGAGATTTACGCTAATGCACCCCTTGTTTTCTGGTGAAGTGATAAAAATTATGTGATGGCTAAAAGGCCTGACATAATTCCGACTAACCCATCCGATGTTAAACCTATCCTATGTATATGCAACAGTTGTTTAAACAATCCAGTTAATTCTTTGGAAAGCAAAGATTATATCTTCGTTGTAATTGTAGTCAGAAAAGAGTAGATCTTGTGTTTGCTATTACTGAACAGAAAGTACAGGTGGGTTGTAAAAAGTGACGATGGTTTGGATCGCTTTGGCAGTCACAGAGAATTTGAAACCCTTTTTATGCGAAAGCTGATCAAGACGATCTGTGGTACAAATACAACATGAGTATAAATCTGTAGTTTGAGCTGAGAAAACAGCCAAAAGAGTAGAAGTCTCATCATAATATTTCTAGATTTACAAATAAAGAAGTCATCAAATTGTAATGATGAAAATGATAAGGATTATAGAATGAAGGAAGGTAACAAAATAAAGATGGAGTTTGGTGACTCTACAAACTTTGCACCTTGAACAAAGGTCCTCTGTGACAACCTGATCCTTAGGTTATACATTATCCATCAAAGTAAATGAAAATGTTTTTTTTTGTGGGATGGGAGGGGGATAGTCCTTACAATTGTGCCAAGTGACGACTGCACAATGGATCTCTATTCTGGTCCTTATCCTTGCTGCACGGAATGTCACTAACAAGCTACGACGATGTTTGTACAATGTTCTTGATATCACTCACTGTACAATGATATTAATAAAGCTCGGAACGGTTATGAATATGAAGAAAAATGCGATGATCGAAATGATGAACTGTGTGGTAAACAGAAAAAGCCATTAGATTAATATATCTATTTTGAAGGGGGTGCGAGAAGAGTGAATGACCCATTTGATACTCTCTCACGGATGAGTAGATCGATGCTGGGGAATACTGACTCCAGAGCTTCACTTCTGAAGTGCTTGATATTACTGTTGTAATATTGAGAATAATAATAATGAGCTGATGTTGATGACGACGAGGATGACTACTACAGCGATGGTTCCATTGTCTCAACGGTCAAGGTATCACTTTACGTCATAACTGTTGAGCAGTGAGGCTAAAACAAATGTTAGCTAATTATCCTTGCTGTTATACTGATCAAACAGCAGCTGAGCAAAATGATTAAACTGATAGCCTGCTCATTTGATGAACCAGGTTAAAAGCCTATCAATAAACCAAATGGCTCTTAAGAAACCTGCGCTTTGTACAACTGCATCTTTACGAGCATACATCAAAACAGCCGATAAAAATAATCGATTTTAAGGATACTTGGCTGGAGCATGTGGTCTTGGTCCTTTAAGCAAAGACAACTTACAAAATGGTCAATTTTATTGAGAGCAATATTATAGGACATGAATGTTTGTATTGAAAGATGATCCCTGGTACCTGAGTAGAGTTGAGGGAACAGCAGGGCTTTAAAATGTTTAGGGAGCCTTATCCCATTGATTAAAAAGCTTGTTGCAGTGTCTCAGTTGGTGTTTTACATAAAATTTTACAGTCAGTTGGTATTTTAAATGAAAGTTTACATTCGGAGCATTGCGGTTAAAGGCGTAAAAATATCCTCTCAATAGTTTTCAAACTTTCTTTGCCCCCTCTTGCCAAACAATACTATCAAATGATCACTAGGTTCTTTATCTTTCGCGAGAAGTTACACCAACCAGGGTTTCCAAAGATTGCTATGAGATAGGAAGGCTTTTATACGTGCTCTGAATATACTGGAAAAACTGGTCATTCCCATTTCGTATGAATCTTCTTCGAAAGACTGCTGACAAGGCGTACTCAATCTCAAACTGGAAGTCATTAATCAAACTCAAAGTCGAATTGATTTTTTTTAGAAAATCAAGCTACATTTTTTATTAGCATTCAGAGCTAAAATGCGAATTAGCCTAAATAATTGAATAATAATTCCATAGTCGGCAAATTAACTCGGGTTATTGACAATCCTTTTTTATAGAAAGGAGACTTTAGTTCGGAAGGTTCCATCCAGCTCCACTGCTGCCTTTTTGAGGAAAATAGTTAATTCTGCTATGGCTGTTACATATGTAAATATTAAATGATTCGAATATTTATTTTAAAAGTTTATATCATGATTTGAATGCTTGAGAGTCAACTGCCCCTATTTGTTGGTTTGAGAGTATATTCTCTAAAATAGCAAGTCCGCGTGAGTATAACTTATATGGAGATCTTTACAGACAAGCAAAAATTCAGATGATAAAAATAACAACAAACTTTATATGGTACACATTCCGTAATTCGTTTTGAAGCGATTTAGCTTGTACTCTAGAGTTAGCGAAAAATCGATTACATTCTCTTCGCTTTACAAGAAAGCTGAATTGGGATGACAATTTGTAAAGACGTAATATAGATCCACAAAAAAGTTTGAACAGACAGAAAATATGTGCGTTTATTTAACTCAAAAGTATGTGGAAGATAGGACTACAGTTTTGAGGTAATCATTCTAAAAAACGTAAACAAACGGAACAAAAGCTAAAATCCCTGCAAATATATTTGGAACGATTGATCCTTGGAAAAAGTTAACATTTTCTGGTAGAGAAGACAAACCTCGTACCCTGTCTCTCTAGAAATAATGTTGGTCGAAAATTTAACCAAGTCATTATCTAACAGGAAAAAATTGGGCAATACCGGGTCCCTTAACATAACATAAAACAACATAGTTTGGAGGGGGAGATGGAGATGTACCATGACTTTTGGAATGTATTGGATTTAATAAAGACGTGACGAAACAGGAATGATCTAGTATTAAAAACAGCCCAGCAACAAGGAGATCCAGACTTCTACTGGTTACAGATGCTGCTGGGACTGGGCCCTAGTAAATCGTGCTTCTTACTGTTTAAGGCAGATAAACCAGTTGCATCATAAGACAGAATGAATCCAGCAAGAAAACTTTATACACTATACAATTTTTGTTGAAGAAGCAAATAACCATACTATCACACTTTCTCTGAAGTGAAAGAGCTATCTGCTTAACACCATAACAGTATCTTTGACCTTTGATGATTAATTCAGATTATGGCAAAATAGAATTATGGCCCACTTTACAGTTGCTAAAATACATTGTCCACAATGGTAAATGCAAATTTCACTGTAGCAGCAAAATACATTATCAATGGATTCAGACAATCAATGGGCATGTGCTCGAATCATTTCTCCACACTTTTCAGTAAATCTGAACAGTATTCTGGGTGTCTTTCTAAGTATCGCCTGGAATACAAACAATGAGCTATAAGCAACCTGAGAACAGACCATCGACAGTATGGAAAAATTACAAGGTTGTTCATGTAAAGAAGAAAAGACCTTTTCATCACAGTAAAGAAAAGAGCGTGGATTCAGACGTATGAATTCATTCAATGGTAAAAGAGGAGAGGGTTTACTTCTTCGTCAACGACCAAAGGTCGAGTTATACTGCGTGGACATTACAGTTAACAGGGCAGGAAACTGGGAACTTTCTTGACTTCTGAGTATAAATAATCAACGATATGCATCTAAAGCAGACAGTATTATGACCCGAGCATGTACACTATTTTCCTTCCTGCTGGTAGAGTTCGAAATCTATACTTTACACAAGGTTAATTTTTTGCAGAAAATGACAAAACCGAAACAAACTCTTCTCAAGAACCGTAAATTATCGCATTTATATACCTACTTGAGTAGGATACATAAGTCATATGTCATCCTTGCCTTTTTACAGAAACCTTTAGATTTAAAAATCATGCCTACAAAAATCATGCCTACATCTGGGGAAATAACAAAATACTAAAACACAGCAGTTATTGTATAACAAAGAATTATCTGAAGCACAAAAACATACCTTTTGGCTTCCTCAATCATGATATGCTTCCTTTCTTGATATGACATTCCTTTTCTCGATGTTCCTGTGTCAATCGTCTGGGTAATTTAAGAATGTATAGAATTAATGTTGTGCAGGTTGTGGGTTTAATGGCTTCAAAAGACCGTTTCGAAATATTCGTTAAAAAAACTATTACTTTTAAGGTTCAAGGATATCAAGAGAGTGATGAAATGAAAGAACCAATTTAGGGACAAACAAAAAGATTGGTAATTTTCATCTAAAAAGTATTTTGAAGACTGGCTTGATCATCCTATAATTCAACCTGTATGCAGCTTCAAGGAAATTTGTTTCTGTAGATCTTGCCATTATGTTACACACGAATGTAGATCTTGCAATACAAATATAAAAAAGATTGCCTGGATAATGTTTTTACTTCTTTTTAGGCACCAAGCAAAGAACAAATTACAAATTACATTATCATTAAGAACTACAAATAACATAATTTTGATTCTTAAGACACAAAGACTAAATTTTAATGCTTTGGCTTAATTTTCTTGTTTTGCTGCTATTTTTTCTAGTTTGGGCCTTTCTGTAAGCCTTTACCCAGGTTTTCATACTTTTAGCAGCCCTGTTGGTAGCAGTAAAATGCAGTACTCGCGCTTCAAGATAGATTCCTTCCTCTACCGGAAGCAGAAGATTAACCTTTTGCTTATCTTGGAGACTTGGAAGAGACATAGAGCAAGTATATAGGCCATTGAAAGTCAGGAACCTTCAATCAGGTCATTCCATAATATTTTGCTTATAAGATGACGATTCAGTATTACTGAGAGCTAAGGGAAAAACCAGGGTTAGCGCCAACTTTCAGAATTAGCTGACTCTTAAGCTAACATGCATCCCACAAATCAAACAAGAAACATTGAGTAATGGCGACAAATAATTCCAGCATCAGATAACGTGAGGGCGGATTGTTGTCAAGTTGTTTCTTATCAAAATATTGACTATAACTTGCGCAATTAACCTCTTTTGTTCGCTTTAAAAACAGCATTTTCGTTTGCACTCGCTGAAGTACCAGCAGCCTAAACTAGAGCCAAAGTCAAAGCAGCTTAAAATAACAAAAAATCGCAAGGCATTACGGGATAGAGAAGCTAGCCAAGAGATATTACGATATCAGTAGAGAGGAACACAAGAGCATCATGAATAATTTGTGGAAATTTTTTTCAGGGTAATCAATTTTTGATACAATTAAAACTGAGCTATCTTAGGTTTAAGCTGAAATGAAAACGAAACCACAATGCATAAAACATTAACACGTAATTAAAGAAACTAATTAATGCAGTATAACAAAATGACCGAATCGGTTAAAAGAATATACAAAAGCTATTAAGACTAATTAAAAAAACAATAAATTCAAAATCAAAGAAAACTGCTCTCAATAAAACAAAAAAATGATGTCATCAACTTTACTTTTATCTATCAACCACTTTGTTGATATCTATAATTCTATCCATTAGATGAAATTAAAAAGTTTTTAAACCATTTTCTAAGAATATACAGATTTTTAGATAGATATCAGCGTTGATTAATGCAATCTTCCAATCAAATCGGCAATAGAAGTTTATGCAGAATCGAATTTATCAATGAGAATTACAACGCTCTAGATAGCATCTTCCGCAGCCTTAATAATTAAAACAATTCTTTAATTGTTTCCCCCGAAAACTAGAAAATCCGTAGTTATCTGATCCGCATTGCCTTCTCTACTGCTATGAAACAAAAACAAACTAAAAGACTTTTGAAAAACGCATTACCTTATTTCGAACTGGTGGCTTTGTCTTCTCTTTATGCAGTCTTCTTTCTGCAAGGCTTTCTTCCTCTGTTAGAGGGGTGTATGACAGCCTTCCCTCCAAAATATTGCCTAACGTGACATCTACCGAGTTGGTCTTCACTGGAAAATTACGCGGTATTCAGGATTAAGTACTTTTATAAGGTAGTACGTAATGAAATACAAGCGAGGAGATACAACAGGGGAAGCCAAATACTCTCATAGATTATTCTTGAGAAGACAGATAACTAAAAAGTTCACTAGCAACCTTTAGCTGGAAAGCTTTCTCGCGTGTTTGCGATTCAAAAAATACATCTGCGTTTTCGTCAACTGCAGGGCTTTTCCCGCTATCATTTTACTTCGCAGGATAATGAAATATGACGTCTATGTCATAATTGAGAGTTAAGGTTGTATGATAAAGAATCAAGCGATCGAGCAGCTGTAATGCAACAATGTTATAATAACTGTAAACATACTTATGTCTTGACGAACAACATTTCTTGGAATTTGTGGAAACACATCTTTGACTTGTTGAACCAATCTGTCAAGTTTTGCAGTAGAGTTCACCCTTGGCATCGCATTTTGTTGCTGTAGTTGTCTTCTTGGAGGTATTTGCTGTCTGGCTTCTTGCATCTCTAAAATCACAACCAAGTCACGTGATATTAACAACTGAAATTATAGTGATGATGAAATTATCAAAAAGGTTGATGATAAAGACGATAATCACGATTGATGATGACGATTCAATGTTCCAAGACTTGACGTTTTCAGTTTCAAATCTCACCTTGCATGGTTTTTTGTACTCTTTTAATATATTCCTTCTTGTCATTTACATCAAATTGACTTGGTTGGAGCGATAAGGCATTGGATATTTCCTAGAACCCAAATGTTCAAGCTATTTAAACATTGAATATCGTAAGATGCTGCTAAAGAGTGAATTGAAGCTAGAGAGTTAAGTTTGAAAAAAGTTTGAGAAAGGGCCAGGTGAAGTGTCAACTAAAGAACTGTTGATGTATCTTTATTAAATGCATCAAACTGCAATTCTGACATTGTCGTTCTTTTCTAAGATGTAGCAGCTGCATGTACATCCCCGTATCTAGCTGCCAAACATTAACACTTCTTACGAGGAAGGAAGATTTGAATTATGGCGACTCCTTTAATCATTTACACTTTTCACGAGGAAGAAAGCTCATACTGATAGTAAGTAGGAAGCTTGCCAGACTTTTTGCCATAACAGGCAAAACTGTTTCTCTTTACTTTTACACTCCTACATCACCAAAATCCAATAATTCAACAAAAATATTTCTACAGAGTTTGAAAGAAAAGTAGTACCCAACTTTAATAAGTTTAGCCTGGGCAATTTGGAGAATCAATTCAGTCAAAAATATCAAATAATTACCCGGTTGATGACTTTGGCAAAATCTTCCGGAGTCATGGATTCTTGCTTTTCCATTTTCAATAAATACCTGATTAATTTGAAGGGTAAAACAATTAAAAATAACAGTTTTTGAGTTCTTTATAGCTTCAAATGTTATAAATATACGCCCTAGGTTCTTAAATGTGAACAACACGGTATAGATTGATAATAAAATCCATGTAAGTTATGTTAGTTGCTTAAGCCATAACTTAAGTTGCTTAAGTTGATTGGAATACAATTCTTTACTAAGGTCAAAGGGTACCGGAGACATCTTTTTGTTGACATTTAAAAACATCTGAGTGCAATCATTAAGTTTTTAAAGTGTAGACTGTGCATCAGTTATTACAAAAATCAATTAAATGAATAATTGAATGATCTAATCATTTAATTTCAGAGTCAGTGAATTGAAAAAGCAGCTAATGAACTTAAAAATATAAACAATCTGAAGAAATATCATGGTTTGAATGAACTGAAAATTTTTGCAAATTTTCATTATTAGCTATAATTCTATATTATTTGTATAAGATCTACCGATGTTGCATCTCTTGACTTTTTAATATTTTTGTGTGTTTTTTTATCATAATTTGATCAAACTGGAAAAACCTCGAAAACTAATATCAGCTATAGTGTTAGTTGTCAAATCTGCGTACAGAAATAGCCAAAGTCATTGCAACGAGCTAAAACGACAGAGTCCACGCTCTCAACTTCAAAGTGCAACAGAACCTCGCCCCCTCCCTTGGCGCAGTGCCATTCAGGGATATTGCAAAACTGACCATCTTATTGTTAATCAGCTCATTCATGAAGTCCTAGACTAGTTTAAAAACACAACAAATAGAGAGTGATAAAACACCATTACATGGAACATTGTCAGATAATATCTACGTACCTGATTCTGAATATTGTATATGGAACAAACAACGTCCATAAAAAGTCACTCCAAAAAGTTCCATTGACAACAGACTGGTAAGGAGGAAAAAATAAAGATTAACTAACTTCTTATGAATTTACCTAGTTTAAATACGCTTAAGAGTTTGGTTCAACACTATGTGCAATAATCTAAAGAATGTTTAAATAAGTAACACGATTGCAACATTTTTTAATAACTTAAGGACCAGAAGTAAGAGGCATGTCTGACAGGGGGTTTAGGGGGTGCAGCACCCTCTAGTTTTCATGACTTGAAAGTCTGGAATCGGTAAACAAAATTGTAGGATGGTCGGTAAAATAGCCTTGCAGTAGCTAAAATAAGAACTAAATTTTTCTTGGTATTCGTCGATAAATTTCATTCTTCCTGGAAGAGTGTCTACCGATCAAAGTAAACCAAAAAAGAGCACTTGAAGTTTTAACAGAAAAAATAAATTTTGTACCAGCTTTATTGGCAATATGGACGGTCTTTTAGCAGTTAGCAGAACCTGAAACAGGAGCAAGAATTATGAAGCAAACAAAGAAGACGACCGCTGACTCGAACACTTAAAGGAAACTTAAATTTGTTGAAGATCAATCAAAAGAAAATACATTTCTAGGTTATGGATATGGTAGATAAAATACAACATTACTAATACCCAATCTCGTCAATAAATTACTTAAAAAAGATTATTCAAGGGTCAGTTCTTCAAAATCGTCAAGCTTAAAATAATGCTGACGTACATCTCTTTGTGCTCTAATAAACAAACAGTATTTGGAAACCACCTCTTCTTTGGCATTTCTATCATCATAAGCTGCTGGCCTTCTCATAGATTCATCGCATTGCCGAAAATATCATCATCTTGTTAGCTGCCCCTAGCCCCTTATCAACCAGGAGTTGCTGATTATTAATTCGTTACACCTTTCAGGAAATAGTGAGCCTTTGCTCAGGTTGGGGAATTCTCTATTTTTATAATTGTAGTTAATCCGTAATTTTCATGAGATCTTTAAAGGCGTCGCAAAAATGACGGACCTTTTAGCGAATGAGGTGAAAACTAAGCCCAGGATGAGATATCCTTGTGAAGAACCATTAGTCCATGTAAACAGGCTATCTTATCAAAATGGCTTAATGGGTAGATAACATTTAATGAGACAAAAACTGGTGATTTAGAAATACTCACTGGCTGATAAACACAACCATACTTAAATGGCCAAGGACTAAAATAGAAAAAGACTGCTTAAATAACTGACTTCATGTTAAACTTAATTGTATACAGTTTTATTGACGATTTTGGAGATCCGTTTTAAAAGAAAACAGTTGATATTCTACTTATGTGAATAGACAAGAAAATATAGGTACAAAAGGTTTAATTAATTCCAGAAATACAAAATTTGGAGAGTAAAATTAGCCTTATTAGCTAAAGATGTCAGCTGAATAAGTTAACTTTTGTGGCTTCGAATCATTTAGAATTTAAAATTAGCTTTTGGTCAAATAATGTTTACAAGATTGAGGAAGTGGAAATAATCTGAAAAATGACCAATGCGACTGAAAAGACAAAACGGTATACACCATATATATAGAAATATTTCCAGACAGCTCCTTGAGAAAAAACAACAAGTAGAAAGAAGGTCCAGCAAAGCTTAAAGACTTAGTAAGGTGCAAATTATTATTGATGCAAATTCAAGTACTCCTTGTTTGAAATTGGCTGGACATGTTTCAATTCATAGAAGTTTACAAAAAGTATAAAACACTAACAAAGAAGTAATCCATATAAAGACAACATGTTGTATAAACTGCAAAACAATACCTAAACTTCAATAATGAAACTTTTCCATTTGTAGCAGACTCCTCAGGAAAAACTAAGGCAGAGCACTTTGATTCTACAAACAAATTAAAAAATGAAATCATGAAAAATGAAATAAAATAAAAAATGCATACATTCACAAATTAAAAAAAATGAAACCAAATGGTAACCATTCAGAAGATGCTTGATGAAACAGATCTTAAGAAAAAATAAACTGAGAAAATATATACAAATGTTATAACCTGAAAATTCTCCAGCCGTGATAGAAAAATTATCTGACAAAAGCTTTTTTACTCCCAAATTGAAAGGTTGTACCTTGCATTCTCTTAATTTGAAGTCACATCCGTGTAATCGTTGTAAATGTTATGAATAAAACAAATGACAAACAGGAATTTTATGGATTTTAAAACCTGTAAAAGTTAATGGAAATAGGGGACCATTATGGAAATAGGGGACCATTATGGAAATAAGGTCAGCTAGACCTTTTAATGCTATCCCTGCCACTGAAATTAGGGGTGTCTATCGTTTGTTTTTAATGTAAATTATTGTATTATATTCTTTTTAACTTTTATAACTTGTAAATACTTAATTATGCATAATGATGATCTTGCTTATTTTATGATGTTAACCTTTCTACTTGATGATTTGAAAATTTGCGGCTTGAATAATTTTTTTCTCCACAGAGTTAGTGTCGATAGCATTCTCAAGTTTATTCTTTCACTGAAATATACATGTTTTATAAGAACTGAGAAAAGGGGTGCTACTTATACATGGTAAAACACAGTAAAAATTATATTTTCAGAATTCAAACATGGAATTAAGGCTGCGTCTTATGCAAGGATGCGTCTTATACTCAGCAAAATACAGTATATAATATCTATGCAAAGCTCCTTACCAAAAGATAGCCCCTCCTTAAATTCAGGTTTATTTAAAACCATATGGATCATACATTTTTAAGTGAAGTACTTTCTTATAGTTAAGTTACCTGACATGGATTGGTCTTCCTTCATTTGGGTAGAAATTGCGGTGATTGAAGGTAAAAAGCTTTTGTATCCCATCATCCATTGTATAAATGCTGGGTATCGAAAACGTTTTGAGACCTTGAAATTATAAGGATATTCATAATTCTTTGGAGAAGTTGAATATAGAATATCTGACTTCAAACAAGTATGAAATATTGAAAAAGAGCTTTATCAACAGTATGTATATGTGGATATTGAAATGCGATTTAAAAAATGGATGGGGCTGGAAAAGGGCTCAGAAAGCAAAATAGGGCTTATAAAGCAAAATAAGGCTCTTGTATACTTCATGTTGTTCTTGATCACAAATGTGCTTTTCTCTTAAAAGCTTAGCTTTGAGGTTCAATTCAGTTCAGCCTGCACAAACTATAATAAACACATTGATTATAAAGACCCATACCAATACATGTGCTTCAACTGACTCCATTATCAAGCTGTCTAGTGTTGATATGTTATTGCAAACCAAGATCTAGAAAAAAATCAAACAGATCTAGCTTAGAATTCCCATCAAAAAGACAAGTTATTGACTTTCATTCCTTTCATCGTTCTTCATTTTTGGAAAATTTTATGTTTTTAACTTTCAATAATAAATATAAATAGAAGATTTAAAAGGAATGTTGTCATGTTGGTATCCATTGTAATGTCTTTGCAGATAAGGAAAATTTTACCAAAATGCTTTTGAAAACCAAGCTGTCTTTTCCAAACCAAGGTTCTTGAGCAAAACAGAAATAAATTCATGTATTCACATGACTTCAAAATTGATCTGATATGGTTCCATGCCATATTCCTGTTAAATGAGTTGATGATGCACTAACAATAAATAGTGTTTCTGATTCAAGAGCCATTGGGATAAAAATATCTTTTAGATATGAAAATGAAAAGTATCTGGTATTATGTGGACAAGATTCTCATCATCTGAATTTCAAAATATGCCATAATATGCCAAAATATGCCAATAGACAAAAATAAGAAATCACCTTAAAAATATCTGATTTCTCTTGGTCCTTGACAATTAAAATGATGCCAAGTATTGTTCCACAAATTCTCAAAATAATCCTGAAATGCAATAGTAATTAGTACAGATACAATTCAGTACCAGGATAAAAAACAAAGTAACTTGCAGTTTTAAACATGAAAAGCAATTCTCCATTTTCTTAAGTTTGTTATGCTAGGGAAGGCTCCAGCAGTCTTTGTAATATGAGGTGTGCCTCCACACATGCCCAAATTGTCCAAGAAGTGCAAATCATCGCACATGCAAAACAAAGAATTTGCCATAAATTTCTTGAAAGATTGCTTATGTTTCGCAGATTTCTAAAGCAGCAGTAAATCAAAGTCGCCAAATTCAAAGGCAGTTCTGTTGTTTTTAAAGGTGTTGTTTAAAGGGCATGTGTCATCGTGAACATGATTGGCTAATGCAATACAATTTTCTTTTTTGTTTAGTACAAAGCAAGAAACCGAGGGTGAATTTTTACGGCCATAAAAATTCAAGAAGAAGTAATGAAAAGTCACGAAACAATGGAAATCCACTCAAAGTGCTTTTGTTTTATTAGCCAACAGTGAATGTGACTTATGCCCTTTAAGTATTCTCATACGGGATTTAACAATGGCGTCACAAAGTAGTTATGACAAGATCGCTTAACATTACAGCTATTTAACCAACGGGGTGCCAAGGAGGAGTAATCTGCAATAAACTGTGCTTTACATATTAACTTTCAAAACTAAGTTTCAATCTAAGAGTTGTCTTTACTGTTTACTTGATTATGTGCTGACTTCAACAGTGCTCTATCCTTCGAAGAGCAGAAAGCGAAGGCTTGATAATGGCATTGGTACATCAAAGAAACCTAAGCTAAAGAAAGGAGAGTAAACTGAAGAGTGCTCTGAGGAAGAAGAGATGGCGACTTTACTGTTTGCTGTTTACTTTTTCTCTAACCATTCCTTCTCATTCTATTGTTCGCTAAATCCCATATTATCATGAAAAGAACAGCGATCAAATTTTTAAGAATATCCACTACACTAATGATGATACTGAAGTTAGTGATGCTGCTTTGTAACTTCTCAACAATTGCTAGGGTCTATGAACAATTGAAATTTTTTCTCAATTCAGATATTTTTAAATTATTACAAAAGGATTATTACAAATTAAACTTAACATCTTTAAAGAAGAACAAGAACAGTTTCTCTGTCAATTTCCTTGGTTTCTGTTCAGTTTGTAACACAAAAGGTCTCCTTGAAAGCAGCACTCTATAGTTCTTGACATCAGGAATAAGAAGCGACCGAGAAAAACGAGGTCCACATCCCACGCCATGCACCCGCAAAGTACTCAAAACATGCAAAACGCCGAATGAAGCCTAGTTTCATATTACAAAAAAGACTGCTCCAGGGAAAGATGGATGAGTTGTGGGACAGAGCATGTGAATTTGGCAAAAAGATTTGGAAAGGGTGAGCACATGATGAGCATCTGGTATTTCAGACATGTCTCATGGGACCCAGGATCACACCTCAGATCTTATGAGAGCAGTGTCTACAATAGAATATGTAATGTTCATGGTAGCATATGACAGAGAAAAACTAAATTGTAAACAATACACTCTTAGGAAAACATTTGAGATAAAATTAGGATATATGAGAAAACTGACAAATTATTTATAAACTCTAGACTTACTTTCTTATGAATGAGGCTTTTGGCAAAATGACCAGGATAATTCCCAACTGCACACAGAAGATAAGTCTCAGCAAACATAGCAACACACCAAATGGACAATATAACAAAAAGATCAAAAAGGAAACACCATTTGGGATTCTAAAAAGAAAAAAATTCAAAGAACTTAGTAGAAAATCATCTGAAATATTTCAGAATTCTTTAGCAACATGATCATTTCTTCATTCAAACATCAAGTCAATGTAAGTCAACAATAAAGGAGATTGATCTCAATATTAGCCAATATATAACAACTATTCATAACCACCTGTATCTAATTTTGCTTTATTGTGAATGGCTAGATAACTGTAGATGTGCACATACTAATAAAATTCCATAAACGGCAATGCAATGCTATGATAAAAACTACAACACAATGTATCTCAAAAAATACATCCATACGATTATTAAACCCTTCTTTTCTTAAAACCTGTCCCATAATGGTCTCTTTCATTGATTTTATTTTTCCTTAAAGGTACATTTGTTCATTATATTATTTGTGCCATCACCTGCCAAATTCCAATTCAAAACTGGAAACTGCTTCCATCAATTTATTTATTTTATCCTATAATCTTAAGATTGTTCTCTCTCTCTCTCTGTATTCTTTTTCTTTCATGAACCCTCCACATCTTCGTTGTCCAATATACTTCATCAATTCTATTGACTAAATTATTCATTTTGTCCTATTGACTATTGACCGAGTGATTGCCAAACAAATTTTGCTTTCTTTGTAAGGGCCTTTGGTGATGGCTTTCCAGTAAAAGTAAGACATAAGTTCACTGATTTGTTGTGGATATCATTTGAAGCCTTGGCAATTTGTAAGGTACCTTATTCTCTTCTTTTGTTTTCATGATTGCTCTTCTTACCCTCAGATTAGAAACTCACCAAAATGGTCACAAAATCAGATTTGTGACGTGAAGAGGCCATTGGTTTGACTTTCCATTAAAAGATAATTTAATGATTGGTCTGCTGTTTTGAGAGAAAGAATTCAGGGAAACTTTGAAGCATTGCTTCAAAACAATTCCATAAAAGATTTTCAAAGTATTCATGGAAGATGACAATAAAGTGTCGCTTTTTTAAAGAAAAATGAAAAGAATCATCTACAACCAAACCTTCTATGTTATTAAGCAAGCCAACTATTTTGATCATGAAATGACAGCTTCAGAAATTGTTCACCTGATATAACTTTTATTAACCTAAAGCCTGATATCTCAACCTAAATGGTCTTATCTGTTATAAATCTAAAGTCAGAACAAAGGTGCACATATTAAGATTCAAGTTTAATTAAATAATTTTATAACACATTTAGCAACATAATTTGCAGTTGAGATTTGCAATTTGCAGAAAGGCAGCTGCTGCTCTTTGCTATCTCAAAAACAATTTAGGGCAGCAGTTATGATAGTATTAACTATTCAATAAAAAGGACACTGAGCCAGAAAACCTCTGGGTTAGTCTAAATGTCCTTGGCAACATTTAATGGAATTTGTAACCCTACAACAAACTTTATAATTGTTAGTTATCATTCGCATACTTACTGCTATTAAACTGTTATTAAAATTTGTTGTTGAATGAAAATAATTTTGTTTTAATTTGTTTATTGAGAATCTCTCTATAAACAAACTGAATACAAGTTTTCAAATTTCAAACATTAAAATAATACTATACATACATACATAAACATATTATTGGTCACTTAAGAACTTGTAAGCGTTATCGATAAGTTGTAGTTTTGTTTGTGTTATGTAAAGGTGGGATGGGGGCATTATTCTATTAGCTAGCCCATTCAGAGAGTTCATATTTGAACAATTTCCCCGCGTAAAAAAACTTCTCGGTCTGGCCATCTTTTTCAAAGAAATTTGTAAACACTTCGTACGCAAAACCAACGCAACGTTGATGCATCTTATGTCAAACAGTACCAATAACCTTAAATTTATACAGCATTCCTTTCTGTTTATTACATAAATATTGAAAGGTCGAGAAATACACACCTGTTGTGGTCAAACAAGTCCTCAATCGTCGCAGACGCCATTTTGCCTCTAAAAACAGCATCAACCACACATATGAAACTACTTTATGTGAAAAGGCACAGAGACAGTGGCTGTCGCCTTCACCCAGCTTTTTAGGTCAAGAACTTTGGAAGAATTATTACCAGTCTTTCCTAGTTATTTCGTAACTGATATTTGCATTTTTGTCATCTCACAGATAGCATTTGAAAACGGGCCATCTTCTTGCACATAGGGGGCTGAAATTTTTTTGCCCGAAAAACAGTAACGCATGTGAGCTTCTAACATTAGTCAACAAATTATTACATTAATTTACATTCAAATAATGTTAACTAATAAGCATATTTAAAACTTCACACATTTTCATCAAAATAGGCGAATCTCTTCCACGACAGCGACCAAATATATCGATTATTTTATCGATATCTTTTTGTGAACATGATTTGTATCATATTCAGCAATTTACACGCTTTTTGCTTACCTGCCTATTCTTGTGATCATTGAACAGTTTGCGTTCCATTTCAAGGAGGTCAGAAACTCATAATCTATTTGGTAGAAGGAGCAAACTTTTATCATGATTTCTGTCGAAGAGTTAGCATTCACGCTTGCATTCCCTAATCACGGGCCAGTGGCGTAACGCAGTTTAGGGCATCTTGATTCGGCGTTTTTCAACCTTTTCTATCCACGGCACATTATTTGCGGATAGTTATCAATTTTCCACGGCAAACTAGGCAATACTTCAAGGCATGCTAGTGTGTCAAGACACAGTGGTTGAAAACATTGCTTTAGTTTGATAGCCAATGGCCCCCGACCAAAAGGGGCACAAGGTGCTTTTACGTCCATATCTTTAAAGCTTTGGTCAAGTTCAAATAACTTTTGAAAGCTTTGAAAGTTCTTCAATTGAAGCTCCAAAACTTAGTTCCCCCTGGTTAACGAGAAAACCATTCTCATTCTTATCTTTTTCTAATGTGTTTGAAATGCTCTACATCATTTAATGTGATGTTCTTGCTGTCCGTGAATAAAAGCTCCGTAGAAGTTTTTTACTTGGGACCCCAAATGCTTCCGTTACGCTAAAACACATAAAATGCGATAGACACTATCGCTAAATCGCGCATAGATTTCTTCCAAAATTTATCAATTACATTGTAGAAACAATTGAAAAGAGCTTTGCTTTCTAGATGGGTTTCGGAGTCTTTATGTTTGCAAAGAAAATAAGTGTCCTGCCCACTGTCTTCCCCCTCTGGCAAGCCCAGTGCATTGCGCTTTGTTCCTTTTAGCTATATGACGGTTCATGTTCAACTTTTCTCTTGAAATTACATGTCTTTTGGTGTTGGCCTCAATGAAATTGTAGAGACTTTGAACAACACTAAGTTTATTTCTCATTGACTCACTTTCTGCAAGATTCAACAAATGGCCAAGGCAGTGGACATAGATGCTCAGCGGAGAACAGTCATCCATTCGCTTTGGCAAGCCCTTGGCTTTGCCGCTCATTTTAGACGAGTATTTGACAAAGAGTTTCTACATACGCTTTTAAGCCCTATTTCTACAATTGCTGAAGACTGAGTTTTGTAAAATTTAGCAAAAACTTTGTTTCGGACTCCAATCAGTGCAAAACTGACACAAACTGACATTTTTTTCGTGCTGATGAAAGTCACAAAAAAACAAGAAAAAGGTCACTGTGATACAATCATCGGGGCAGGTAATTTTACTTGATAAGCAAATTTTAAGGGTAGTTCCTTAAAAAGGGGGCTTTTCCAGCATCCCTGCTGCCTCCTCTTTTGAAGAATCAATTTACGTCTCATATGCTTAAACATATGAATACAAAAATGTTTAATGAAGTGCATTAGTACATTTTCCTTAAAAGCTACGGTTTCTTTTCAAATCTTATTCTCCACTAAAGGGATACATAGAGCATCCAGCTTCATCAAATAAAAGTAAGAACATGCTACATTAGTTTAAGCCGCAATTCTAATTAAAACTCTGTGGCTTGGTGTTAGTTTTTTCGCTTCAATCTAAGTTAGAAATTGAACACAAGTTCAAAGAAAAACCTGAAAAGAAGCAAAATAGCTAACAAGGTTATCACATGTGCTGAAATCTATTGTGATAAAATAAAATTCTCAAATGAAAACAGACTTCTTTTGACTGAAAATTAGTCCCATTTTTGGAAAATTTGGTCTTGATGTATTCTTTGGAAAATTTCTTTGTCCGTGATGATATGAAGAGGTTACAAAGCAATTGAATATTTCATTGCATCAAAGTGAATAAATGATTGATATTTTTTAGATTCAGACAAAACACCATAAAAATAATTGATGATCGGCACTTCTTTGATTTGTAATCTGCAAAACAGTTTTAAATTTGTCAAAAATTCTTGGGAGTTTATTCTAAATTGAGTCGTCAAAATGCCAGCATCCTCAAGTCCAAAGGGAGGCCACTGCATAGATATAATCTAAAGTTTCCTAATCAAGCATGTACGAAACTTTCAACCACTCAAATTTGTAGGTGATATAAGCAGGGACTTAAACAAAGCTTAATATAAAATGATATATACCGAACAGAGGCATCGTGACTTGGAGGCAGGGGAGTACGTGCCCCCTAGTATCAACCATTCGGAAATTTTCGGAAATTTCGTAACTGTTCTCTTCCACAGCCTCGTTTCGTTTCGTATCGTTTTCCAACCACAGTCTCCTATCCATATCTGTACACTTTGTACAATATAATTGCCACCTTGCCCATTGGCTCTCCCAAACGTGAGTGCACCTTTCAGAGCTCAAGTATGTTAAAACAGGCTACAATTAGCAATCGGCCAAGAGAGGTTAAACTCTCTAATGATAATAAATGTCGAGTGTTACATATGTTTTCCATGTCTTTCAGCGCATGTGCTTGATGATGCCATTGTTTTATTGTAAGCTCATTGTTGAAAAATTTAAAAGCTGTGCCCCGAAGAAATTCCCAGCCCACGATGCCCCTGAGCCTGAATAAGACTGCCATATCAAGAATAATAACGGTAGAAATCGTAATGTCAGTTTTTATACTAACATTCGCTTCTGAACAAGAAATATATCAAATTAATAATGTCATTTGATAGAAATGAATGACCGCGCTATTTGACAAGAAAGCCCAAAAACAGGCCTAACTGAAATAGTTATAAACAGAAACTAAACACTGTTATAATACATGCTTTCAAAGTGTAAAAAACATTTATACATCTTGTCAATGTTCCTCTTCTTTTTACGTGGTTCTTGGCACTTCAGTCCAGCTGAAGTTTAAATATGTAGCGTAAAAGAAGAAGTGGACGGCTCTAGTGATTTTTCACATCTTAGGCCACCAGCTACATGACTCCACGAGAAGTAAAAAATGACGTCGTTATTCCAGCAGCCGGTTCCTGCTTTACTTTGAGCAGCACAAATCGAACTGGTCTGCCTTACCGGCGTTTTACAAAACTAGCTAGGACGGTATGTCGAGGTCGAGCAACGGGTAGAGTTTTGTATGGGACTTCATGGGAAGTGTGGTTAGCGAGTGTCCAGTCAAAATCAGCTAACAGCTTTTTGCAGATGATCTTCAGAAAAAAGAAAAACAGTAGTAGACTATATGTTTGAGTGCATAAAAAAACACAGGGCCCGCGCCACTGATCTTAAACAATGTAAAGAACGTTTCCTCTTAGTCCCTCTGGCCCAAATGTCGGAAACATTTTGCTGAGACTGTTTTGGATTCTGGCTCGAGGAATTTGTTTAAATCTACAGGTTTATCTATATAATATCTATATGAAGGGATATGTATAATAATTTAGTTGATTTTAATCTTTCATTTAGTGAAAAAGTGGGGAGGCTATGATGCCTTGCCTCCCCACTGTGGCGCTGGCCCTAACTAATATGAAAAATATATTTTTTATTGATAAACGATTTCCTGAAATCATAGTGACAGGGAATCAATATGACCCACGAAAATCATAGAAAGAGATTTAAGACAGGGTCAGAAGAGGGAGCAGGGTGAGTTATAAGGGATTTGGGAGGTTTGAGCTCCCTACCAATGAACGTACATTTTATGTTGTTTCTTTCTATCAATGAGCCATTTCGTTCAACGTTGGCGATTATATCAATCAAAGTCCTTATAGGTTTTGATGCTTGCAGTACTGGATGTCCAAAATCCTCTTATTTGTCTGATGATACTGTTCCAAAAAGTCATCCTTTGTATTCCTTTTGCTCACTTCCCTTCAACCTTATCCGTAATTGCTTTTCGCTCAACCTTTATCTTTCTATCCACAGGCAAAAAGTCCTTATTTGTCTTAAAGCTATCATTTCATAAGTTCAATTCTCATCAAGGACGGCTTCAAGTGGCTGTTAGGGAAGGGGTTGTTAGATAATAATTTGATTTTGTGCCACACCCGTTCAGGTAATGGGAAACAGACGGAAAAGATCAAGCTTTTAACTTTAAGATAAAAAAGATAAGAAGATAAATAAAGCAACTTTTTTGCATCATTTTTTTACTACTGACTTCCAAAAAATGTTTTACCGATTCAAAGAAAAATTTACCAATGAACACAAAAATATTATCCCCACCCCGTGTCGCAACCCCCTCCTCCCGCCCCTGATAAATCCGTCCCTGCTCTCTATTTGCCTTCGTAAAACTGTTTCATTCGTCATTCGGACCATCTACACCTACGAGATCCCGTGAAACCAGATGCTCTTGCATTGCTTGGCTTATAGTCTAGCTTTCGCATCAATATATTAGGGGGGTAAACAAACATACATTTTAAAATCATCTTTTTAGTTTGAAAACTGATTCCTTATTCTTCCTTTCTTTTTTCCTTATTCTTTTAGTAGGCTGAAAGTTGGGATACTTTTGTTAACACAAAAAAGCCATTAGGTAAACATACCTTTAAAATGTTGTTGATGAAATCGACTCCAACGCAAATTCGTTTACCACCGCCAAATGTCCACACTAAATCACGCTTCAATTGATCGCTACGACAAATGCAAGCTCAATCCATAAGTATTATTTCACCATTTAAAAGCTTAATCAAAATAGCACCAGTACCATTTAGTGGTAGCTTGGTGTTTTAGGCGCACAGTGACAGAACTTG